TCCAAGTTATCGAAAGAGTCTTCAATTGGCAGCGTTGTAGTGCACGACGAAACTACTCGCGATTATGCTGGCTATCATGGATTTTGTTAATTTGCAGTTCAGGGAGGTTATTTATTTGTATCCGTCTTCCAAACCCTCCACGTATATTGTACATGTATTTCGGTTATTAAAAGTATGATTAGATATATACTACAATATTTCCTTTATAAACGTAGAAGCCAATCGTTGAAAAAGTAAGCGGAACAAAGATATGTATTTCCACATTTATTGTACACCATATCCACACAAGTGTTATCAATTATCACCAACTCACTGGTAAAGTTTTTTTTACCAGATTTTGATTACTTATATCCCAGAAGCAAGTGTGATATACGAATTGTTCTTTAAATTAGCCTACGATCTATCCGAATATATGTAAAAGAATCTGAAACTTTGTGCTCCTTTTTCTGCACGTACGTAAGAGAGTTCTTTTCACGAAATGTGTCCCTCTATTGAATAAGTAGATGTGAAGTAGTAAGTGGTTCAGCACAAGTTTGATAAAAACCAATAATTCATAACAGCTTTTACCTCAGCATTTGGATCAGTGACGAGCCTACCTTCCAAGCAATTTACAAAAGGATAAATACAAAGTTGCACATCACTCAGCAAGTCCTTGGAATTGATTGTATCATTTTTAAAGAGTGTAACCGTCAAACATCTGTCGAAATTTCAATACATCTCAAGCGATCAAAGCAATCAAGTGTTACTGTCATTACTTGTAGCGATGACCAAAGCTCCGATCATCGCATTTCGACTTTAGGGATACCTCAACATTATTTGATCAATTGTTACTATATAATAATCAATGGCTGAATTTTATTTACTCAAGATATTTAAGTTTTGTGGTGTGGCCCGTTATATACAGTTATCAACGTTGAGAAATAAATCGAAGCGAGAAGTTTTTGCTAAGTCTACTCAAATTCATATCACCAGTATTTGAATAGATTTCGTTCCAGAGATATTAACTGGCAGTGCATATACATTGATGATGGTAAGTAAAAACATGTAAATTTTAATCTTTTATTGCGGAGCCGGACTGTGGTATGTACTGTAGAAACTGGAAATATATTTTGAATACCTATGGGGACATTAGTATTGCAAATTAAGATAAACCGATCAGATTTCAAGAAAAGTTGATTAGTTTTGCAACAATTGCGTTAAGTACAAATTTGTATTGTTTTATGCTAAAAACTACTTGTTCCTGCAAACCAAAAGTGCCAAACGAAGGCGCCTGGAAATATTGAAGAATTCATTGTCAATTCGAGCAAAAAACTTTTACAAATCGTCAGCAAATCATCTTTGGCAAGGTCGTTTGGAACTATCATTAAAAATCGTACATATATTGCCAGCCGCATCGATTCACTTTCGACCTTTAAGTGGAAGTTTTCAGCCTGCTTTAACACGCATTCGTTTCACGTTGATGACGATGAAGATATTATACCCGTTGCATTTGTAGTCGGCAGAGACAATAATTGCGCCGGTTGTAAAGACAAATCCTCACGAGACGTCAATAGCTGAATAGGAGGAGCGTTTGGCAGAAATGGCCCACTGAGACCCACTGAAAGTCTGGGACAATGCAGAAGTCCTCTGCTAAATGTCTATCGGAAGAGGAATAAAACAATATAGAAGAGGGGCGGACAGACGTTCATAAAATAACTAACTTTTCTCGCTTAAGAGCCGAGTTTCAGTTGATCTTTAATATCATTTCAAACGCTCTTTCTCTTCAGCCCTTGCTTTATTTATGGCGATTTGTCTCTATTGTCGGCGTAACTACAAGGAAATTCAATCTCCGATATTATGAACTACACGTGAAAAAATGTATCTACATTTTTTCGGGATAGGAGAGGAGTTGGAGTAATTAAATCAATTGTCCTAACAAATACAGGGAATTGTAACACGAATGTTGCATTAGAAAAGGCATGTTGTTGAAAAATTACGCAAAGAGGGCTGAGAATGGGTGGATAATTGAAAACTATTCATAAGGAAGGACCAGTCGTGCCATAAAAGAAAATTCAAAATATTCGTAGCTTCTGGACATCAATTCCCGGTTTAATTTTATGATGGCTTAAACATTGTCTAACTATATATATTTTTAATGTTAAATATTAAAATATTACATTTTTATTCATGGATCATGGAAGTGTTTTTTGCGTACATTTTTGTTTAATATAAATTCAGTTCAAGTTTCACTTTTAGCGAAATAAAGTAGGGATTTTTTTAAAAATATATTTACGTCATCTTTAGTTAAACTGTCACTAGTTCCTACGGATATTCCGGGTCTACATTTGCCAAACATTTTTCATCTGGGGAGTAATCAAGTATGAAATATAAAACCGAATGCTAGCTTTCAACTATTGGTTGATTGCTTATCCCCCTGAAGTGGACGTTTTGTAAAGAACGAGCAAATGGAAGGATACACATAAAGTGAATCTTCTTCATTTTACAAAATCTTAGCACAGACATCAAGACAATGAGGCTTATTTCGTGCACGGTGTACGCGATAACTAATCTAACCGCAGAGTGCATGGACCAAATTGTTCAATCATTCACCCTCAAATAAATAAAACAGCAGCTGCAGAATATCCGGGTATGGAAAGTTATTGAGTTCTTGTCAAGGTTCTGCCATTTTCTTATTAGATTGTATTAGTTTAAGCACATGAACATATTTTTATATATATTATATTATCTTATTATTCCACTGTCTATTGAATTATCGTGTATATATTTATATGAATATTACATCGAATTATCTTATATACATGTATTGGTATGCCCTTTGGAAATGTCCACTCTACTTACATATAACCGTTTTCTCGATGTACATATAGATAAATTCTTGGCGAACTGCCAGAGGGTAGGAATTATTTACACAATTTTGACCAGAAACCGGAGGGGTGATTACGAGTTCATGGGCAACGCTTGGCATGATCAACAGGTCTGGAGAAAATGACGACAGAATTTCCCTGCAGTCGCTGCAAGGAAAGGTTATAAGTTAATAGAGAGATCCGAGTATTTTCTGAAAAGGAATAAGGCGACTAAGCTGGGGGAACTGTGACGTTTGTCTAGCCAGGGACAGAGTAAAATCTACGGAGTCTACTCGTTGTTAATAGGAAGTGTTATGACAATACACGTAGGAAGGTATATTATAAATAAGGGGTGTGGTCATAAGTGGCTATCATAACGAAATTTAGGTTGTATTTTTATAAATTTGCCGGAATTGGGGAGTGTCACAAGCGTAAGCGGCTCTCGATTTATAATAAACAATTGCACACCTAGGTAACCCGACGAGCTAATAATGTTATGGTAAATGAAATTAAGGCAAGAGATTATAAATTCTGTAAAATAATATATTTCGGACTTGTCGTCCTACTACTGATTATATGCCTAACCATATGCCTGAGGATTACAAATTGATCGTTTCAAGTAGAGTCCACATCGTTGGAAATAAGAAGCTCGAGGAACAGCCAGGAACATACTTTTTAGATCGTAGATATAAGATTGCATATTTCGAGCTGTGATGTAGAATATATGCACAGATGGACGGAAAAATAGATGCGAGATGTACTTTTCAGTCCTTTACCACAGAAACTATATAAAAGGTAGCTTACGCAAAGCCCCCGCACCACTATTCGAAATGAATTCCGGGAATCCTACGTGAGTTAATTCTCATAGTACTGTCCGCCTAAGTGGCCGAGTCCTATGTGGCAATAGTCTTGACTAGCAGCTTAATTGTCGTGGGTTCAATTCTAAACTTTTTAAGAGCCATGCCTACAATGCCCACATGCCTATGCAATAAAAGCTGAGAACAAATTGCTTCCCATGTTTTGTGCTTGTTACTCAAAGTACAACACGCACATCATATAAATTCTTTTCCTTCTTTTTAGTTTTTCTTAGGACAATGGCGGCGAGCATAAAAAATTCGGTTACGACCGGACATAATTTTTTTATTTGTTTTTCTATTCACATAATTTTTACTGCTTGTTAAAATAGATAAACAAAAACATTTGAAGAAAACAATGACCGGATTATCAATCGGTATATAACATATGCATATTTTAGTACTTTTAAGATGAAATGATATAATTACATGCAATATTGAAAATATCAAGATCGTACCACGTTCTGACTGACATTGCTTTCAATGTCAATGCAGTTGCATTGGTTTAAATTTCATACTATAACTCAGCGAAATGAAAACGTTCGCCTTGGGCCGAAGCATAGCTGCCCCTATTGTCGTTAATAAATATGAACTATTGCGCTCTACACTTTCCTACAGGTATGGCTGTGAGCATTTCGCGATCATCTGTCATCTGTCACATTTCATTTCCCTGCACGAAACTAATCTTTGCGGGGAATTCCTTTGAAGCGAATATAAGGCATATATTGCCCATTTATGGCCAAAATACACTACACCACAATCTACAATGAGATCGTAAGTTTCTCAAAGCATAAAAGTGAATCCCGTCTTGAATTTTCTTTGTAGGAAATGTTAGGAAAGTACGTTGCACTTGTCGTTATATATTCATATAGGAAGATTTTCGTCCTATATTCAATCGTGATAAAACCGTACATCAGCTACACATTTGAAATAAGAATGTTACGTAAAAGATTTAACTCGATGACAATAAAAATTATATATATAAACCGCAAATTTTTATATTAAACAGTTTCGATTTTATTACTTGTCTAAAGAGGCCTTAAAGCGAAAGAAGATAAAATGAAAATAATTTTTACGCTCCACGTGATGTTAACGGTGATTTTAATAAGAGAAATCAACGGCATGGTCTATGTACATAACAAAGTTAGTTTGAAATCGATAAGATATACACATCATATATTCATATTTATATATATATATATATATATATACGATGATATGTACAAAACATTTATATATGGAATTATTTTTGGGTTTCCAGAAGTCGTGGACATATGAAATTCTCGATATTGAATTCATCACAATGAATGAGGAATTAGTCAAAATTAATTTGAAAGCTGAACATATTAATCGTACGACTTTGGGTATTTCTGGTACTCTAGACTTTCGTTACGAATTCAGTGAAGATACAATGGTAAATTCTGAGCACCGATTGTGAAGATATGTAAATTTTAATATTCTGAGTTTACTTAATGCAGATCGAAATGGTCCTGCTTCGCAGCGCTAGTGGAAATGCAGACAGTTATCAGCTACTCCCATATAGAATACCGAGGATGCAAATACATGATTTTATTGATACATTTTACGACAACATTTTTAAAGATCTTGGACCGTGCTCAAATTTCCCGGTGATTGAAACTAAAGCAAGAGATTATAAATTTTGCAAAGTAATTTATTTCGAGAGATGTCTTTTTAATAACGATCACATGCCCAACTATTTGCCCGACGGTTATTACAAGGCAAAAGTGGTGACAAGTGGAGAAACAGATTGGTCGTTGACAGTCTTATTTCAAGTGGAGTCCACATTGTCATAAACAGCGAGTGCGGGAAACACCCAGGTGCACGCTTTGTGGATCGTACATATATGCATACATCAATACATTTACTTCTCCTCAAATTATGAATTGACGTAACTAACCATGACTATGCTTCATCTGTCAAAACCTGGTGAAGTCTAAATAACTCTATATCGCTTTGCAGAAGAAGTGTAAATACTGGGATTTAATATTTCGAAGATATAAACTGTAACATATCTAGAGTAGAATATCCGATTAATATATTTATAGCTAATACTGACCATTTACCTTGACACCAATTGTTGTGTCTTACATTTACTAACAAAATTCCTTTATTGAAATTCTGTATTTTTACTCGCAATCAAACTACAATTTCCTTTCCTGTTTCCTGTTTCGTAATCACTTTTGTAGACAATGTAGTTATATCTACGTTGGTATGATCGAAATTACCCCTAACATGCAGAGGCATTTAATTATTAGTATGCACGAGAATTTATATTAGTACAGCAATCTTATCCGATACTATCTTTCATTCTCATTTTCATCTAGTGTCGTACAATTTTTTTATTTTCATCTCAATGCCTCTTGTCTAAACTAAATGTAGTGCAGAAAATGGGTTTGTCCATTCGTCATTTAAGTTGCCGCACCCCGCCTTAATGCATTTCGTAAATGTTTTGTAAATGGAATTAAAAAAGGAAGCAAAGGAAAGAAAATTTGCTAAAAATACTTATTATTCTTCTTCCTTAAAGACGTACCACGAACCAACCAAGGACGATCCCCTCCATCAAACGCAAAAGGGGTTTAATGTGCGAGAAGGGTTTTATGTGTAAATAGCTTACTCTGCGTCATAGATGCAGGAAATGCAACACATACAAAACTTTGGCCTGATTATTGATAATGCCGACCTTTTTCGGTCATATTCAAAAGAATGGGTGCAATGGCCGGCCAAGTCATCTGCCGTCGACTAGAACAAAGGAAAAGACAATGTCCGAAGAATACCATGGAGAGACTAGCACATTCCAGGCTAGTACTGCTAACATTGCGTAAGGCGCGAGTTATTCTATATGAGGCCGAATACCGTCCATTCTTGACACACGGCGCCCATTTTTCATCTCAATTGATTTTGGTAGCGTTCCTTAGTGACGGTCTCTTTCGGCTTAAAGGAAAAATCCTCCTAACCCTATATCCCATTAATAAATGTGGTAGTCTAGAGTTATTTACGTAGAGAAGCGTCTTCGAGATTCAAGTCCTAATATCGAACGCGTTTTCGTTTACATCGAAATACTTACAGAAAACAAACAAAAGAAAAGAAACGCCTAATGTTCACAATGCTAGTCTGACTACATTTCAATTCTCAGCTAAGGCGCGACCATTTTATCATTTCATTACAATCCACTGCCAATATTCTCGATTATATCTATTTATATGTATTTTACTCCGCCTGAGTAGCCGAAGGCGAGGAATCTCGACTAGCAAGTCAATGGTCGTGGGTTCGAATCTCAAGTGCGGTAGAGTTTTTAATAAAAGCCGATAGCCTTAGATGCTAGTGCTTTTAAGAGTTTAGTTTTAGAATTTATTTCTCTGGCGAAATTAACAATAATAATAATATATATATTTTAGTATTAGTGTTAGTGTTTAGGGCAAAGGATACATGCATTTTAGAAATAATGTCAAGCAAGATTCTCCTGTAGAGATTTTTGGTAGTGTAATAATTTCACCGATTCTGCTCGGATTCAGTGGGCCAAGTCTTCATTGCTCCTTATCTTCCCAAGTTTATCGACTGGAAGAGGCCCTGATAAAATATTTGCGATTGAAACGCAGCATACACTGTTTAGATCGAGAATGAATCTTTCTTTATTTCAATTGTCTTACGTATATTTGTTTTTAGCTTAATTATTTTCTACTTGTCTACTATTTATCATATAATGCTGTGATCAGCATAATGGAGAATGGGGGCGCTTAGCTTCAAATTGCATTCTTTACATTTAATTGCAATTATTGAGAAATGCATCTGAAAGCGTTCTGAAGTGTGCCACAATTTGTTGTTTTCAGTTTGTTACTAAATTTTGTTTCCTATTTCGGTTTGTCACACAGTTCAATTGGACGCACCTCTACGCGGCTACCCAGTCGCACTGCAGGCTTTACAGTTTGATTCACATATCTTTATGCACCTAAATTTGTTAGCGGACGAATTGAGAAATGCTATATGATCTAAGTAAAAGAAAGCGCCTTTGCTGTGCTTACGTTTGTTTTACGCGTTTAAGTTACCCTTAAAATCTTTATGTTAATATTGAGCAACTCTGTGAACTGTTGAAAATTTAAAAATTCAAATTTTCATTTACGTCTGAATTAATTAAAGAAATTTATAAATGGGGGCCAATAAATCTTCTCCACAAACTGTACCCATCGATCTGGCCCAACTATATGTTTCTCCATCGGTTGTAAGTCGCATAGAAAACGTTCGGAGACGAGAGGCAGAAACTTCAATCGTAAAAACGTTCGAAAACGATTCGACTGATCATGTGGAAAATCCTCAGCAACAATCGCCGAGCGAGAAACAGCAACAACAGCAACAGCAACAACAGCAGCAGCAACATCAGCAAAGTGAAGGTAAACTACTTTATAAGCGCGGCCATGAAGATTGGATTCATCATTCCAGCGATCTATTAGGTAACGGGTGCAGTAAATTGGAAGATCATCAATTTGCGCAGTCAGTGGAGATATTGAGTGACTCTTTAAGCGAAGCTCTGCAACGTACTGAAAATACTAATATCGAAATTCAAAAATTACGGAATCAGTTAATAGCATGTCATCGAGATCATCTTGGTGAGCCATTATGTTGTGCAGAGTTGGTTGAAAGATTTCAAGATTTAGTATTTCGTGAACAATATTTAAATAAACTGGAAGTTAACCTTAAAATTGACGAAAGTAGCGAATAGTTGTAACGAAACCAAGCAGTGAACGTCGAATATTTCAAACCGATTGCAGAAGACTTGTATACTATTTTTCTTCTAAGCAATGCGTAATGAAACAAAGGCTTTTATCGTCAAGAAGTACATAACATAAGGATTCGCTAAAAATAGCTCTTATATCGCATTGTCCATTCGTCAGCTGCACTTTTACTTTCGTTAATACCCCTCACGTATAAAGTTTGATTCGTGCCACCTGTACGGACAAAATTTTTTTCCTATTCTCATAATACTCATCTGCTTGAAGAAAAAGATTTTATTATACTGCCCGACATGCTAAAAACAAAAGTTCCATAGATTATTTTCCCTCTGCCCCGTGTAGCACCATTTAGATATATACTATATTGATCAAATTTTGAGTCTTCAACTTGAGCTTTAGGATTATCCTTGAGATTTATAATTCACATAATACACCGACTAAGAAATTGCAAATATTTTATGCACAAAACTATTGAATGTAACGAGCAAATTATAAAATTTAACTAAATAAAAGTAATTGCTCCTCGAGTCGCTGTCTTCTTCATCTTTGCAAAACAAGTATAAGCGCTATAGCGGGACTGGGCCCACCACTAAATATCCTATACCACCATACGGTTATTCATATAACGACACTACGGAGTAAGGTGATCCGAACGGCTTTTAAATGGAGTTCGCTCTTGCGCAAGACCACGTCGGTTTGTCGAATTTCATCAAAATATCTTGAAACCTGGAACCTGCAGGTTGAACAAAGTAATAAGTGGACAGATATCAGATGTGTGTTGACCCAACAACGAACCGTATTGAAAATGATTTGGACCGCGCTCTTCGTATAATTGTAGGATATTGTTGAATGTACGGTGGACGGTGGACGGTGGCCTGATATGTTGTTTCTGATTGTTTTTTATTTGCCATCGTTTTTTTGTTAATAGAATAACTTTTTAAAGTTTACCTTTTTTGAACAGATGCGCGTACAATTTTTCAAAACGTCTGCATGCTCTACATCAATTGCGATATAGTTTGTGCTTACGTATGTAACCTACAGAAAGATTTAAAATACATCCATATGTTTTTCTATTGACCGGTATAAAATCATATCCTGAATCAATTTCTTTTTGCGTGACATCTACCTCTATATTCTCGTGTTCAATCTGTAGCAGCATTGGATTATATCATTCACGTTGGAATGATAACAGAGACAAAACTTATTAATAGATAGACAGCTTAGAAAGTGATTGTGAATTGATCGGTATAATAAAAGATCATTCTATGTGTTGTATACCTCTGTACAAATTTGGTTTGCAGGGCAAAAATATCGATTTAAAATCAGGGACATATTCTTTTTAATATAATGACAATAATGTCAATCGCACAACCACTACACCGATATCTTAAAATTTATTAAGAAAGCATATTCTTAAATATTTCAATTTTACCTACCACAAATGGCCTTAAGCTCGTCTTTTAATAAACTGCTCGAATAAACTATTTTGCTTCCCTGGCCCCTTTATTTAATTTAACATCAAAATACTATTTTAATCACCTTAACATTGAGTTTGTTCTTTTTTTTTATTGAAAAAATTATATTTATTAACAGGAAATTTAAATCTCTTACTATATAAACTGATAATATATTACGTAAACATGTTAATTGTCAGCCAAATCATATTGGTAATATATGTTATCATCTTCTGTAAATAAAAATGTAGAGTTAACTCTTCTGTGTACATTTTCGGAATTCTATATTCAAATTTCGAAAACGAACTGTGGAAGCTCTCAAGTGAAAACTTGGGTGACATTTCACTCTCGAAAACTTGGTTTGCCTTCGAAAGTACAACCACTATGTTGTATGATTTGTGATGCAGCCCAAATACCGCAACGTATGCAAACATCTAAATCTTTACTTTGTATATATTGGGCCAGGAAACCACCGCAAAAGGCATCCCCCGCCGCGGTCGTGTCTACTATTTGTTCAGGAGTAAATCTCTGAACGGGATACTCTTTAATTGCACATCCCTGGAAAGCCAGCACAGGTCGGGGACCTTGAGTGATAATGACAATACGTTCACCCTCACAATTTTCCTTATCTAAGGCCACCAATTTTAGGCCTATTTCTTTCAGATCTTTAGTTTCCCAATCATAGGCGCGTGCAAAACTTTTAGCTTCCTCTACATTGCCGAAAAGTACTTTCACATAAGGCATAACAGCCATCAGAGGTTCTTTGAATTGCTGCATCACGAAGGAAGCACTTAAGTTCAACATAAACGTGCTCTTGCTATCGTACGCATGTTGAGCGACTTGCATAACAGCTGCCGGATTAATGACAAGGAAGAAACCCGTTATGTAAAAATACCTCGCATTTTCCCATAATTCTCGATTTTCTGGCTTTTGCAAATGCTCAACCGTGAATTCGTTGGCTGCGGCGAGATGAGCGCACAAAGAGCGATGACCATTTGAAATAAGCACTGCACAAGTACCAGTAGGAGCATCGACTGCATATTCATAAAACACACTCAGTCCGTCTTGCGTGGCCTTTTTCTCCAAAATATTTGCATAATCGTCCTTACCCACACAACCAAAGAAAGCAGCAATTTTTGGCTTTTGCAAGATCCACTGGCATACACGTAATGTATTTTGTGCCGAACCACCTGCTATATAATCGGGATTGTATTTCTCGACGAGATCTTTATAAAGACTCATATGCTCGTCTTTCGCCAAAATTGCATTGTCCGGTCTTAAATTGTATTTATCCAGGAATTCGCTATCCACAGTGGCGACTATATCTAACAAAGGATTACCAAGGCTAACTACGAGATGTTCTCTTAGCTTTTCCATTATGTACTTTTCTTTTAATCTTTGGCTTTCTTCGAATTTCCTCAAATGCAATACAAATTTTTTCCACAATTGTTGAATTAAGAAAAACAAATTCGAATATTTGTTTCCATTTAAAAATATGAAAATGAAAACTGCGAGAAATTTCTGTTAATAAAAGTGAAAGTGAAAAGTATGCCAATAAAATGATAACGAATTAGTTTTGAATAAAGTTTTGATTAATTCTCCAGATGGGGGAAGCGCACGAATGAATGAAGGAATAAAATAAGTGTAACGATTTCCACTGATGGTTTTTTTCGGCTCGAGTCATCTTCTCATACTCAACCATTATCTGATTGTCGCAAAGACAAAGAGGCGCAATTGATATTCGCTTTTATCGTCAATGTTAATATCTGATATGTCACGCCACACATATATAACATTCCTTACATAAAATACTTTTGCTTGGTACTGAAGATTCAGAGACCCCACAAAGCAGTATAAAATTCTGTGTCTATTTAAGGCATGTCCATCCGGTCGTCTGTATAATTTCTGTTATAAACGTCTTCCTCCTCTCCAAAAAGAAGCTTTCAGTTTCAAATTTAGCCGAAACATTAGGAATGCTTGCATGCAGGTTGGTATTGAAAATAAACCAAATCGGTCAAAGGACACGTCTACTGTAAAGTGAGGACGTTTCTGCTTTTCAAAAGGGATAACTTCAGCAGGTAAATCTGCAAAACTCCAGCAGTTACATATACAAAAATTTTAAAGTATATTATCTGGACAATACTGTGGTACATGCACGAAAAAGCACAAAATTGGTAACGCCGAAAATATGAAAACAATGTCTACACTTCTTCAAGATTGTCTCCCTTTCTAACTTCTGTTAGGCGTGCGTATGCGATAAGATAACAAGCGTTTTCGGGTTCTTAACCGAGCGGGGAGTATTTGTGATAAATTACAGCTTGTTGTCTCCTTTTTTGCCACTGTGGCGATTTCACAACAAAGAATGGGAATACAATAATTCCTAAATAGTTGCATGTTATCCATATCCCGAAAACTAGAAATGATAGAAGAAAATTGATTATAGACATTTGAAGGTCGCGAAGATTGAAAGTAAGAAAGACGAGAACTACGTACTCGGCAGTTCTAGTGTTAAGAATTCAGACACATTTATGTCTTCATTTACAAAATTTATTAAGTTAAGATCACCTATTTACATATTTGGATGTGATTATGTGCCGAATTAAATTTTGTCGTCAAATTTAAATAAAACATCAAAGTATATGGGCTCTATAATCACTTCAAGTGACCAATCAGGCCTTGCGAACACCTCGCACTTGTTTATCAGCTTTTTTAAGCGTAACAAAGTTATTGAGCTGCTTTACGCGCAATTTTGCCCAAATCATGTAATTGGAAAGACCTAATATCTGAGCAGCATTCAATGCTGCAGCCTCCGGATACAAAACAGTTGCGCATCCCAAACCGGATGGTAAATTTAGACTGGACCAAACATCAATTGGCATGTTTTCAGCCTTCAATGGCGGGCAGTTGATTACGGGATAGGTCGTACTGCCGGACAACACGGGTCCTAGGCCATTGGAACGACCGGCTACAGTTATAAGTATGAGATTATTCATAACGCTCTCGTATTCGCGCATAATACGTAACGTTTCTTCCGGTCCTTTATGAGCTGAAGTTACGCGAAGCTCGGTATTTAAGCCTAAAGCTTTACATTGCTTTGAAATTTTTTCACAATGATCCAAATCTGAAGCACTTCCCATTAATATTACAACTAAATGGTCATTCTTCGGAATAATGTCTTGCAATTGTTTACTGACCCAAACAAAATTGCTTTTGACCACATCCAAATCGGCGCTGGTAACCGAGGTCAAATTACGATAGACCTGCTTGTCGACCATTAAACGTTTATCACCTGCCGGCCATAGACGCCACGAATCTGAATCAATGATATCAGCCAAAACAATTTCGCCTAGAATGAAAATGATTTAAGGAATGAATTGAGCATATATATATATATATATATATATATTTTTTTTTTTGTAATCCGATTAATGGGAATTCACCTTCTTCGTCAATGCCAAATTCAATTTTCATATCGATTAACGCGCAGTTTCGAGTACTCCATGCCTTTTCAAGAATTTCAAAAACCAGTACAGTTGTTTTCTTCATTATGTCCACTTCATCTTGTCCTGGCATTCAAAAATTTACAAAAATACAAATTTTAATATATATTTAATCGCAACATTTGCGCGGATGCAAAATACCGATTAGAACTCCATTCAAATTGAATTTTGCGGAAATGATTTGCTCATCAGACCATTGAGGATCATGGTTCGCGTCATCCTTGAAAAATGTCTCCTGCTTTGGTGGAGAAAATCTGAAATCAAATATATACAAATGTATATATATATATATATATACCGAATGTTGTTGGGTTATGATTACTAATTAAATTTGTACATTGTTTTGCAACAGTTTGCTCAAGTTGTCAGGTTCCTATAGGTTATCATCTGATTGATTAAAATAATCAAAAGTTTATTTCTCGCTTATCGATATGTTGACGTTAGGACCGAGCTAATGTAAAATATTTACGCAAAAACAGTTATTTGCATTAGTGATTTCAAAATAATGACGAAACGAGCGTTAAGCATCGAATCACCCATGACTGAAGAAGCTAACGAACGAATGATTGATAATAGAAGGTTAAAAAGACGCATCCCTTTGCCCTTGAAAAATGATAAGGATCTTCGCTTTTAAATTGTATGGACGATGTGTTCTTGTATTTGTTGTAATGCGAAGCTGCATCTTGCTTCATAAAGAGAAATTTAAGAAACTTATTATTATTTTTGTTTCTCTTGCCTTATACTTAAATCGGAGATGATCGGAGATGATTCAATCGACACCCTGTTTTTGGAAATCGTGAAATTCAAACCTTACAGCAAACCGTGACCTTTCGCCGGACCAAACTTTTAGCAAGTAAGATGATATGAATTTTACGACGGCCATGACAGCGATATGATCGAAGGTTTTACATTTTATAAATAAATTCACATTATATCTGGGTCACAGTGATACACAGGTGATCTATCACCATGAATATGATCTCATTTATTGCGTACTCAATTTAGGCTCAGCATGAATTGTAGCTTAAAACATATCATACAATGAGGTAATTATTGTAATGGAACTTCGCTGTTAGCGAAGCGGAGAATCATCAGCGTCTTCTAAAGCCAGTTAAAAAAAGAATATCTAGGATATTATAAACCTGTTGTTTCAAATAAATAACACAACGGTCCGAACGGTCCGGTTGGGCGGAACCTTCTTAATAAAGTGGAGCCAGGTGCAAAAGAGCTTATGGATCAAAAGTGCAAAAGCTTGCAGATTGAAATGGAAACTGTTTGGCGTTGAGGAGAAAACGCAATGAACTTTTTCTTTTAATAACATTTACCCTTCTCTTTAATATATATGACATAATAATAAATCGTTGACAAATGCAAAATTATAATAAAATGCGCCTTTTATCTTATTATGGATAAGATTGAAATCTAGATTTAACTGCAATGAGCAACCTTTGATAGAATTAATCGCATTAGGTGCCATCAGACCAATTATTTAAAATTTCAATCAATTAGAAAACAATTCAAGTTAGCCCTCAAAATGCTTCAACAAACGAAATCAACTCACAATTTGGTAAAGCGGCTGCTAAAAAACGCCAAACCACCTTGAAATTAATTCCTTAGTTATAAGTTTTCATTTTCATATGATAGCAAACAGTTGAGAGAACGTAGTCTCTCTTAACCCCAGCACTTAACTACGGCTAAAGATTTACGGTTAAACAAACTAAGCATATGTCTGAAATAGTCAAGGGAACCTAATCATACAGACATATACAAAGGAAAACAAAAACACTTACCGATAACCTTCTGGGACGCCTGTGTTGCGTTTTAAGTAAGAACCCGTTGCTAAGCGACGTGTAACCCACTCAATTGGAATCATTTGGCATTTTTTTGCAATAAAAGCCTTAGGTCCGGCCGGCTTCACGTAAGCTGTCCGCACACCTAAAAATGATTAAATACCAAAACTTACGACATGCAACTAGTTTGCAATCACTTTTATAAACATTTGATAGAATATTTACCAGCTTCGTTTAATATCTGAAACACTTGGCCATTGGTTGTGTTTGAAATTTCTGATTTTCCTTGCAAATCATGAGCTTTCACTCCGTCTCCTGCAGTGATGCGATCCTTGCTCAACAATAAACAGAGACCGGGATTTTGTGGCAAATCGTATACCTGCTTAGTTTTTCCTTCGATTAAAATTTTGCCCAGCTTGTATTCTTTGACTGTTTTTTGTATTGGGAAAGCAAAAGAAAAAAAAACTCTTAAGCATTGGTTTTACATTATATCTCTTCCATATACACACTTGAAGTCATATTTAATTACTTGTCTTGAATCTAAAATGCACGTGTTGTGTTTGTTAAATTGCGACCAAAAGAACCTACTCAAGGCAGAGGCAGTGGTTGAAGTGAAACTGATTGCAAATCGTTCTATTAACATTATATGTCTGTTAAGAGATTTCATTTACATTTTTGCTTCGCGAGCGTTTAATCGCAGAGAAGTGAATGAGAAAAGATCAAAAGAGTATTTTAAAAAGTTTTAATATAGAACGGAGCAGTACATTGAAAAATTTATCACCTATTGTTACACTGAATATCAATGAGAAACTGATCGCTTTTTGTGCAATGATAACGAGGAATAAACAAAGATTAAAAAAAAAGAAGAAAGTTTTAGTAAGGATGCGAAGCGTAGCGCTTTCACTACAAGTGACGTACTGAATTAAGATTAAATTTACGCAAGAATCGAGCGCACTGCAGTTCCGAAAATTACATCAACTCAAATGTCAGTCATCAGAGCTTCCCAAGACATGTCAGTTCACGTTCGATAATACATATACCCGCAAAGATATGACTAACGATCGATTCGATGATATTGTTGTAGGGGATTTGTAGGCTTTAGCAACGACTCTAACTTTTGCTGACTTGCTTTGTATATATTTGAGGTTTTATCAAAAGATCTTTAAGAAAATGTTTACTCATGCGCATAATAAAAATGAGAGCGCAATTAGCCATAACAGAGTACCTAACTCTCTATCCTAAAAACAGTCGAAGAATATCTTGCCATTTAATTCTCTCGTGTCTGAACACACTTGTGCAATTTCTCTCTTTAGCTCTTTGGTACAATATTTTAATGCATATGTAAAATAGAACATCGCAAGCAAATGTTTACGTGAGAGATAACCAAATGGCATGTATAAGTTACTTGACGTTCCAAGTGACGTGTCTCGCAAAATTTGTCGACGGCGAGCAGCCCTGATGTCCGATTCTAATTGAGACCACTCGCTTTTAGTGCACTTTTCATTAACGAGTTAATGATTATCAACATAATTCAAGTCTGGTTAATTCTTTAAATTTAAAGTTGAAATCTAATATTTGGAGGATCTTGATAGCACAGAAACATGACCGCATTGTTTGAAGCTGTTTTAAGTTACTTATGTTAGACTTAGAGCAATCTATGTCATTTCCCTTCGACAAGCACACAGTAAATGACACCGCAAACGTACGAGATTCCGAAAAATGTAAAATCAATTGTCGCTATTTGAAGTCTTCTTAACTCAAGTGTCGTCGAATTTTTCACATGCTGAAGCAGGATGCAAAGTTATTGTATGGTGGGATGTACGCTAAGCAACGTCAGTTCAATTAACGTTTTATTGGGTTTTCAGTATAAAATAAAAAGGAAATCTTGCAGAGTTAATTCAACTCCAAAAACGACGCGATCTACTAAAATTTGGTCGTTCGTTGTGACAGACGACAAGTGCAAGATACGAAAATCAAAACATTCTAAAGACCTAGAACATTTTCGTACAACCACCTCCATCAAATCCCAATCAGCCCAGAAAGCTTAAGCTTTCAAAACGATTTTCCTTTGGAAACCTTTTTCAAAACGAGTCTTCTGTCTTTCACAATCCTAATATGCGTTGAATCCGATATCTCCGACTCTGCGGATTTGTTAAAGGTTTCTTGAGCTTGAACGGAAGGAAAAGCTGAAACCAATATAAAGTGTGAATATTGTCTATCCGCCGTAGTTCATTTATTACGCTGCGATAGGATAAGATTCATACTGAAAGAAAGTAGTTCCCCCTTGTGTCTGTCAAAGACATCTATCTACTATGCGATTTGAATGGAATGACGCGATGCTTGAGGGCAACCCACATTTATTGCTATGTGAAATGGCAATAAAGCGGGCCCAAAAAACTTAGAAAACTTTCAAGAATTCGTGCAGCCAAATTACGCATACAACACTTACAGTTGTGGAAAATCCTTAGGAAAGAAATAAAATGCAAAAACAAATTCGCATAATTTCGGGAGCCATTCCGGATGTGGTAGAAAGCATAAGCTGTAGCGTGTATTTGAAAGGAAAGCATGACGAAGCACAATATAAAAGAGAGCTTCTTAAATTGTAAATAAAATGAACTTGTTTTGTGAACTTAATTCGCATAAGCAAAAAGCCTTCAAATATATCGGACAGAAAGAAGTATTTTCCTTAACTCGGATAATGGAAAACGAAGCTATACCATTGTAACACCCAAAACCAGGGGGATTTGTTTTGGTCCTACACATACCAATAAGTTACTCCTATATATTTGAAGCAGGATAAGTATATTATACTTTCTACTCATTTTCTCTTATAGCATGCAGTTTGTTATTTTCTTGTGAGTGTATAGGGATGCTCTAATAAGTAAGAACAGTATAAGTGAAAACGGAATGAAATGGGAATACCACATATAAGGTAAGTCAGATGAGACACTTCGAATATGGGTAATCCGATCGCGCAAAGGCATAAAGCAGAAGAAGATGGTACATCCTCCTTCCCTTTCTTTGCTAAACAGTCAATCCGTTAACATATCTTCTTCAGAACTAAATTCCGTCATTGTCCGCCAAGATTGCACGCTATAGATGCCGAATTACGGATATTTCGGAAGAAGACTGTACGTTCCCTTCGATGAGCACTGACGATAGGTCATTTAAGTTAACTATAAGCATTTAAATTTGAGTTTTTAGCCACCAAGTTCTTTATGGGAAATTGCACCCATCTCTTTATTAATCTAAGTATGTATTTTAATTAGTGACAAAAGTTAGTTAATAAAAGGGAATTGAATTAAAACATCGAGTGATATTAAGAATTTTATTCAGAGGAGAAGGACGCCTCGAAGAACCGCTGAGGCTTACCCCGGCAATAGAAAAAAAAGCAATTTTTCCAAGTAAAGCTCTTCACAGTACAAAATGCTAAGCAAAATGTAACTGAAAAGACAAGATTTTGACAATACTTTCAGTGCAAGATTTTACTTTCTTCATTAGGGCCAGCGAATAAAAGTCAATATGAATAAACAATAAATAGCTTCAAATTAATTGCTTAAAATCTCATTGAATCTCTCTTTGTTTTTAAGTTGCATTCCTAAAATGAACTGTGTTATAATAATGTATAGAAAATGATGGATTTGTATAGATATCAAATCCTATACGCTATGTAGGTAAATTTTATTAAATAAAACTTTAAATGGTGTTTGCAAAAATTATGATCAGAAAGAAATGGGATATATCGGTGTACATAATGGATAAATTGGATAGTTTTTTGACTTTTGACATAAGATAACAATTTTCCATTTAATGTAATTGATTTATTCAGCGTACACCGATTCTACTCATGGAGCGATCAAAATTCTTCTTGTTTCAAATTCATTAGTTTTGTTGTTTGTTTGAAGAAATCTACTTCCTAGGCCCATTAAACACGTTCAGAGGCTTATGGTGATGCTGCTCTATCATATCCCAATTATCGATTTTGGATTCATTTAAATGTCGCGTCCCGAATTGACTGAAAATGCAATTTTTTGACCACTTGGTGCAGAGTTGCCCAAGATGCACTGTTGCAGCTCGAATAGAAAGCTCTGACACTTCCAGCGGAGATATGACCGATTACCACTGATTACCATATGTTCAGATCTGTGCAGCGTGGCTTGGCTGGCACGTGGGCCCTTAAAGTTGAAGAAGTGCGAAAATGGGTCGATGGGTGGATCGGTGCCAAATCAATATAAGTTCTTTTGACAGAATATCGCCATGTTGCCAAACGTATTGCCAAATGTTATAGAAAATGATGGAAGCCATTTTGGTTAATATATATTGTAGCAATTTTCCACAATAAATACCTTCTTCAAGTGAAAAAGTGATCAAAATTTTTGCAAGCGCGTAATATTTTTTAAAAATTGCTCCGTTAATTAAACATTTATGTTTATCAAGTTCTCTTTTTCGCCTTTCACTTCGCACACTTTGTTTGCCGTTTTTGGTTTATATTGTACTGCAAGCTCATCCCTTGACCGATCTGACATAATTTAATCATTAACCTTTCGATATTTTGCCAAATTTGAAGCTTATATCCTCATTTTTGCGGGCAATAGACATTGTAGGGAAGGGGGTAGGAAACGCTTAAAATGGATTCACGATTTCATATTGCTCAAGAATATATATATATATATACTTTAGGAGATGTATCAAGCGCTTTTCAAGACTATTACAGTTGTTTTGACAAAGTGAATATTCCCTCAACTTTCGGTTGTGGATATAAAAGTATCTTCTCACGTCTTTTTAAGCACAAGCGAAAAGGAATGAAATCAGAATATTATAAATAAAGGGACAAAAAGTCATGGATGAATAAAAAAAACTGTAAATGTGTTAGATACAGATGCAGATGAAAGTCAGTTTGTCTATTACATTTTCCGCAAAGTACACGGCATAGCTCTACTATGGCACCTACATTCCAATATGAGCAAGGAAAATGGTCCCAAATCGCATGGACCATTACGATTATATAACTAATGCTTATATCTGCCTTTTTTTTGTCAAAAAATCAAACATATATGTATTTCAATTCTGCTACGATACGAAAACCTTCTCCTTAATTGTTATACATTTTAGAAAATTTCACCGATGATGGCATTCAATTCGACCCCAATTCGAGCAGGTTAAGTTCCATGGTAGAAATAATGCAAATGTCATTGAACGTTAACATAATTCAAAATTTTATTTGATTTTAAGAGTGAAAGAGAAAGAGATGCGTTAATCATATTAATTTGTTGTTGTTGTTGTCATAGAACACACTCTAATGAAATTGAATTTAATTATTTAATATATGTATCGTTAATATGTGTTATTATTATAATTATTATTATTGTTATTATTGTTATTATTATTAATATTAATATTATTATCAGTTATAATACACGTATGTGTATATATATATATATATATATATATATATATATGTATGTGTTAATAGGTGTGACCACATTATATGTTATGTGTATAAAATATAAATAAATTACGCGTATGTATTGTTTACTGTCTACTTTGAACATTTGCTTGTTATTGATATCCGTTCTTGCTGGGCGATATGTTCTTTTGCTCCGCTAAAAATAAAAACTAAAATTGAAAGATGCCATTGATAAGAACGTGTTTGAAATCTCACTTACATGTAACGCGTCAATTCTTCAATATCAACCAGCATAGAATCTTGGTTGACGTGAAAATCGTCACGTTCCATCAAGTAGTTGACAAGAGTTTCGTTCAGTTCCTCAATATGTGTATGTAAATTGTTAACAAGTATTTGTAGTTGTGCAATATTTAATTCGGTTAACATTTGCCGCGAGACACGTCGCTTATCATTACTCATGCGTATGCCTATCTTTTGCAGGGAGTTACGTACTATTTCGGTTATAGGTGATACTCGTTGATTTTGCCGATCAATCTAAAATAATTAAATCAAATATATATATATCGATCAATTTTTGAATCGTTTTATATGTCATTTATTTACCTCCATTTGCATGTGAGCCATTTCTTTTGCTTGAGCTAAAGCCATTCGTGCCTCAATTTGTAGTTTCGCTTGTTTGGTAAAAAAATCACATTCCATATCTTCCTTACTATACGGTTCAAATGATATATCTGTGTTTTGCGTTTGATTATTTAAAGTGTTGTTGTTGTTGTTGTTATTATTATTATTATTATTATTATTATTTGTGTTATTACTGTTTGAACAGCTGACCGTAAGCGGCCGGCCATGATAGGGATGCAAAGATTTATCAGCAACAGTTGCCGCACTAAAAGTCGCACTACTATTATTGGGAACTTTTGTCTTTGAAAGTTTCGGGCACGTCTCCGAATCGGAACTATTCGTTTCCGTATCGGAGGCAATTTCAGTAACACGTGTAAAGTCTTTAAAAAGTAAAACATTCTTTATGCAATTTCCTCATTCTTCATATATGAATGGCTTCTATGCAATTAGTTCTTACCATTTTGTAATTGCGATTGCGAGTTTGGTCTCCAACTTATTGATCTCATTGCCGGTAATTCCTGGCATGTGCCGTCAGTACCCATAGCCAAGCGTCGACGTATTTCCTCACGATCATTGCGTCTCTGTAAATCGAGAAGGGGAGTTTATTAAAATTAAATTAGTTGCCGACTTAGTTACAAGTTAATGGAATTCCAGATTTAATTGAAATTGAAGGCAAAAATTTTAAAATCAGTTATTTAATAATTAGTCTAAACGCTTAAGAACTAATTACTTATGTAGAGATGAACTTAGAATACTTCGAAGTTCAAATTGAAATTTTCCGAAAAATATGTTAATCGTAGACTAAATGATACAAATTGATCGTGCAAGGCCGAGCTTTCAATGCCCCTACGACTGCTATTAGTATTTGGACCATAATCCATTAATTAAGCCCAAAAGTATTTCACAAAAAGTTTTAAAAAAGACGGAGCTGTTCAGTACACCATCATCGCGCTACACGAATAGCGGATATCCTCTCAGTGGTTGTTAACTTACAAAAAAATACACTCACCCTACACCACTTGTGATATATACAAGTTGCAATTTTCTGGATTGTAGTATGTTGACAGGAAATTAATATGAAATATATGGATCTGATGGGCCAATTTTTAGAAAGCTCCCGCACCTAACTTTCCCTACGAAAACTAAGCCTAAGGTAATGGAAATGGCTCTTTAAAATAGTGATTTCACGTATAAATTTGCTGTGATGCGTTTGGACTACGTAGATCTATTTCTGGGTCCACTTTCGATATAAGGTCTTTTATAGAAATAAGCCGTTTTATGGTAACCTTCTTCTTCTTGATGAGCCCATTAGCTTTATCAAGTTTCAGCCAAGTCGGTTCACGTTGTGCGGTATGTCGAGTACGGGTGCTTCTTTAAAAGGTGAGCATTTACATGGTAACATGAGAGGATTATGAGCGGTTATGTTAACTGTTGTATGAGAGGTGTAGTGGTGTAAGGTTTTTATTTGTTTTCTATAGGGTTTGTCTTTAGCCAATATGTACCAAATTTTCCAAAATAATTGAAAATTTGGATTTTATTGATCAATGAGAGTAAACTGAAGTGAATGAATCTATGCATGTTAAAATTCTTGGACTATTTCGACTATTTTAGTATGCAATTATATGAACGGACACCAACAGAGATATCAAAAGACTCCACTGCAATATGTATAAACGGAATAATTTCTTTTATAGGAGTAACATGTAACAACGGAAAGTAATATCTATTAGTCGCACTAATATCTCGGCCATTTCTTGTCTTCGCCCTTCACCACGCGAATGGGTTATGAAATTGTGTTCTCACTAGCAAATCAAAACAAAAGTTTTTTCAAAATTCAACTTGGATCGTTGAATAAGTCCTCGAGCTTCCGTCTCACGATAAAAATGCCAAACATTCGTGATGTTAGAAATCTTACATGCTTTAATTATAGTTGTTATCTTACATTGCCAAGTTTGGAACCTTCGACATAGAGGTTGGTTGCTTGAATAAATCTATCTACAACAGTTAATAGATGTTCAGGATTAATGCAAGTGGCATTGTCCGCAAATAAAGTCAACTCAATGTTAATACATTTGCTCCGGCAACGTAATACTCGCGGAAACATTCCGTCGATAAGATCATTATCATTTTGTTCGCAACTTTTATACTTATTAATATCGCTGGTCAATCTCCTTTTGATGTTAAAGAATAGTTTTTCCAACATTTTGATGGACAAAAGAAACGAATAACAAAAACACTTAAATGAGTTTAAAAACTGAATTGAAAACTAACTGATGCAATAAAGACACGTTCTAACGACCATTAACGCTGTGCTACTGATTAAACTCATAATTGTCGTTACAAAATATACGTATGCACGAGATAGTGTTTCATGATGCAAACACATTTGCTTATGGACATGTGTATAAGTATAAGTGTACAAAGATCCTCCCAATAATTTACAAAATTCTTAATAGTCTTACATATTACATACAATGTAATGTACTGAAATTTAACATAAGCGTAAGTACCTGTTCGATTTCAGGGAGGAGAGGGGTGGGAGAGTACATCTTAAAGAATCGCACTGATTGTACTTAAAATGTAATATTGAATATTAAAGCGAACGCCGGTATTTGAACACTAATAGCCTATACATACATCAATTGTTAGTTATATATAATCACTCGGGGTTCAGTAATTACTATCAGTTAAAATTATTTATTTACTATTGTTTTCCTAAAAATATAAATATATTAAATTAGTCATGTTTGGTTTAAAATGTTTAATATTCAAAACACATCAAATCTAGAAAAAACTATATATTTTTACTCGATCTAGAGGTTAGAGGTTTCTATACGCGAGCGCCCTAATAAAGAAATAAATGGCTTTACGAACTTTATGTGAACTACTCTTTACTATGTGCATTCTTAATTCCATTCTAATAATTGCGATGCTTGACCCAGCGATTGAGAGAATCTGTAGCCTTTAAGAGGCTACATTACTTTTGAAGTTTTAGAATGAGTACAGGTGTCTTGACGCCTGTCTTATGCTTTTGGTTCCAGCATATTGCTGCGCTTCAAGTTGTTGTTGCATTCGCCGGACCAGCTAGACTTCACTATCTCTCGCGCAAGATCGTAAAAAAGATACTGAGATCGCTAGTTTACTACGGCCTCCACCCTCCCACTTCTGAGATATATATGGTTACGGACATACTATCCCTGCATTGAGCGAAAAAGTCTTCAAAAAAAGAGTTGTGTTCAAGAAATTCTCTTCCGATACTTGCGTCTTGAGAAACTTGGGTCGATTGATTTGTGATAATGCTTCTGCAGCACTGAAACCAAAGAGATATTAGAATCATTTATCAGCTTCCTTCACTTTCCTCTCCTTGCACGATAAAAAATCCTGCTTTCGAACGCGTGTTAATATTTGCCCCTTGGAAAAGTATTTGTGGTTCCGGTTTCTTGAAATCTAAATTCTAAATAATAGGAGTTCTTTCGCTTCCAATATAAGTTTATATGTAACGAAATAGTTAATTTTAATTAGAAGAATATTCTCCCCCTCCTGAAAAATTATTTTATTACCCGTTCATGTACATTAAACCAGTCGTATGTGCATTTCAGTTAAAGAATCTATGAAAACCAACCCTCTTGAACTCACATTGATGCTGACATCCGCTTACACCTACATATTGTTTCTTATGTATTGTAATGCACTTTAAGCAGATGTTATTTTTTTACATTTATTGGTACGTATTACCCTTAAAGTAATGCAAAACAGGGACGGCAAACATATCGGTAACGAAATGGACTTTAATTGATTGTAGCAAACAATAGATGATTATATAGATGGTGACGCTATGAACTTAAATAGTTTACCGATAGACAGAGGAAATACATGCTTCTTACTGAGAAGAACTATAGCCGTCCCTTGAACACATTAATTTTGACCAGATCTGAATATCTTAGTCATTGGTTGCGATTGTACTGTCTGGTTACAACGTTACGTGTTTCGAGGTATTGAAAATGGCTCGGATTGGGAAAATAAGGGAAGGGGGCGCTCGAGGACAACTATAACTCTGTGTGTAGATAGCGAGATCTGCGAGATCTTTTCAGTTCGATATCTGCTATGAGGTATAAATTACTACGTTTGGCTTATTAAGGAAAGGTTTTGCGGCCGATCTCGATTTTTGGTCTTCAAAAATGTTAATAATAATAATAATGATTTTTGAATTAATCTATGGATTGAAATGGTTTATGGATTGTAGGTTATTATTTTTCCATTGTTTAAGTAATATTTGGAGGCTGATCAGATCAATGTTTAGCAGAAATTTGACAAGTGTTAATGAAATAAAAGCTTTCGGTATAATATCTTCTAATCTAATATCTTCTAATCTTTGCATTGAGTTTGAAGTTAGTATATACCGTGGCTTGTAAGTAGTAGCTTCCTACCCATTGCTGGCAGATCATACCTATTATCAAGTTTGGCTTTTGATTATCAACAAAGAATGCAAGGTATTCAGGCGATTGATGAAAGAATCGGTTTAAAATTCATTGATTGAAACATCGATTTCCAATTCTTAAGTTTGAAACTTGATCATCAATATTGGCTTCGTAATACTAGCGATTATAGAAAATATATTTCTGCTACATTATCCGTGTTCGCGTAATGCAATGACAAGTAAATTCCTTTTGTATTCATTAGTGAACATTTGTAAACATCTAAATATAAACGCTTTATGCGCTTCGGTTCGTTTAGACAAACCTTCTCGCTCTTGCTTTTCCAACTCAAAAGAAATATGATAGATATGTTTTTATGCATTTGTATACTATACGGATAGGTACATATATAAACAATCGCGTGCGTACCTGTTTTGCCCGATTACCAGACGCATCGCTCACAATTGAAGTAAACAATTCAACAGTATCGACACTTTCATGCTCGTCATAGCACAACGTATACAAATCGAAGACAAAACGTGAATCTTTCTTATAGTGACGACGTTTTGATAATTGTTTCAATAGAGATTCGTTTTCCGTCATAATCAAAAATCTTTAATCTCAGTTTTCGTTTACACGTTTCGATTTCTTAGGAACGTTAATTAATCGCTTTTTGTTCTTTTGCTCTCGTTTTACTTTAAAAAAGATTACAGTTAATAACGTCTTTATTTTATATATATAATTTTTAATAGTATTTTTCTAGAATCATAATAAACTTTCGTATAAACATGTGTTTATAAACAATAACTGTTTTGCAGGTGTAGTAAAGAGACTCGAATAGTGAGTCAACCAAAACGTAAAGTAAATGTCCATCCATAAGCTGTGCGAGAAAAAAAACACAAACACACAAACACACAAACACAAACACACACACATTCAGATCTACAGCGATAGAGTTTGATTTGAAGTTTCTGGTACGAACTTAAAATGAGTACTGACGGAAATATTGCTGTAGAAAACCTCTGAAGATCATGGGCTTGAAAAGAAAAGAGCTTTACGAGCACCAGTCGTTATGAATTGTGCGATCTCCGATTTGCTTGGCTTACTTCAGTGGACGGAACAGAAGTCGAAGCTTGTCATGATTATGGTTAATAATAATAAATTTCCATCTAATCTATAAAAGCAAGCTTTTAATGAAAGTACGCCTCTCTACATTAATATCTGCCACCTGTACATGTTAGCTGACTCTACATATAAACAATTTTTATAGCAGTAGCGTAATACATACGTTTCGCATTAATATTTAGGAATAAATTAATTTGATCATCAAATCCCTTTAATTCACTTTTAAAAATTATTTATATTATAGAAGAACTATTATCGCTAGTGCAGAGTAGAAATCGGAGAATCAGATAAAGAATTAAGATTTTCTCTTCTCCTCCACTTTTCTTATTAGAAACAAAGTCAATTGTCAAACTTTACATCACTCGTTTTGTCATAAAAAAGTAAAAACTCAATCTTCGCTGGAGCCTTTGTATGAGGGGAAGGTCAAAATGTCAATCAATATGGCCCAGGCTTTATATGTCAAGTATCCTTGCAGTAATTTCTACCGTAAAATACTACATATTGCATGGCATTAAATGAAGACTGAAGACAGAAATGACAGAAATGTGAAGTGTAGTTTTTTACACAACCCAGCGAGCGATCCATTCTTGATTTGCTAACTCATAGAAGAAGAAAATGTTAAAAAACTAGACTTTGTCGTTATGGAAAGACTTCCTTTAAAATAGTTCAACTCCTTCAAACTTTTCATATTATTTAACGAATTACACTTTTTATGTAACCTATGTAAGAAAGCCTTAATCTAAATCATTTTGAATAGAATTCTTCCCGAGGCGAATGTATGCGCATCTTAAATCTATTTAAATTCATTCCCTCAATCAAAGTTGAATCTATCTGAAGCCGTACTTCCGAACAAACTTAATCAAATAAAATCAGTGTTTGTTCTCATTTAGAACTCTGAACCTTTTGTAAAATCCCTTAATATTAATCATCAATGTAAATAACGTACGTATAGTCAATCGTAAGGGAATTGAATAATAAACGCGAAATATTCTTTAAAAAATTTCGGAAAATTCTATCTGTCCTTTCCGTTGCTTTCTATGCAAAGCCACGCGTCAGAAAATTATGCTCTATCTTCATACTAAATGTTTCAGCGATAAGGACCTTTTGCATAGGGAACTTTTTAAGCGTTCAATTTAAATATTTGCAGGAAATTTTATGTTGAAATCTTTGCTCTGCGAACAGCTCACATCCCCTGAGTGAATTATATTAAGGAAAAAAAAAAGAAGAAATTAAACTGTTTGACTTAAAGGTCAACATTGTTAAAGTGCTAAGCGATATATAAATTTTAATGTTAATAATTTGACCTTAAGCAAGCTGTACTTGGGGAATGGAACAAAACTGAATCGTGGTCCAACAAAATATTACTTTTCCAATTTTATTCACAAATAATGTATTAAACTAATTGTAAAGTAAACCGTATGTTCATTCGTTTGATTTGATTTGATTTTTTTGGTAATTTTTTGGTATTTAAGTGAATTTTTTGTTTATAATTTCATCGTAAGTCAATCAAATTCTTAAATTGTTATTTAATTTAATTTAAATGCAATTTTTAACAAGAGAAACCTTAAATTTTCGTACTATATGTAGACTTTATTGGGCTACTGTTATTTTATCGACTGTAATGGTATTTATCTTACGGCAAATGTAAGCCGTATATATGACTCCTCGCTAAGTAGAAATTCTACGCATTGCGCGCAAACTTTTATAAAAATTCCCCCTACTTCCCACTATTGGAAAAGAAAGTTCGATTATCTGGAAATGCTTTCGATTTTGTTATTTAAACGCTCTTAATATAAACTGAGCTATTAATCCCTGAAGATAACAATAATTTTATTTTATTTTTCTTTACAAAATCTTTTGCTTACCTTTTTTTCAATTTCCTTAGCCATTTTTAAATGTTTCTGCAAAGTTTCCGTATCAATTTCTGTACCAATCTTATAAGCATCAAACAGGTCTAAAAAATCAAACAAGAAGAAGAAACACTACTCCATTTGTATGTTTTCGCACTTAATTTGATGCAAATGTCTCATGATCAACTGTCGTGATAGCAGTTTAGATAAGGAAAACTATAATGTACATGTCTCCCCTTCCACGTTATCATTATTTGTGTCATTGCGGTATTTGTCACTAGATCGACGAGTGAGATTGCAAGTTATGCAGATCAGGGATTTATATATTTTCTACCATGCGGATTCCTATTAATGCAATCACGGCACATATCCCTTGACTTACTATTAACTTTTACTTAAGGAGGATTGTAATTTACATGTTTCCCGCTACCTGAACCCTATTAATACTGTCGCTTATGAAGAACGGTAATTTAGATGTAGGCTGCTAAATGGTCTAGTGGGCTAAGTGCTGGTATGTTAACGTAAAACTTATAGCACTTGATCTATTGCTAGCGATTGTAGCGTAAATCTCACTCTACGTGGTCCCCTATAAATGTTTATATAATTTAATCGACTGTCGGATTAGCAATATCGTTCTACTTCTTGCAGTCTTTGCTAGGCCGTCGCTATATCCTGCCTACCTTATGCTGTGCATTCGCATTCGAGAATAAAGCGTCTTTACAACTTACCCAAAGCACTGGGAGATAACAAATCTGCGCTATTGCCTCGAGAATTATGATCCTTAACTGAATTCTTCAGGTACTGAGCCCAAGATGATAATTTTGCATATTTGCTATTGCTTAATATCTGCTCTTTATCGCTGATCAATTGTTGATATTGATGAAATTCGGTGTCCTCTCGTTTACGATTGGTGGTATTATCGTTCTTATCGTTTTTATTGCCTCGTTTTGGATGCAACAAGCGACTCGCGATACTCGGTTTTGTGTAATGATTTCGGGTCGCTTTTATGGTTCCAGACTTTGCAGGTTTCTCATTGCTTTGTGCTTTCTTACTAAAGCGTACGCTTTGCTGACATCGTTTATATTCAATGGCCACAGGAGGCAATTGACGTTCATCGTAGGAGGACTTCTGGTATCTAGGTTTTTCTTGTTTCTCGGTCACAGCGCTTGTCTGCATGACTTTTATTTGCTCTTGAAATGATTCGGTAGAGTATATACGTTCAGGCATATCTACAGCGTTATCGTCAGGTAGATCATTCGAGATATGAAATTTGTGGTCTTCTTTTCGCTTATTAAAGGCCTCTAAATATTTACTTGAATCGATTTGATCTTTAGCAACAGATAAAGTAGCATCTGATACCTAATGAAAAGTCAAATGAAAATGAAAGTAAATGTTTTTACCATAAACAAATTCAAAAATATACCTTTTCTTCCGCGCATATAATTGTGGGTGTTTTGTTAGAAATTTTTGCATCCACTAGACGCCTGTAACCACTAACTAAGAGTCCGAATTCTCGTTCGACCTCCTGACCAAAGTCACCAATAATGTCTACCGGCGTTAAGCCCAACGAAATCTCATCACGGATCTCTTGATTTCGTGTATTATAACCGCCATTAAAAGCAAATGTTTCAGTTTTTACGGGATTCGTTTTAGTTTCTTCCGGTTTCTTTGAGTTTTCTGTCAGAACTTTACGATGAGGTTGCGGACTAACGCCTCGTAGTAAATCTGGTCGATTTTCCTGTTTCAATTCAAATTCGATATGAGTGAGATGAGCATTCTTAATTAAGATATCCGGTGTAATAGATATATCGGGTATTTTATTGGAGGTTTGACCATAAGTTGATGAATCCAATAAAGTTAAAGCATTTTCTAAATTTTCTTGCAATTCTTTAACATCGACTCCACGCCTAAGATTTTGATTTGAATTTTTATTAGCTTCATCCAGAGAAAGTCCTCGATGACGCACATCGGAAGTACAAAGTTGATAATAACTTTCATTTTCGGTTTTCTCTTCGTTTTGCTCTTTTCCACGAACAAACTCTAATCGTGTATCCTCTTCGCTGAAGGGACTCATGATCGATTGCGGTGTATTATTATTGTAGAGGTTCAAATGTTTTTGTGACCTCTCCTCGACAAGACTATCAAAACTGTCGGCGCTTAATTCCATTTCATATTCGGACATATCACTGTCGTAGGAATCGGAAGGCGAACTATTTACAAAATGCTCGGAGAGCGTATGGGCCAAGTGTTGAAAACCTGGATAGTTGGGATTTATTATGCCTCTGGGAAAATATGATCGTTTGGGGGTTTGCAAAGATCCGCTCGAAGATGATGCTGACGTTAAGAAGTCATCATCTTTAAAGACAACAAAGAAAACTATTTGTTGCGATGGACATTTGTAGCGTTTAAAACATCCATACTTACCTCTTTCATCGCTATCGTAGAAAGATTTGGTTTCGCTGGCTAAATCAATCATAGATTGATCATCGTATTCATTATCATCTAAGTCTTGTTCATAAACTCTCGCGCTTCCTGAAATTGTTTTTTCCGATCGTTCAGTTGTGTGAAATGAATTTTGTACCTGTTCCGTTTCGTTTCGGTCACTATTCATAACGTACTGCTGGTGAATATTTAAAGTTGAGGATTGTTGATCGCCATATAGATCGCATTTCTGATCGTTCGGGTCCGTTTCATGTAAATTAATGAACTCTATCGGATCCCAATCTGTATCGTTTACATTCTCTGCAGATTGTTGTCTTAAAATCTACAAAATTCCGATAATTAATAAAGCGCTACTTTCGACAATAGCAACAAGTAACAAGAGAGCTTACATTAATATTTTCAAAATCTCTTACGCAATCTTCAAAGAAAGTCTTATTCGTAGAAAAAATTTCCTTAAAACTCTTATAAGTGTTGCCTGTACTATTTTGAGCGTCGTTATTGGAGAAGTCATCAAATTGCTCCTTCTCGGCTTCAGGTGGTAGTGCTCCGCAGCAATAATGGGGCGTTGTTAGATTATAATTGAATCTATGTGGTGTATATTCAGAGGGCGAAGAATTTAAAGCTTTTTGCACAAACTCATCTGCCGAAGAGCTGTACCTTCGCCCCAATGCTTGACGATCTTGATATTGATTCCCTTCCTTCGGTAGGTTCTCGTATTTGATTTGTTCGCCGCCAAGTACCGATAAAAAGCTTTTATTTGTGCCTGTTTTGTTGTCGCCTTGATAATGTGTACCAAATGTTGTTGTATTGTGTGATTGTGCAGCGTATCCAGCTGTTACGGGAATATCGGGAACTCGCATAACGCTTAAACTCTACGATTAAACAGCAAAAGATAATCGTCAAGACTTGCTTTTAGAAATCATTTTCAACGGATACTAAAGAGTTTTTTGATAAACAGGTAAAAACACTACGGTGGAACACGGGCCACCATTACAGACGTTACACCACTTTGCTTAATAAAGTTGTGCATATAACTGCTTTTCAAAGTAAGGTTTGCTGTGGAAAAAAATGGTCCGATGCGAACCACTTTCAATAACTTTCTTTGCGTCAAAACATGTCTGTGCGCCAAAGTTCATCAAAATATCCCAAAAATTGCAACCTGGAAGTTGAATGCAAACAAATGGGCAGACAAGCTTAGATAGAATCTTCAGAGCTTAAAATGTTGTTATATTGATGAATATCGGGAACTCCTATACCGCTTAAATTTTCTGGATAACAAAAAATGATCGCCACAACTTCTGTAATACCCTATACAGCTTGTGGCACAGGATATATTAAGTTAGTGCGATCGTATGTAACACGCAGAAAGGCTTAAGATTGATCGACCTTTTATTATACCGATCGATTCGGAATCATAATCTGAATTGAACTAAGCCTGTCATGTCTGTCCATGTAAAGTTGTGTTCAAGCCAGTGATCGCAAATTTTGAGATATTTCGATGAAATTTGGTACAGTTGCGTCTTTGCGTGAAAGAATGGTCCGATCGGAGACATTTCCAACAGCATTCGTCCTTGGGCTGAAACATACGAAAGTTCATCAAAATATCTCAAAAATTGTACCTTTGGAAGTTCAACACAAATATAGATGGACAAACAGTAGCTGGTTAGACACGGCAGATGAACGGACAAGCTTAGATAGATTTGGAAGACGATTCTTACCCCAACTTCTGGGTGCTTTGTTAATTCGTATAAACCGCTAGTAATATAAAGTGGAAAGAATTTCCTTTGTCCGGAATAATAATTTATATTTTGGATTTTTTGTGCGAAGCGTATATTCATTTTGTCAAATCTTTTGTAACGTCGAGAAAGAAACTTCGAAGACGCCACAAAGTATATATATTCTTGGTCAGCATTAAATTCTAAATTGATTCAAGCATGTCCGCCTGTTCGTCTCTGTAACGTCTATGTGTAGGCGTTCTTACGTGAAAGTAGCGATTTAAAATTTACCAAAAATATTGAAAGTTCCTGCACCAAGGTTGGGGTTGAAAATGAGCCAAATCAGTGGAAGGAAACGCCCACAGCACCACGTAGACTGAGATTTTTTGTTCATTACTCAGAAACTATAGCAGATAAATGTACAAAAATTTGAACGCATATTCTATGGTCGATGCTGTACAAAAATGAAAAAAAGTTGATCACATCTAACCAATATTATGGTGTTTCAAGACTAAATTATTTTTTCAACAACATTATAACTCGCAGAAAGAGGCTGCAAAAACCCCTTAAAGCATATAAACTCTTGGCCAATTTTAAATTTAGAATGCATCTAAGAATGTATGTCTTTTCGTCTGTCCATCTGTCTGCTTAACTGTGTAGTATCTGCGGTAAACAGTCTCGCGTTCGCAAAAATTAAGATATCGCCTACAAATTTGCAAACGAACTTGAAAGTGACCTAAACTTTTTAAAGGACACGCCTATAATGCCCACGCCTCTGTGCGACAAAAACTTTTATTTTGACAATAAGAAAAATCGACATCGTTCATTCCATGTTATAGAGCATAAAAATTCAGTTCTTCCTCTTTTTTTTGTCTTTTCAGGTTAACGGTGATGGGTATGAAGGATTCGGTCTCGACCGAATGAAATTTTCTCACTTGTTTTTTGTTCGCAATGAAACCTTCTTTATAGACGAATTTTTAACTAATTAATTAGATAAATGAATTAATTAACTATATCTATATCACTTTTGTAATTAACAAAAGTTTACAATATTTTACTTTACTTTTTCATGTTTCTCAACGCAAACGTTCGTCTTGTATGTATTCAATATAAATGTTAATTTATATAGTTGTTATGCATATTATATGTCTGTGTTAGTAGTGAACGTTCGCTTAGCCACGCAGCCGATTACAATTATATTTATTTATATTAGGGCACGCAAGCACGTATATAATACACACCCTCTCCATAACCGTTTGCGGTAAGAATACGACGTCGTATTTCATAAGGATGATGACGTCGTAGCATATAAAACATCTCAGACATAATTCAAAGGACCGTCGTGTGAGTAACCGATTACACAAGTAGTGAAACTTAAATGTTATTTCTCTAAATGTTTAGAGGAAATACAAAAAAAAAAAAAAAAACAAAATTTTATATTTTAATTGTTTTATACGTGCGTTGATTACGTCAGTGTCATTCAAAGGATGTAAGCATGTTCAGGTCTTTATTCAAAGCTAATAAATACCAGGGTAAGCGCACACTGCTTGCATTTATATTATCTTTTGATATCCGATTTATATATGCGGGACTATACAATGTACATACGAATGTATGCGCAGAAATGACTCATTTATATTCACAAATTGATATAAATCCAAGAAAACAACTGTGAACCTTGTATTCATCTTAAGAAGAATCGTTAACATGCCCGACACCTTGGCGGAATATCTTACATAACAGTTATAGAGATTGTATTTGCCTTACAGCACATTTAATTACGTCGTATAACTTCCAAAGAACACATGAAACCTAATAAGTTCTTAAACACTCTTATAGATATGAACTTGCGGAGCGATACGATAAATATTTTCAAAAAAATTTTAGGTTATCATAAGTTTTCTATCGTAGGTTTTGAGTTTTTGCAAACACATTTACTAATCCTTATCTCCGCTCATTGTTATGGAATCTACATACAAGTCTCAATTTTTCATTTCAATTTTGGCGACTGATAAGTCGCGTCCATGACGGACGAACGTAAAGAAGAAGGAACTTATTTAGATAGACATCGAATTTCATACTGATTGATCCTTTAAAGAATTTCTTATTTCTTTGCCTCACAAGGAGTCGGTTAAGTCTAATAAAGCCACTATTTTAGTGAGGAATTTGTATTCTTTTTGGAAACATTCACGCTCGACACATTAAACATTTCTTTTTTTTTACGACCGTGGACTAATTAAGATGATTTTCGTAATCTATAGGTCCACGGCTGCTCTGGAACAGCTCTACATTCAGCCACATTACTGTGTCCTTGAACATTTTTCTCCCCCCATAGACACCACGAAATCGCTTGGAAGGCCTTTCCCCAAACTTTCCTTTTTTTTTTTAATATGATCAATCACTCAGAGGATGTCTCCTATACGTGTAACATGGTGATCATCAGAAAGAAGTATCACGAAACAAAGAGATATAGACAAATCGAAGCGTATAGGTCGGCATTTACTTGATACCTTTGTCATATCAGAATGCGTTCAGTAAAATTTGTAGCACTCATTAAAATCCGGGTAGATCGTTCTGCGAATTTGGTTGCGTGCGACAATAGATACCACGTAACTTCAAAAATTTTCTATACCTAAACACGCCTGACAGCAGCGTCAAGTCACAGTGCCGCTGGTAAGTAATATTCCTTAATTTTCAATTCCCGCAATCTAGCACTATTACCATTTGCTAACTTCTACTTGCTACCACTTACTGCCGGGTTAGTTCTCTCTCTTTCTGGCTGTTATCACTTGATAGGTGTCAGCTTTTGCTAGCTACCACCCTGCCATGGCTTACTTAATTGTTATCGCTGGTCGTTACCGCTTGCAAACTGCTGCGACTTAATAACTGTTACCATTTGTTAGCTGCCAACTATTGCCAGCTGCTACCGTTTGGTTTGCTAGATGCTACCCTTTGTTAGCTGCTGCCACTCGACAGCTGCTAGCATCTGCTAGTTACTACCATTCTTTAGCTACTACTATCTTATATCTGCTAACAATTACACACACACCCACGAGGCTGCGGCCGTTTCACTGCCTCTTTCTCTTTTCGCACATCTTGCCGACCGACGCTGTATTATACGAGCAGGGGACATACTATGAGCGATTAGTCCAAATTAAAAAAAAAAAAGTTACTTGCTGGATGTTACTAGCTTCTAATCGCCATTGCTTAATGCTTGCTACCACTTCCTAGTTGCGGACTACTTGCTGCTAATTATCCTCCATTTTTATTCGTTTATCCGTTATCTGTTCTTATGGTTTACATTTTAGTGATCTATAATTATTATATCGCTACTTGTTATTCTTTTATATCCGCAGATATCGACAATGTGTAGAGTATACATTGGTCGGTGAATACTTTCATAACACTATATCATTATTTGCTTTATCTGTTTCAAGTATATGCATATGTATGCAAATATTTTTATTACTTTAACCACATTTTATAGCACTTTTATCCTTGAACAAGTGAAAATCCAACAGAGATATGTTCATTGATTTTTTAAATGAATTTTTTGTAAATGTTTTTTATACGAAAGCGAAACTACAACGATTTTTAGCACATGCGCACATTTTAGTCAAAGTCTAGTAAAAATAAATCAAAAATATTACAATTATTAATTAACTAATTTTATCATTGTGTTTACGTATTTAATTGTTTGTTTATATATATATATTTTTTTAATACTTAATAATATTGGATTTTTTTTTCTTCGAAATTTTTAGTTTATTTCGATATTAGTTGAAATGATTTGAATTTTTTTTATCTCTTATATTATTACTATTACTTTTTTTAATTCGCTTATTTATTATTTATTTATTTATTTATTTATTCAAATATTTTTCATATTTACTTGCCCAACTTTCCGTTGAAAGCAAATTTTTAGAAAAAAGGAAGAAAATCTTATGAAAAAATCAATAATTATCACTCGTTGTGTGGTTAACTTTACTAAAATTCAAAAAAAAAATCACCACAGAATTCCTTTAATTCCCTTCAAGTATTCTTTATTGTTCTTTATTTATATGAAGTAAGACTTGTTTTCATATAAAATTTTCACCTAATTTTCCGTTGATTTAACATAAAATGTCGCCGCCCACACGCACAAATTGCTTTACAAAAAAAAATTTTTGAAGTTTTCAATTAAAAACTTTTTATCAAAATTCTTTAACGATATCCATGAAAGTCTTAAGCTGCATGTACTAAATGGCCGAGTTCAACTTAACGACTGCTTTTGTAGTTTGGGTGGTGTTATAACAACTCGGTCGGTCAGCTTTGTTTATGCGCAGAATTCATATACTGTTTCAATCACATGATTATTTAAATAACTGAGAGAAGCCGGGTATCGTATCGTAATAGAAACATTTTATTTCGTCGACTCGTCGTTTCCGATTCGAACTGAACTATTAATCATGCAATAGTGTTGACGTCAGTTATCACTAGTAACACATAAAGGAAAACATCGAAGCTGTTTTGATTGTGTGATAAGCGCCTCTGAAGCTTAAAATGAAAATGTATTTCAATGGGTTACATATGACGGCATATTTCCGCATCATTAGTGCTGCCATATGCAACATGTATGTATATTATATTACAGTCATATGCTATACTACTATTTCCACTTCCGTATGCAGAGCCCACTATGATGGTGGATCAATAGAAAACATAGCTTTTAGTAAATTAATGTCATTCATTTATTTCAAACATGCTTCTGCTAAAGCATACGAAATTTGATTTTACCGGTGTTCGTAAGGTTTCTTTCAACGAATAGTACGAGACATATTCATTTTGTCAAAATGTTTGCAACAAACGGAAGGAAGCTTCAGCAATGCCGCAAAGTCTATACATTCGTGATCAGCGTGAAATGTTAAATCAATTTAAGCGTAATCGCCTGTCCGTCTGTGTAATGTGTACGGTAAATATTCTCACGTGAAACTATCGACATGAAATTTGGGACAAAAACATTGAAAGTTCTTGCACGCAGGTTGGTATTGAAAATGGACCAAATCTGTCGAAAGATATGCCCTCAACACAACGTAAACCTAGCACACCAATGCTTTTCAAAATGAAGAAAAAATTCGACGCAGAACTCGCCAAATACAGCAGATAAAGATACAAAAAAGTGAACGTGTATTCTCTGAGCGATGGAGTAGTGTTTGTGCAAAAATGGGAAAAATTCACCATACTTTCCCAAAGTTTTGATATCCTAATAACTAATCCTTTTTTAAAATACCTTTAAAACACGCAGAAGCAAGCTTCATAAACCCCATAAAGTATGTAAGTGTGGGGCAGTTTCATATTCGGAATGCACCTAAGCATGTCTGTCTGCCAAACTTGGTAGTGTCTTTGGTAAATATTCTTCTGTTCGCTAAAATGAAGATGTCACCTACAAATTTGCAAAAAAATTTAAAAATGACCCAAACTATCCAAAGGACAACGGTCACGCGCCTATGCAACTAAAACTGTGAACACCTTTGCTTTTCATTTGTTTTGTTTTTTACTCATAAAGTACAACACACACATACATCATATAAATTTATATTTTAGAGCATGAAAATTTAATTTTTTATTTGTTTTCTTAGTCCTTCTTGGCATCACGGTGATGGGTATAAAAGAATCGGTCACGACCGAATTTAATTTTTCTACTTGTTTTAATTGCCATTCATTCTTTTTTCATTCTTCGTAAAAGGCACAATTCTCCTGTGATAATGATGTTACGAGCAATGTGCACCCAAAAAGCAATTGCGCTCTCCTTTGAGGACAACATCATAAAGTTGCTGAAATAACTCCGTCAAAAAACGCGTTCTCATTAGTTGTAGAAAATAATATATAATATTCTATATATTTTACTTATACGACGTTCCCCTTTAAACTTATTCTTGTTCTATCTCAATAAGAGAGAGAACGTGTTATACACAACATGTAACTGTTCCTTAACATCCCCTTTAAGACTTCATTGTGTGTACGAGATAAAAGTGATAAGTAAAGAATCGTAAGAAATTTTCTACATTAATATACCCGGGGAAATTCTTCTTACTCAGCTTTATGGGGTGGTGTTGGGCTTATATCTACATTTAAAAGCGATTTATTATTTTCAAATTTTTTTTTATAAACACATTTTTTTTTTTATTTTTCTAGTATTCTCTCCTTAATTCATCACATCTTCGAATTCTTTTGGATCACTTATCATAACATTTTAGGGGTTCTTCGGCAAAGCTTGTTAAATCCTAAAATAAAGAAAAGCATTGCAGGCTTCCTTCGCAAGGAGCTTATTCAAAAAAGCTCGGCATAAGAGAAATAATATGAAATCAGTCCACAAACTTACGATTGTCTCTTCACAATTCTCTCATAATCGAACAGAGATATAGAGGCGAATTTAGTAAGGAATTTGTCCCAAAATACCCGAGTAAGAAGAATGTTCACGTTTATGTCAGCCCTCTAACTGTTGATTATTGATTCAGTCTTTACCTCTTCACACCCTTGGCCATATACGTGGATATTTAGCTTTCACATATTTTTACTAAGAAAGGGGGAGTTGCGTTCAGTTTGTGCTTCACTGCGGCCCTTTGCCGTGACCAATTTGGCCCAATTTCAATAACAACTTGCCTGCAAATTTGAAATCGATATCTTCATTTGTGCGACCAGAAGAGTGCCAACAACACCATAGAGACAAACAGGCGGACAGACGTGGCTAAGTCAATTCAAAATTGCTGATCACACTGATATATATTTCGTAGGATCTCTGAAGCTTCCTTTTGAGTGTTACATACATTATTGAAAAACACAAAATCAGTAGAACCCCAGCTTACAGTGGTAGGTATAAAAAGGAGGAAAATTTGACAATAACTTATTCACTACAAAATACTCCAACAAGAGAAGTAAAAGTTTTGTGGCTTAAATGTACTGATAACGGTATTTCCTATGTCCAGTTCGACATATAAAGAAAGAAAATTCTCGATAGCCAGTTTTGTTAGATTATTTTAACAGATCGATAATATATCGCGACCACAAATGTGAAAGTTTTCTTTTTTTATTTTTCTTTTTTATGAATTTTAATTGTTTTGCTCATTTGTTTTCCTTTTTTTGCTATTCGAATTAAAAAGTCAGCTTTTTGTTGCCATAAAAATATCATCTCTGGAGATAGGCTGTGTAGCATTTTTCTTAATTCTTGCTCTCTGCAGGATATGAACATTATTAACATTAATTTTTGCTCTGGGCTTTCCAAAACCACACGATTGGAATCCGCTGGCTTTTGCGTGCTTGCAAATGAATTAATTAATTAATAATTAATTAACGTTTACATTTGAAGCCTCCTACTGTGCATCTTTGGCGATCTATTGTCGAGCGAAATTTCTTGTAACTGAAGCATAATTGATTTGTACCTTCTTCAATAGATGATCATATTCCTACTTGTATTATTACAATGTTAGATCTCTCAACACGTCACAGTTTGCCTGCAGATTCTTATAATCCAACACTCACTTGACCTTTCTATTACGGGCAAGACAGGGCGCTGAAATTCCTCAATGTGTTAAATCTCGCACTCCTTTAAATCAACAATATGTCTTTACCGAAATCTGTTTTTGTGCGATTTCTTTTATGTGATTTTTTTTGTGCGGTATATGAAAATTTCAATCAGATTGGAACATAATCGACAAAGTTATCAATAAAAACAAATTAGCAGTTTTGTCGATTTTTGATACGCATATATTTCACCACATTACATAAGTACAATTAAATGACATACGTATTGAATTGTATGGTCGTTGCGTATAGTTGAAAAAAAATACATTATAGATGACAAATATCGGCTTATATTCAAGTGACGTCCAACGATGAAAGGACCCCCTTGTTCAAGAAAAATGCAAGTAAATTTGTTTAGTGTTATCAGTCATAAAAAATTCTCTGTCAAGTTTGCGCAATGCGTGACTAACAATTTTTCCATGACATTCTCTGAAACCTACAAATCTAAATCTAGTACCTATAATAGGTTACAGCGTTTGCTAAAGATTGAAACGTTAATTGATGTCTCAATAATTGTGATAAGGAGAAAGAGGCAAACGCGACATCAACATCTTTCTGCAACATACGAGCAAAAAGTTGAAATAGATTGCACATGATCATCTTGATAAGCATTAATCGGAAATCAAGTTAAAACTAACACTTTTCCAACTTCTCTCTATATTCTGACCTTAAGCTTAAACATTTTTGTTTTCTTATATATGTTCATTTATTTCGTACAAATATATGCTTCTTTAGTTGAACAGTTTTAAAGGAAAAGATCTAACAATTAAAATTAACAGTTTTCAAAGGGCACAATTAGGTACACGAATAAAAATATAAAATAAGTGAAAATAAAATATTTAAATAAATTTTACTGTAGTGCATTTTAAAGGCTAATGGGGTGAATGCTTCGCATTCGTAATTGTATACATAACCATGAATTTCAAACATTAGATTTAATAGAAAATCTATACAAATGTCTTCCAAAATATCTTCTTGTGCCGCCACGGTGGCAGCCGTCATATACCATGTCTCGTAGCAAATATTGACTTAACGCAGATGAAGTAGAAAAAACATATTTGTGTTTTTAAGTGAAGTAAACATTTTTTGATAATTGTTCGAAAATAACTACAACCTGCAAATAAATAAGCTAAATATAAAATTAACTCAGTCCAGAAAAAAAAAACCATGAAAAATTTTCAGGGGTATAAAAAAACGTATGTGTGTTTTATAATAAAATTACATGTTTATAAATTTTTGATGTAAATTATTTTCCTAAATTAATTGATAAACCGTTAGATGTACCAATACTTTATCTTGTCGAGCTGCTGCGGATTAAAAGCGATTTATGTAAATACACGGATATTGCCCAGATTGCTGATCGTTAAGTAGATCTAAACTGTTAAGAAAATGTTGATAAACTGTCAAAAAGGTTGAGTTCTAGAAGTTCTTTTCGTTCCCTCCGTTTGTATAGTATAATACCTATAAAAAAGGAAAAAATAAATAAAAGAAAAAGGAGAAGAGAGAAATAAAGAAGAAAAGTATGTCTGCAAAATTGTTGTTAGCATTGTCGCAGAGCAATGGTGAATTGCTTAGATCAAACTAGCGACATTGTACAAACGCTTAGAATTACTTCTAGATCAGCTTCGCGTCGTGGACACCAAACGCTTACGTTGCAACGTAGCAAATCATTATTTGCTTCTATTTATTTTCTTAAAATTTTGGAATTCGACCGTTTTTTTCTTTTGTATTATTTGAGAATTTTGCAATTTGCACAACTTTTTTCTGGTACTTGTAAAATTTCACAGAAAGCCGTTAGCTGGGATTTCCTTTACATCATTTTAAAAAAAAATGTCATGTGTGGAGAATGGAGAGAGCACAGAGTTGCTTTTAATAAATAAGTGGTGAATAAAAAATCTCTCATCTGTTAAATGAGAAAAGGTAACCAAGCAGGCGGGCGCATCTCTGTTAAATGAGAAAAAGCAAACCATAGATGCAAAAAAAAACAATCAGGCAATTTTTTCAATATTTTCTCAGATGTCACCAAATATAGACTAACTTTTTCAATTATTCTCAATTGTAAACAAATTCGGAATTCTTTCAATTACTCTCAGATGCAGCCAATTTGGGATTCGTTTTCCAATGCAACATTTTTGTCAAATACAGTCTAACTTTTTTAATTCTTGGGATGCATACTCAGTGTCACATAGCGAGTGTAGAGAGTGCCAAAGCAACGCTAATATCCACGTGGAACCGAAGATGCAAAATAACGCTCTTAAAAAACGCACCTTGCAATGGGCACAAGTCAATCCACGAGTAATTCCGAAACGCTTAGAAACTTTATTGGAGACATCTTCTTAAACAAATATCTCTTCGTAATTTTAGCAAATTTTTTCACCAAAATAAACACCTGCCGTCCATAAATCCACTTTTGTAACGCATTGATTGAATGCAGCCACAATTTCCAAGATTATTTCCTACTAGTTAAGGCAAATATATGCGACCCAATTGACAAATTAAGCCAACAAATATAGGAACAAACAAGTGAACTGTTTTAAGTTAAATACGATATAGGATTTCCTAAAATACCTCAAAACAGTCCTACTCAACAATTCTCAATATCTCAATGCGATGCTAGTAATTTATTTAAAAGTTTTATAAATGGGTTGCAAATCCTCCAAATTACTTTGTTATGAATTAAAGTACTCCTCTTCAAAAGCTCGAAAGTCTTCTTCAGTAAATATTGATTCTTGCTCTATGTTAGGAAGCGTCTTTTCCACGTAACGACCTTTGTGAGCTTGTCGGACAATCTACAATAAATATGAATTAAAGTCAGCTGCAAATTACTAAATGCAGAAAACTTAACACAAACATACCTTCTCGGCATCTTTCACTTTTACTGAATTCATAGATAAGGCTAATAGCCGTTTTATATTCTCTTCAGCTTTTTTGTTATTAGTTTTAAGTTCTTCCCGAATAGCGATATTCTTCTTTTCGCCATGTTTGCCACTGACTATCTGCTTTTGCAAAGTTACATGCTTTTTACCATGGACTTTAAAACGCGTACGTGCATCTGTGGCCTCTTTCGACTGTTTTGCTATTGGAAATATTATAAACAATAAGTTTATGTGGAAATGTGCAAAGTATTTAAACCTTTTTTATTTGGAATTGGTTGCAAATCCTCTTCCACTATTTCTATCGCTTGCTTTAACAATTTTGCAGACATATTTTTTCTTCTTTAATTCTCTCTTCTTCTTTCTACTTTCTTTTTTCTTCTTCTTTTTTTATATCATTATTCCACACAAACAAAGGGAACGAAAAAAATTTCGAGAACTCAACGTTTTTGACAGTTCATCAATATCATTTTGACAGTTTAGATCTACTTTGCCAATTTTGATGTAAATATTAATCACAAACAATTCAGTCCTATCTGAGCAATTGTATTTATATATAGCTTTTAATTCGCAGCAGCTCGACAAGATAAATTGTTGACACATCTAACGCTTCACAAATTATTTTTGGAAAGTAATTTCCGTCAAAAATGTATAAAGTTTTCACGTTTCATCGTTTCATCTAAACTGAGTTGATTTTTCATTTAGCTTATTTATTTTGACATTGTAGTTATTTTTTAACATTTCATTAAAAGTTGTTTACTCCTCTTTCAAAATATTTATTTGTTTAATAATATTTGTTACTCTTGTTATTTAATTTTTATCAACTTTTTATGTTTCTTTCTACACCTAATGATTATTTACATATATATATATGCTTACCTGATACAAATATGCTCCTAAGGATGGCAAACGAAGATAACATCGTTATCGTTTTTATTGATAAGTTTTTTTTCCTTATATTTGAAAATTTTTTTAAAGCATCCTTTATATTTTGCGTTCTCCGAACATGTGCGATTATAAAAATTGGTATTTGAAATTCCCATAATAAAGAGAAATGTCAATAAGAAGAAACTAGAGGGAAACGTAAGAAGAAACTTTAAATAATGATATATCAACAGTTTCGTTTTTAACACTGCATTTAAAGCAACTAATTTTACGATCAAAATACAATTATTATTATCATTATTATAATGTTAGCCTAATGAAATAAATTCTTAGACTAAAAAAAAAAAGACATTGAGCACTAGCAAGACAGGCTATCGGCTCTAATTTAAATAAATGTACATTAGATAATGAGCTTAGTAGTATTAATAAAGTAATATATAGAATTGATATTCGGTTCTGAAGCTGATCTTACAATGTCCAAAGGGCTAATCGTTCCAAATGCAATACTTCTAGCCATGGAAAAGTTAAGGCAGTCGCAGGGAATGTGGTTTATAGTGAGAGACTGCAGAATGGGGAGGAAGATTTCTTCGAGATCCATTGGTGAGTTGCAATTGTATGACCAAGGCGAATTCTCGAAAATGTTTGGATCTTGATTTTCTCAACATTTGTTGGATATAAAGGTGGAGTTAATTGAGGGTTAATGGAAAAGTAGTGATGATGGTATTGTAAATTTCCTTCTGCAATTTTTTCTTTTATTTTTCTTACAATCAAAGTATTTTTCTTCAAACGTTCTGCAACCGCAGAATAATATATTTTACTGCCCATGTGGAGAAAGACCATGCATTTTTTCAAGGCACTGATGAATTCTTTAAAATTGATGTAAATAAAGTTGGAAGAGGTACTATTCAGTAAACACAAACGTACCAAAGCACTCTATAAGTATAATTCATTAGGAACTGAGGGAGTGACTTCAATGAAAATCATTTAATTCAATTTTTCAACAAATAATCTGTTGACGCCGTTACTTTTTTATATTATATATATATGTATATATACATTATATATAAATATGTATATGTGTGTTTACATATTATATATATATATATATATATATACATTTATATAAAAGATTTATTGCAAAATTATTATTGCATTTAATAAGTTAAATAAATCTAAGGAATTTGAAAACAAAAGCTTATAAAATAAATATAGAAAAGAGGAACTTTAAGGAATATAAGGACATTGTAAGAAATTAACAATAGGTACATTTATTGCGTTCTTTTACAATTGTATATATTTCATATATTGACAACGTATCCATCTGAGATACATATAGTTTTCCTGGAAATCTGAAGTGTTATATTTCACCTGCTTTATAATAATAGAAAAAAAGTTTGTTTATTTTAAAACTTACATCACATCATAGATAAGGATTTTGCATAAATCGGTTTGAAAGTTCACGAAAACATTCTAAAATACAATATGCCATTGATGTGGGAAAACACATGTGAAAGAAAAATGTTGTCTTAAATATATTAACTATAATGCTTGAATGTATGAAGGAAAAATAAATGAATGAATGCACGAATAAATAAATGAATGTATGAATGAGTGAGGGAGTGAATAATTAAATGAAAAATTGAATAGAGGAAGGAGCGAACAAATGAGTGAAAGAAGGAGTGAGTGATTGATTGAATACATGAACGAATAAATGCCTGCGTAAGTGAACGAATTAATTAATTGATTAAATAATGAATGAATTATTAAACGAATGAAGTCAACATAATGCAAAAGTTGATTAGAGATCTATAACTCTTTGAAATAAATTAACAATTTGTAGCCTCTGGACAAATCTGCTCTATAATGGATATCTATTGTACACCTTTGTTATTCATATTGGCGGTATTGCAACTACAAGTATGTGTGCCGATTTATATGATGTTCGCCATTGTTTTTTGGACTCTTTTAGTGTACATATATAGTGAATATATATATATATATATATATTAGTGTAATTTTTTGGCCTTTCTCTTTTTATTTTATGCAAATTTTTTTTGGCAATTTTGAACTTTATGTAAATGTTTCACCAACATTGTCCACTTATAAACCAAACATCAACACTTTCAAATTCTTCTTCCGTCTTTTCGACAACAATTTCATAATCTCCATCCAAATTATCGTATTCATTTGTTGGCATATGTTCTAAAATTTTTTGTTCCAACGCCGATAAATTCAAGTAGATGGTACGATTTTTCACTTTCACGTCGTCGTTATTGATTCCCTGAAAAATCCTTGTTAGTTGTCCAGTTCGAAATGAAAAACTAGCGGTATTTCAGCCTATTCCCAAAATAAGTAATAACAGATCGAGTACTGACTACTCTGCAATTTTTCACTTTGTCCAACTTATTTGTGCACTTGTGAAATGGTTTTGGTATTTCGCTAAAAGCCGTTAAATTGTTACCGTATATCATGTGTAGTGAAAAGAGGGAGAGAGAGATGTTGCTTTCAAAAAGTGGTAGAAAAAACCTAAACAATTCTGTTTAACTTAAACAATTCTGCTAAATGAGAATTTGCTACGTTTTTGAAGCGGAATAATGTTTCGAAAGAATTTCTTAGAGTGGCTTTCCTTTCTTATGCTTCTCCCAATTATTAGTGCAATAGAAAACTTGAAGGGAAGTATTGGAAAATTACTCTTCATGGATATGATGACGTTTATTAACATGCATATTTCCTTCAAAAAAAATTAAGCAAATTTCTTGTTTTGCTTGGGCTTTCGTTTCTCACCATAAATAATATTTTAATTAATATGTACATTGATTTCATTTGTTAAGAAAATGTATACAACATACGAAAAGCTTAGAAACAATGTCCGTATTTTTATGAACAAAATTTTTTTTTTTAAACAAAGGAGCAATGACAATTAATGCAAAATTCAACACAAAATAAAAGTGCCATCTAGAGTATTTAGATTACTAACATTATATGAATTGTATGGCAACATTCGAGTGAAATATATAACGAAGATGTACTGAACGAAGAATTTTACACAATGAACTCGAACAACTTAACGAAATCAGATACGCCGCCATTTTCCCTTGTGCATTTTATGTCAATAGTTTACGATTTCAACATTCAAGAGAATTTTCTTTCTGATATTTTCTATAATTATATAAAATTAATAAGAAATTACTGCACAAAATTATGCAAAAGTTATGTTAAAATATGCTAAATATTTGTAGCATACCGTATGTTACGTAATATTGTGTGAAATGTATTTTAAAAGCAAATGAAAAGTAAAAAAGTTTTTTTTTAGCTGAAAACGGTTGTAGTAGTTGTATTGTATGTGGTGAGCAAATGGTGGGTTCGTTGCATTGATGGTTGTCGGTTGTTTGCTGCAAAAGCGAACGGGTGAATGAGCGAAATTTTAAACGAATGAGTGTAAAAATCAAGAAGCAAAAGTGCTGGCTAAGTTAACTGGCTTAAAAGGCTGGTCAATAGGGGAAAGAGTGAAGCATCTACGGGAGCAGCAGTAACGTAACTTGGATTTTGGTCAGCATGTAGAGCATGTTCGGGACTGCTTAATTTCTGCTGATCATATTAGACAAAAGAGCCCTTGGTTTTAGTTTCTTTCTTATTGCATTAAAGGAAAAGAAATCAAACCCAAAAAATACAAGCAAATAAGGAAAATAAAAAAGTAAAAAATAAAAGCAAAAGTATGGGGAAAAGATACAGTTAGTCGAACGCGATCGCTACGACGTTTTGAACGAAAAAAGAAAAACATTGTATGAAGTGTAAAGTCTAGTGTTTGAAAAAGTGTGATAGCAATAAGAATTGTGATTTGTTTGGATCTAAACAAGTTGTGCAATCTTTGAAGGTTTAAGGGAAAAAAGAAAAAAACTAACGAGTTACGTTAAACCAAATAAGCACGGTTAATATTGTCAGCAGAGCCATTGCGGATTTCCTTCTGCTCTTCGGTCGCAAAGATATGTTACAGTATTTTGGGTGAGGGAGTCAAACATACGCACACATACATAATCATTGCGTAGAGCCGTGCGAGTTGTTGAAAAACGAGGGCGCAGCTCCTCTTTTTTCCCTCTAATCGTAAGTTTTATTATTCTTTATTATGGTTTTTTAACTTATATATATGTATATATATGTATGTGTACATTTATATATGTGCGTAAGTTATCTACGTATGGATTTATGCGTATATATGTATAGTTAGGTATCTAAGCGTATTTATATATACTTTATGTTTATGTGAATGTATGCAGAAATACACAACTATATATAATTAGTACGAATACGCATACATGTGTAAACGGACATATAAATTCTTTATGTACATATATAATTATTTATTTGCGTTTATGTATATAAATCAGCATTTAAGTCGCAAAGTTCCAAGAAGAAGTAAATGTTGTTATTGTTACTATTTTTTTTGTATAAGTAAGTCAAACGTATAGTTTGTTACAAGAAGATATGCATGCTTTATTGTTCTCTTCTTTTTTTTGCATTTAAAAAAAGACGTAGCATACCGAATGCATTTTTCATGCAACATACATATCTGTGTAAATATTTATAAACATCATAATTTTTATTGAGATTATAGATTTTATTTTAATTTTTTCTTTTTTTTTTAATTCTCGTATAAATTCTTATTCATAAATTTCGTTTTTTGCCTTCTTTACTTTTTTCTTTTTTTCTTTTTAGCAACAAGTTTTATTGTTGCTGCAGTTGTGTGTTTCTGCTTATCTCTCATTTCTGGTTCTACTAGTTTTTCTTTTGTTAGCAACATTTTCCCAATTGTACTGAATTTTTAAATTGATCTTTCAATAAAATAACAACAACAACAATGCCAACAGTTACAATGCATACAATTTTCTATTATTGATTGCATCCTTTGTTGGCCCTTTTCTTTGTGCATGCGTTTGTGCGCTTGCACGCTTAAAAATTTGTGTTGAATGCAAATGAAATGAAAATTTTAAGGAGTTTTTTACATGTTTGCGAGTTTCTCTAATTTCTTATTTTGTCTTGTCAATCGCTTTGATTCGATAGCATGGTCGATCAATCTTTATCGATATGCATTAAGGGGAACCATGGACATATTTAAAAAGATAATGCATCTGTACGTTGTAAGATATTATAGATGATAGAGAAAATAAGCAGAAAAAAGGGTAAGGTCGACGAGATGTGTGTAATGAGTGAAACCAATACCATTTTCTATACAGAATTTGGAAATTTTCTCTACTTTCAAGTTAATATTGTTTAAAGGACGTCTTCATATAACATCATTAAAAAATCTTTGGTTTTCATTTTAAGGCATTAAATAAATGTTCGATACAAGAAAGGTGCGTTTTGATAAAGCGTCTAATATTAATGTCCCTTATTTATACTTGTGAAAGAACTACGGCACAGATAGAAATCAAAGGCAAGTAAAAACACTATACGGAGCCACGATGCGACATTAAATACACTACACAGCTGCGTTTAATACAGCTTACTCTCATTACGGCTTGTCAAAACAAAGTGTTATATGGGAAGTAGTCTAAAAAGCGCCTGATATGAACCATTTTCAAAAGCGTGGGCCAAAACATGTCTGTGTACCAAAAAATTTATCAAAATATCTCAAAAATTGCGGCCTGTAGATTGAACCAGAGAAACAGGAAGGACAGGGAGATGCTGCATATATCTGCACAAACTTTCTATGAATTTGAACCACAGGTGGGCCCATCTATTTTGGTTTTTCATTCCTTGAAAGAGTGATAGAAATTTTGCTTCACATGTTATGAATGCACAGACAAGCTTAGGCCAAGTTGCCGAAAATGATTCTGAATCGATCGGTATAATAAAATGTGTGTATATCCAAAGTCTTTCTAGATGTTGCCTACATCCGCACAAACTTAATATACTCTTGTACCTTGTGGTGCAGTATATAATAATCAATAAGAATATATTAGTAGCATACGCGAGTAATGGATGTGAGAATTTTATTTTAATCTTTCGTTTATAGGTTCTAACAATTAGTGTTGTAGCATTACTCGTCTGCACATTAACGTCTAGTCTTCAAATCCTTTTCGCTTCTATGAACATCCTGTTTTTTGTTATTATAATGTCTGTACAAATTGAAAATGTGTTTTTTTTCTTTCAGTCATTTATTCCAAGAAAAAGACGCTGCCGTTCTCTCCAAATATTGTCTGTTCATAGTGACCTTTTTCTCTGTTCGATAGAAAGTGAACTCGGTACCGACAGGACAATCGCTTGTTTGAAGCCTTTTTCGTAACCACTAATATTTAAAAGTCGAAACAGAGACAATAAATCATCGATTGGAGCAGATATCAATCGGAGGGGCGAATCTTTGTTGAGTACAGCAGCATATGTATAGCATAGTATAGAAATATATTCACTTCCATGCTCTGTCGTGCTGCAAAAGCCCAATATCATGGCCAAGTGGTTCTCTACTGTTGGTTGCCTTCCATTGGAGCAACTCATAGTAAGAGAAGCTTCCCAATAGATCATCACAAGTAAAAAAAAAAGAAATGTGCCTTATGACGTTGCTTAATGTTATTCATCTAGGATTGAATTTCCCTACTTTCGAATAAGTTCCATACTAATGCATTTGGATATTTGTGATCAGGCTGTACGGGATGACGCCGACCTTTCGAAATTTTAGCCTGTTATCTTCGGTGCTTTCTGTCCTCAACTTTAAAATCGTAGTTTTTATGTTCATTTTTCTCGAAGTGCGTGGAAATTAACTCGAATTGCAAATGTTATATGCGAGCTTCCGTTAATATTCAATGATGTCGAAATTTCGCTTAAAACGATGTAAGATTTGCCACAGACACTGGTCATCTTTTGAAAAAACAGGAGCTCTATTGGGTTAATTATCTTTTATCCAAGTAATATTTAATGTCAGTAAATGAAATTTGATACGAAAGAAATTAATTTTAACACCTTGTTCGATTTTGAAGGGGCTTCTGCAGCTTTTTCAGTTTAAAACAAAACTGAAGTAAGCTATGGAACGCTGTTTTTTGAATAGTTTGCCATTCTATTAGATCGAGCCATAAATAACTTCCTATGTAGGCACGTAGACTCTATTGCTCACATTTATCCGCTATAAGTCACCGAAACAAACGACTTTATGTATTCACTATATAGATGAGAATTCAGTTAGTCTTCCGACGTTGACGACAACCTTTTAAACGCAGTATTGGAGATATAGCAAAAAGGTTGAACACTTCATAATCAACTGTTAAATTAATACAATTTTTTTATTTAATGAAAACAAAATAAAAAAACGGAAGTTACTTATGATTCGACCTAATATTAAGTGGTATTAAACGATAAAGAGTAAATATGCCTGTACATCACGCTTGTCTGCAGTTAAAACTCCACATTCAACACTCATATTTGTTATTAGTTGATTTGTCAGAAGAAAGATAGCAAAAAGGTGCAGATATCGGTATGAATATTTAGGAGCAGATTTCGAAATTTCAGCGTAACGTAATTCTGATTGACCGCATGATATCACTCCAAAAAAAAAGGATTTTTCATTTATGTAATCGCTTTAGGCTTGGGTATCCTGCATTCGTCAAAGTTAAGTGCGATAAGACTAGGTTGGATGTGCTTCCCTTTCTATTATGTACTTTTTTCTTTTGTGCATTTTTTTGTTATTCGGTGTATGTATCCGTCTTAATTACGTAAGTATTTAGGGAAAATATATTCATTTATGAATTCTTTAATCTTGTAAGGCTTGCATATTTGGAAAGCTTATTACTGTTTATAATCTTAAGCGTGTATGACCGTATTTCTACTTATTTAATGATCCAATAATGATAATACTATTAAATTAAGAAATGATAGCTCATCAGATTACTGTTGTAAATGGCATTAGAAGTTTGACTCAATTTTATTATAAAATTCGGTCTTTTCTCCTTTAATAAAAAGGACTAAAAGGCTTATTATAATATATCGTCTAAGTATACTTCTTTTTTTATTTTACAGGTCTGGCAACAACAAGCACAATAATACTATTCACAAACTTTAGAGCTGCACAAGAGTGTGCCGTTAGCGTCACATAAAGCAGTGTAGATTCCATTTACAAATTGCCAATATGGCGACGAGCGATGATGAACCGATGAACCACTTGTATGAAGTGTTTCAAAATTGCTTCAATAAAATAGCCAATAAACAGCCGACAGGGGGTGTTGGTAGTGGCGGAGGTCCAGGAGATCGCAATGGTGGTTACCAATCTCCTTATGGAGGCCTTAGTGGTATGGAGAATGGAATATATGGCGGTGCCGATGACTTTAATCCTATGCATGATCCCACAACCGGAGGTGGTGTCCGTTTTACAAGTGGTGCTCCCGTAGATCAATATTTTGATACTGGAATTGGGAACGGTGGCAATGCAGGTGCTACGGGCTGGTATGGATCTCCCGTTGGTGGTGGTTATGGTAGCCAGAACTCATATCAGAATAATGGTCCGATGAGTGGTCATCATATGGGGGGTGGACCACAACAACACCATGATCCAGATGGCCATCATATCGGCGCAAACACTGGAATGAGCTTGCAGATGGATGCAAGTGGCCATGTAGGAATGCACAGCCCCGCCACGACTTCATTACCGCCTATGAGTTCTTTTCGTGGTGGAAATACGAATAGTATTCAATCTCTTAGCGGTAATCCAACGACACATTCTCCGGCCTTGTATAGCTCACCACAACCGCATAGCACTCCTCACAGTTCCATGTCAACGCCAGTGTCAGGACACCATCCCTTAGGCAATCACCACGTTTCTCAGCATAGTCCCGCTATACAAAACGATGCCTTTGGAACAGTGGGTGGATTGGGAGTCTCTGGCGTTAGCGTGCCTGGCCTTGGATCGAAGCCAATAACCAATTCTACCGTGGTTGGTGTGCCTGGTCCTCAGGGCCCTTCGGCTATGCGACAACATATGTACATGACAGCTGCACCTGCTGATCAGTCAATCAGTAGTTTTAGTTCTAATCCATCTACACCCGTGAATTCACCGCCACCTCTAACCCAAAGTACGCTAGTGTCTCAGGCTATGCTGGTGGATAAAAGTGTGGTCAGTGGCGGTGCTGTACCTGCAAATTCGGGGTGGGGACATCCGGTTTTGAATGGTACTGGACCTAGCAGTAGTGGCAGTTCCGTGACTGGAGTTGGTGGTGGAACTTATGCGCCGGATATGGTACCCACAGGTCTTCATTCGATGGCTTCAGTTTTTCAAGGTGCACGCATGGAAGAAAGACTTGACGACGCAATCAACGTTTTGCGCAGTCATTGTGAACCTGAACTGCTAAGTGGCGTGTGTGCTACGCTCTCTGCCGTGGATAACATCGATGGTTTGTCTTCTTTTGTGCCAACTTCGCCGTCCAGTCATGGTATGGTAGCATCAGCTGGTCCTGGTCCTTCATCGTTAAACCCCACTCATGATGTTATGTCGAGCGGTCCGTCGTCGGTGCAAAATGTTGGAGGTGTCGTGGGTAATTTGGCGCCGCAAGTCAAAATGGAACGAACGTCAGCGACAGCAACAGCGACGGTGACAACAGCCTCTGCGCCTACTGTAAAAGGTCCCAAAAAACGTAAAGAATCATCAGCCAGTGCAGCTGCAGCGGCAAACACAGGTCCTTCCACGTCGAACCTTAATAATATGGTAGATGCCACCGACACAAAACCTAGTAGTTCAATGGAGGCGTCTCAGGCGCATACCCAAGCACCGCCACCTACCAAAGGAACAAAACGCCCTCGTCGATATTGTTCCTCAGCTGAAGATGACGATGATGCTGAACCTGCAGTAAAGGCATTACGTGAGAAAGAACGTCGTCAAGCAAACAATGCTCGGGAACGAATACGCATTCGGGATATAAACGAAGCATTGAAGGAATTAGGGCGCATGTGTATGACTCATTTAAAATCTGATAAACCACAAACTAAATTAGGTATATTGAATATGGCAGTAGAAGTGATTATGACACTCGAGCAGCAAGTTAGAGAACGTAATTTAAATCCCAAAGCCGCTTGTTTAAAGCGAAGGGAAGAAGAAAAAGCAGAAGATGGCCCAAAATTGGCGGCGCAACATCATATGCTGCCGCAAGGAGCCCCCAGCGTTTATGGTCAACCTCCACCACCACCCTTACCACCGACAGCGCAAAGCGGGGTACCCCCCGTTGTTGTAGGGCAGCCTCAGCTGCAACCTCAACAGCCTGGCGTGCAGCTGCCCCCACATCTACAGAGCCACAATCAAGTGTCGCATCAACAATAGCAGGCCTCCAATAGCCTCCATGAGCCGCCAACTTCTCATCTGCCAACAGAGATTGCCACACATCAGAGTAGCCATCAACAACAGCATCAGACCTCCGGGACCGATTTAGAACAGCAGCTGCTAAATAATCTCAGCCTGTTTCGAAGACGCCATCCACACGCTCAACCTGGAGCTTTAACGACGACCTTATCACAGCCGCCACATGCTCATCATCATCACCATCACGCCCATATGCTTCACCATCCGCCACCACCATCACATCAACATCAGCTATAGGTCTATGGTTTGTATTTCTAATGGACACTACTCTATTTATCACTTCAAAATATCATCCCATTGAAAAAATTGTATATAATTGTCAAGATTATTATAAGCTGTTTAATTGTAATTAACTTTACTTTCCATTTATTATTGTTTTTTTTTTTTTACATCCTTTTCGTTTTGCCGTCAGACGTGATCTGTATAAATAGGTCCACTAAATAGTAGTTCCCTTTTTTTTTTTTGTTTACTGAAAGTTTAAATTTCCGCAGCATTTTATTTCACATGCGTATGCCCTTAAAGAAGACCATGTAAAAGAACATTTTCGTATCTACTACAAGATAGAAGGAATACGTTGATGTTCTCATTCCACCCGTAGCACATCAGGGACATCTTAAATCGGTTAACTGCACTCGTAAAATGTGTTTCAAAAATTACCGTTTGAAAGAAACATAAAATGTCGTATAGTGATATGTATTCTTTATAATACCAATAAGCCCAATAGACTTCCCTTATCGCGATCGAGATAACGAGCGTAACGAGTCCTTTACAAATTGAAAAATGAAAATTTGGGTAAATTCTTTGGTATGGATTATGTGAGAGGTTTGTGGAAATAAATTTCGCAATTATCGGATTTACTATATGCTAAAATTAAAACATTGTCCTGCTATTTGAGAGAAATATTCCATTTTGGATATGTTGCGCGGCGATGTTTTTTTTTTTTTGTTTATTTGATTTGGTGCATATGCAAGATTTCCTATAGTCCGAAAATAGTTTTCTTTTTTTGTCTTATTTTGTTCAAGAAGGAAAAAAAAAAAATAAAAAATGTTATACCGCTTAAGCTAAGAACAAACGGTTCATTTTTAGATAGATTTAAGTTTTAAATTTACTCCTTAATCAAATTGTAATTTTACTAATGTCCGCTAGACGACGCTTCGAGTTGATTATTTGTTTTTCTTACAATATGTCTGCTGTCATTAGAATGTAATGCACATTAGTAACGTTTACAGTTCAAATAAAATTTTTTTGCAATCATTTTACTTCTAAGGTGTAATTTACTTTAAACAAATTTCCTCCAAATATTTATTCACACTTCTTCATGAGTAGAATAAAATGAGCATTCATGACAAGAAGCTTGCTAACGTCTGTTTTAAAGAAAAATGTGAATATAGGCGCCAGTTAAAATCATGACGGACGACCTCCCATACAGTCTTTTCAACATATTACTCAAGGCTAAATTTTTACTTGATCATTTCACTTCTCTTTTCTTTTTTTTTCAATATCAGTAAATGCCGTACGATGCCATCAAGCTTGTTTCACTAGTGGGGGTATCAAGAGACTTGGAATTTTATATCGATATCGGTAGTCTCTTATTAGCTTTCTAAAGTTACTTTTACAATAGATTGCATGTATAAAGTCTTAATGCCATTTCTAATGTTTTCAAGTTTATGATGAGATTTTTCTTAGAATATAGCATCACTTTAATGGGTGACATTCTCGCTTTTCTAAGGTGTCAGCTTGTTTAATCCATTAGCTATCAGGATATCCTAGGAAAAAATGCTTCATCCCGGTTCAAGATTACATGACATCAACTGGAATAGATATTCCGTATGTGCATTTAGAGGACTCTAAAAAAGTATTTTAAAATTTCTAAGAAGCAGACACAGATATGTGACGTTGGGCTGGACTGTGGTAAGAAACGGCTGTGTCACATACTTGTCACAATTGGTAGCGAATAAGTTAGACGTTGTTATCTCTATCTCTAGTCATAATGCAACTGCTTGTTCTTATTATTCTTGACTTTGATTGATGTTAATCGAGTAAGACCTCCTCGATCTTCAAAGCCATATAAAAATTGAAATTGAAATCAGAAATGAAAATCAATTTCATTTGTCCGTTTGTCTCTTAAGACGCGATTCCCAAATATTTGGACAACGTAAGTTATGCTATCCGAAACAAGGAAAAAAACTACTCGAGCCCTTATTATTATTATACGCTTAGCTTGGGAAGTTTGTTGCCTGTATGCTACTCTTGTATCTATTATGTCCACCACTTTATCTAATTCATATAAGCTTTATTTGGAGTAATAAAATCGCTGACTCCAAAATTGAAAGATTTTTGTAAATATTTTCTGTATCGATTTGAGTTTCTTCCTGGAGTTCTATCATAAATCCTAAGCTATTAGTTTCACCTTTTTCGGTAAAGTGCTCGAATACAATTGCAGCTCCACAGTATTAACCCAGCTTTTAGAACAGCCTTTATTGATCTTTATAAAGCCTTCCGGAAAGACCACGGAAACTACGCGCTTAAATTGTTTCGCAAAAGCTAAGTGTACCATTTCCTCGTTGCGAGTATGACACATCAATCAGTGACAGCGTTTTCAGCTGTGCATAATCCAAATTAAATGCCAACAATTTGTAGGAGGAGATGTTTTTCCTTTTTCATTTAAAAAGAAGCATTGCTATGGCATTCTTCGTTTGGTGTCGGAAATCTACGGCGAATATGAGTAACAGCTCCGATATGGTTTGCATCCGTTGACGAAAAGAGTTGGAAAAAGTAATAATAGTAATAATGAGATAAGATAGCTCAAGATCCCATTTTTAGCTTGAAACTTTTTTACGGAAAACCCTTTTTAGTAAATGATGTCTGTAACGTCCTTCATATTGTTTAAAATTCTACAGAATCGTATGCCAAATTTAATGATTATCGTAAGCAATCGAGGGGTTTGTGACATTGTTCAAAAATGTATTGATTTCGTTCATAATCCTGTCGCGCAAAATATAAAGTTGTGGTAAGCCATTTTTTTTTTTTTAAATAATGGGATGAGTTAATTAGGAAATGTCCTCTACTCGTGTAAAACGAGATGGGTCGCAATCAGAAATGAGGAGAGGGAAAGGGGAAGAGATAGGGGGGAGGTAGTGGGTGCAGCCTTGTGGTTTTCTGCCCGATCGGCCTTTACGGACTGAGCATTCACTCTTAATTGCGATCGAAGTGAACTCTAGCGCGCTTGAGATTTAAACGCGCGAACACAACGCATAACACTTACGACTTTGGTCGTAGGCTCGTTAGGGGGCATTTCCGCATTTCTTTCTCCTTCCTCTCCTTTTTCTGACTGCCACCATATAACACGAAAATGGAAAGTTCTCTATATTGCTGCTTAAAATATGATATCAATCGCTGGCAGATTCTGAAAACCGTTTAGTATCAAATTTTAAATCCTTCCCTACGATAAACTATGAACTCTGATCCGTTGTTTTTATGCTGCCATTTGGGTTGTGAGCACTCACTTATGATTTTTACGCTAGAGTTTTAAATACTTTTGGTAAATATTTGTAACAAATTCTAGATCAACTGTGATTGTGACAGACATCGGTACTCTGGCTTATTATCAACGTGTGTATTTAGAAAGGCATCCTGATCTCTCTCTCTTTCTCTCTCTTTCTTTCCTTCTTTCTTTCTTTCTTTATCTGTATCTCTTTCTCTCTCCTTGTTTACATAAAAAATTCAAAAAAATCCAAAAATATCTGAAATAGTTAAAAGATGTCGAATGAAATGACGAAAGTGGGTGGTAGTAGTTCACACTAATAACAGATATTTCTATTCACGACATGATTCAACAAGTGGGCCATATGTAAGGCTTACTTCAACCGAATTTACACCAGGCTTTAGCAAAAAACGAAAAGCAAAGAATAATCGAATGGTGACTTAATGTGTTCTAATTATTACAATAACAATTTCTTGTAAAAATTTGGAAAGTCCGATGCCGCCAATCAATGACAAAACAAAAAGCAAGAAAAATTAAAAATCATTTAATTATGTTGACTGAAGTTCTACTGACATTACTGTTTAGAATTTTTGCAAAAAATTTCATTTCACTTATGGCACTAAGCAAATAGTTTATAATAAAAATATAAATTCCTTGAGTAATTGTGTAAAATTGTCAATATTTATTGTTTATTTAAATAATATAAAACAAAAGAGAAAATATAGTAAAAATTATTTAAGCAAACGACGAATCAAAGACAATTTTTTTTTCTTTTTTTTGTTTTTCTTTTCATTCTAATTTTTCTAATAACTTTAGTCACAGTATACACACATATATATCAGCGTTATTAACTAAAGCACAAGAACTAACAATAAACAAAAATTGATTAAAAAAAAAAGGAAAGAGATGAAAAGCACATTAAAACGCACGCAATTACTTTTATATATATACATATATATATGTATGTATATATATATACTATGTATGTATATGTATATATATACTATCTATGTATATATATAGTATGTATGTATATGTGTATATATACTATATATGTATATGTACGTTTGCTTCATATATGAAATTATTGTAAAAATTTTCATAAAAATAGTTTTGGCGTGAATAGTAAATAATACTTCTTGCTTGCATATACAGTTAAAGGTAAACACACTTAAATACATACGCACGCACATATACAAGGAAGGCGTGTATGCAATAATGTATAAGTAATCATTATCTTATGATCAATAAAAGCCAGAATCACAAATATTATCACACAAAAACTTGAAACGATTTAATTATGTTACAATTTATAAATGTAAAGGAGAAAAAAAGAAATTTTATTTTTATTAATAAAATAATAATAATAATTAAATCTTATAACATAAGGCTTAATAATAATAACATATGAATAACAATGAAATCTAACAAAAAACGCATAGATATTTATATAAAAAAATTGTGTATGAAAATGTTTATGTTTAGTATAAAATTGTAATTAAAAACAAAAACAAATCACATATATTGTGTATTTAAATGAAACTAAATAAACACATATGTATTTATATATGATTTTGTACCTTCATATATATGTATATATATTGAAATGCATCAGTATGTGTCTATATAGTATATATGTATGAGTGTGTGTGCGTAAATCTGCGTATGTATATACGTACATATATATATGCTATATATATATATATGCGTATGAACCTATATATATTTATGCGTATGTATTGTATATGTATGTACATTCGTATATATTTATATATATATATATATTTATATATATATATGCGTATGAATCTATATATATTTATGTACGTACCATTGCATACATCATACATATATACATACATTACAATATATATATATCTTAACCCCCCATATCATTATATATAGTACAAATGCGTAAAGGTTTAAATATGAATATACTTGCATACACACACACATCCTCTATATGCGTATACGCTTATATGTGTACATAAGTATATACATAAGCGCGCATATATATATATATATATATATATATATATATATACGTATTTGTATATATATATTTATGTATTTGTGTATACATATATACCTGATTGTATGTTCTTGTGCACGCGTAAAGGTGTGTGTGTGCATGCATATATAAAAGCATGTTTGCGTTTGTATTATATATGCAGATATGTATACGTATGTTTATAAAGGCATATATATTTATATATAGATATATATGTGTGCGTAGTTGGTAATGTAAGAAAGCAAGTGACAAAATATGCAAAATTATGACAAAACTTGTAATGAAAAGAAAACAAACGACAGCAATTAAAGTCATTAAAAGAAATTTTTTTAAATTTGACAAATTTACTCTTTGTTTACAAATAAATAATCATTATGGCCACCATATAGGGAAGCGTTAAGATCAATGAATGTATAAAACCAAACGAATTCTCCGAACAAAACTTCAAGATAAATAAATCAATTTTACTTTATTCGCACGGCCAGTGATAAAAGAAATTTCATAATTTAATTATTAAAATTTTAACATACATTTAATAGAATTATGTAAGAAATCTAATTCAAATACCTGCAAATAGTAATGATTGTCAAAGTTCTTTTAAATGAAATGTTTAAAGTTTTTTTTCACTATTTATATGTGTGTCAGTTGGCAAGAAAAGACGAAAAGCTTACAATGCATACAAGACTCGCCTTCACTTAAAAATATCTAAGCGGGGATATACATTCATGCTTCAATCTCTATATGATCCCGAATAACGTGGAGCTGACGATGATCATATGGAGGAGGTTTTCTTCAGAAATTCAAATAATCGAGTCAAGTGACCATTTGAACCAGAGTTATATTATTGAACAAATGATTAAGCAAAATCAAACCCATAAGAAATATTACGAAAAACTGCTTCTTTCTTGCTTGTCTGTGGCAAAGTTAATGCGTGGATGATTGTAACATGTGGCAGTTCCAGCTTTAGTTAAAGTCAAAAAAAAAGAAAAAGTTTACACAGTTACATAAGCGATTGTAAACATTGAACATATACTTCTTCAATGCTAGAACCTTTTCAGTATTCAAAGAATATTTTTCGAAACGTCTAATCCTATGGACATATCTTGAAAGTACTTGGAGAGCTATGAATATCAATAAAATATTCAACTCTATATAAAGCGATTCGATTAGCGATTTAGTTTACCTTTCATAAAAGAGGAGTCGATAGTGTTAATTGCCAGCCTTTCTCATCCTACTTGCTAATCCTAGGAAGTACAATAATAATGTAATTTAATTTTTTTTTACTCTCGCTGCAAGTATTTCCATTAAAAGTATTAAAAATTGATTCATCAAAACTGTAAGAGAAGTGAGAAAATACTTTGAAAAAGTCTAAAATCAACTGATTAAAACTGTTTAATTTCCGTCCATGTATTTCTAATAAATCGCACAAAAAGCCGTCTTCAAGATTCGGCAAAAATTAACGTTGAAATGCTTAAAGCATATTGCAGTTCCTTCAAGAAATTTAAATCTGAGTTATTATAAACTTATTATTATTATTAATTTCGCCAGAGAAATAAATTCTAAGACTAAACTCTTAAAAGCACTAGCATCTAAGGCTATCGGCCTTTATTAAAAAACTCTACCGCACTTGAGATTCGAACCCACAACCACTGAGTTGCTAGTCGAGACTCTTGCCTACTCGGTCACCCAGGCGGATATATTATAAACTTAAGAGGAAGCAATCGAAGAAATGAAACTTTTTTTTTTTTTTTTTTGTTATTCCGATTGCAAAGATTGGTTGAAGGGTGTCTTTACAGAGGGCACGGAAAAACTAAATACGAATCCCGGTGAAGCAAGACTTTTCTTCAAGCTATTGCTCTTCAGAAAGGACTTTCTTGCAAATTGAGTTCACATTTTTAAAATCAATTATCATTATTGTTATATTAATTAATTTAGCCAGCGAAATAAATTCTGAGACTCAAGTCTTAAGGTACTAGCATCTAACAACTTTACCATTCTTGAAATTTGGAACACATTTTTATATCTTACATATATAGTTCGTATTATGATCGAGTCGATCAACATTTTCAGTCAAGCTTTCGACGAAACTTGTCATCGATTTGTTATATTTGGGAAAAGGCTGCTGAAACATTGAATGTTAAAAGAACTTATGCAACTTTTATTTATTTATTTCTTTTTCTTTCTAATGTCACTTTGGAAAAGCTTTTATTGGATTTAGTTATATTTAAAGTTTTGCGGAGAAATTTTTTTTTTTTTTTTGTGGGGGAGGAGGACATATGCGTACAAAACTGTTACTTTTAACATTGAAAATATTTATTAAAATATTGTGTCGGATTTAAATGTCGCAAATATAATGTGGCCGTATTCTGGTGTTGTGACCGTTCACCGTCTAGTCGTAAGAGACGGTAAGGTGTTTCGTATCTCCCAAGGTGACGAACGTTAAGTCATGCAAGTTATAAACGAGAAGAAATTGCTTTGTCACTTTTGATGTCCCTTATATATCTGTCTCAGAAAACGGCTGATAGTCTAAATAATGATACAGTTATTGCCCTAGAAGAAAATACAGTGAAATGATCCAGCAACGTTTAAGTGAATATATTGCATTCATAGCCTATTCGTTTGAGATGCTGATTATCAAAGATTCATTTCACGATATATATAACTGTCTTGCTGGCTTGTTTTTTATTGAAATGCTTCTTAAACAGTTGCATGTGATTTAATATGGGGAATGTGTAGAATTATTATACCATACAGCTCTTGTAATACAAAGGTATATTAAGTTGTGTGTGCAACGCCCAAAAGACTTTTATTATACCGATCCATTCAGAATGACTTTTTGTGTCGATCTGAGCTTGTCTGTCCGTCCTATTTCCTATCTATAGGACCCAGTTTTTGAGATATTTTGATGAAATTTTGTACACAGATGTTTTGGCCAAAAGACGAACGCTTTTGATCGGGCCACTTTTTCAATCACTGTCCATATAAAGCTTTATCTTGAAAAGTCCTTATACCTATAGGGTGGCGTATGGTATTTAATGGTCGGTCTTGGTGGCGCTTTTACTTTAGCTTATTTTAACAAAAGCATGGTACAGTTACGTATGCAGACTTGTTAAAAATATTTGTACTTATATGAACATGACAGACAAGGACAAAAAATAATGGAAAACCAAAACATTGTTAGAAGGAAAAAAAAAGTGAAATTCACTCTGAATTGAAACAAAAAGAAAAGAAAAAATAACAAAAATTGTAATTGATTTCACACAATTACATAATCAGGCATTATGTTGAGTGTTTAATTATTATTATTTTTATTTATTACTTTATTGTTCAAAAAAAGGTATCTATCCACTCTTTAGCTTAATATTCTTTTTATTTTTAGATAGAATTTTTCTCACTTTTCATTGAGTATTTTTTTTTTTTTTTTTTTAATTTTAATCAATTTATACAATTTATACGATTTAATTTCTAGTTATTTCCTTAATTACATAATATATATTAATATTATTTAAAGTAAATAAATTTTAAATAATTTTATGTTGTATTTTAGAACAAAAAAATGAAAGAAACAAGAAAAACAAAACAAAAAAGAGACGCATTCATATATATATATATATATATATAAAAATCATATACATCTATGTTTTATGTTCTTTTTTTTATATATATAAATGCATATTAATATGTTTTAGTATTTTTTATTATTATTATTATTATTTTCATTTAAATTAGATAAACTTTTATTTTCTGTTTTCTGTTTAAGTTTTACATCATTTCTTATATAAATATTTTTTATACAAGTGTAATTTTATATAAACACTACTTATGATGGTTATTTAATAAAATCAAAATCTTATTGAATAATAATAAAATTAAAGTGAAATTATTGAGAAAAAGCGATGGGAGAAAAACAAAATGATGATGTATTTGAATATATCTAAATTATTTATTAATATAAGTATCTTTAAAAAAAAAAAAATTACAAAAAATAAAAATAAAAATAATAGGAATAATAATTATTATTGAAAGAAACAACAAAAAAAAAAAAAAAAAATTAAAAACAGAACTTCATGTACATATGTATTATTGATTAAAAACTGATGCTATTGTATAAATAAGACTGAATGCTGTTTCCTTCCCATCTTTCTCTATTCCAGTTAATTGGAGTTGATTTTACTGGAAATTATATTCCTGTAAGACACTCGAATAAATATAACTTAAGGTGAGGAAAAATTTTTATGTGTTAAAGGGGTCTAGTGCCCACGCAAATATTGGTCGTTTTTGCGTGCACCAAAAGAGCATCGTTTTCGACTTTCAATGCCGGCTGTAGTTGTGTTTGATTAGCACTGAAGCAATGATATCGAATTAACATTAATTCAATGGAAGTTGTCCCTCTAACTGTTAGCCTAAGTCGCTATTGTTTGGGATCTTAAAATATTTTCCCGAAAGAGCAAAGAAATTTTGTCACTCTTGTTGGGTTAAGTTCGAAAACCAATGGTTTGTAAGTCCATCTTAAACTTCCAATAGGCAAAGAAAGATCGTAAATTTACGTTAGGTAAAAAAACCTAAATAGATAATGAAATAACTTATCTTTCAATAATGGCCATTGACCTAGAACTTGATACAAATATTACCCAAAGCTTTTTAACATATTTTTACTTGGCCAGTGGTTGCGTCCAGAATTTATAAGAGATGTTATAGCTTTTGTTCCTACCACCGAGAAGGTGGGTACTTGCTGTTGTTGAGGAAGCGAACTTCAGAAGCGGTATAAAGTATATACATTTTTGATCGGCGTAAAATTCTCCATTGACCTTATTATGCCAGTCTCTTTGCTCACCGAAGGTGTATGGCATTCCACCGGGTATCGTTAAAGGTATCGGTTCACAGAATATGCATAAATGTTGTTTTGCACGCAAGTTAGTATTGAAAATAGACCAAATCGGTCAAAAGGGCATGCTTACAGTGCAATATTAATTGAGAATGCATCTGCTTTTAAAGCATAAAAAGAAAAAGATGGGTTCGTTGCTCATTACTCGTGAACTGCCTGGTACAATAATGGGGAGAATTGGCCTAGTTCACCCAAAATTATAAAATATGGAATTTGTATTTTTTTCTACTCTTGGTTTCAAAGCAAAAGTCTTGGGTGTAACGAATCCGGCCACAAATGAATATAATTTTCTTGCTTACTGCGCATTAAAGATTTGCCCCAACATAATTTTTTTATTTTTATATTCTGATTCGAAATAAAAGTGTTGATAGTCGTGGAGATTTTAACCAGAAGGGTGCAAGAAATAAAAAAAAAAATCTAGATGATAGATGCCCTTTTGGCTTATGGTCAAGGCCGACTTATTACCATTAAATATCCTACACCACTCTACGGTTATCTATACATTGATTTAATATAAAGAGTTGTATGAGAAGTGGTCGAAAAAGTAGTCCGATCGTAACCATTTTTAATAGCGTTTCGCCTTGGGTCAATCCATGTTTTACCAAAACAACTAAAACATTGCGACCTGTAGGCTTAACGCAAGTAAATAAGACAAAACTTGTCGAGATCAGTATAATAATATAAAAGGCGGATCTATCTAAAGTCATTTAAGGAATTGCATACATCTGAATACATCATTGTACCAGAAGACGTGTAGAGTATAACAGAAAGATATTTAAAAAAATTCTTTTGTAGCTGCTAAGGATAGCAATTTTGCTATTATAAGCCTGAACTGTTTAAAAAATGTGTGACAACAAAGAGCAAAATGACCTAAGGCCAGAGCGGATTCTTGCCAGAATTGTGCATTACAAAGTGTACGATTAGCTTCAGATGAAAAGATGAATATTTTTCACAAGAAAGATTTTTTAATTTTGATTTAAAAAACTTTGGGCAACATTTCTAAAAAAGCTTCGAGGTTGGCTAGCGTTTGAATTCCTTAAAACAACAAAAAATGCTTTACATATAAATGCATTAAATAGTTGCTGAAGACATCGTACTGAGAGAAAAATATATGAGAGAATATCGCGATAACAATTTGACGATATCATCTTCATTTCCATGAAGCTTTCTTTCAATAGTCTCAAAAAATTCACCATCAAGCACACATATTGTGAAGAGATTGATTATTTTATAAATTTTCAAATTTATTTCATTTAGAATAATTTCCAAAAATTTCCTTGTCAAACTGATGAAAAACACAAAGTAGTCTATGGATTATTAGTAGGAAAAAAAAAATTTTTTTTTTTTCTTTTAAAGAATGATAAGAGTAGTGATCGCTTAGCTTAGTCACGTAAAATTTGTAAGAGTTTCATGAAGAAGGAAGTTTTTTCAGGCGTTTCGGCCATAAATGCTTGAATAATTTCCACCAAATTTTCATTAATTTCGGTTTGCTTTTCCTTTTGAGCTTGCATGCTGCTCTCGCTGCGCGGTGGTTTCACTGTTTGCGAAGAGCTGGTAAGACGACGGTAGGCTTTCGCGCGACTCTGCTTGCGAACTATGATTTCGAGATTTTGATGCTTTTTTAGAAGGCTTTGTTCAATTTCTTGAAGTGTTTTCTTATCCTCAGCAGCTTCTTGCTCCATTTCTGCATGCAATCGTTTAATGTCGTCCTTAATTTGTTGACGTTCATGCTGAGCATCGATTATTTGATGCTCGGCTAGCTGTTTAAGATCGCGGCGGGTTTGTTTCAACTTTCTTCGCATTGCAATTAACTTTTGCTCTAATGATTGATTCGATTGTTTTAGACGGTGTTCCTGCGATTCGATATTTGTCTTTATTGTTGCAACCATAAATATTTGTTCGCGATGCATAACGGCATGCTCGAGATCGATGATAAGCTTCTCCTGGGTTCGTTTCAATTGTTGATAACGAATCTCCATTCGGTGAATTTCATTACGCATGGTACCTAATTCACTTTCTAGGGCGGATTCGTCTTTACGCCAACGCAGCGTCTCCTCGATAAGCTTGTACTTTGTCTCCCAAGACAAGCATTCACGATGCTTATCTAAAACGATATCCTTGTAACGTCCAATCTCCTTATGCAATTCATTAATCTCCTCTTCTAAATTCAACACATTCATTTCATTCGTCTGAAATCAAATAAAATAAACTTGAATGTGTATGTGTATGCATTTTGATCTTTAAATAGATACCTTGAGCTTTTCTAATAGTTCGCCATGTTCTAGCTGGCATTCATTTTCTTCGAACTGATGCTTTTGACGTCGTTTCGATATTTTCTGATTTAATAATTCCAACTTTGACTCGTAGAGACGCAGTTCACGGGTCAGTTCACGAGATGTATTTTCAGCATTCTCCAAGTCCTGATCAATCTTCAGAGATTTTTGCTTAATAATGGACAATTCTGAAAAAGAATAAAATAAAACGGTTCTCCCATAAACATTTGTTCTAAAGAGAGGCTGGCTCAGAATGTGGGCCATACGCATGATAAATAAACTTCATCTACGTTTTCGTGGACCATTCTGTCACTTAGCTAGAAAAAGAGATCGCATGCTTGATTTTACTCTAAGCATAAATGTTTAATTGATTTCCGAAGTACGGTGTAACGCTGCTTCCTCAAACAATTCAGAATTATATCCAAAAGCTTTTATGAGAGATTCGAAGTCAAAATTCGATTTTTATGGGTGCAGTCATTACTTGAATTTTCCGATTTTTTGATCATCTTTTTCTCGAAACTGTGCTCTTGGAGGCGTCCGCACCTCTAACGCACTTTAACTGCAATTTCATAAAAACCTTCCCTAAGGGAAACTTGTGAGCTTTTTTAAGCTGATTGATTTGAAAGGATTTTACACAACAACAATTTTTGTTAGATTTGTTATATCTCTCACATCACTGTGATACAAAGGTATATCAAGTTCGTACGCATGTGTGCAACACCTAGAAAGACTTGAGTTAGAGGGGACTTTTATTGTACCAATCGATTCAGAATTACTTTTCTGATCGATTTAAACTTGTTTGTCCATATGTCTATCTGTTTTGTTTTCATGTGTTCAACCTCTAGTTCGCAACTTTTGAGATATTTTGACGAAGCATGGTACAGATTGGCAGATTTAGATCCAATAGATTGATTGGTGTTTCGTAAATATATTCAAGAAAGTCATTCCCATAACTTCGTGCCCATAGGATAGCAGTACACTTCTCATAGACACTTTCGTACAAAAAAAGTCCTCTGGGGATTCTTTGATATTTGAGTTAGTTTCCGAACTATCTATAGTGTATAGGTAGATATAGGCGTCGACGTCCTCATAAAATATACATTTTTTTTTAAATACTCTGAGTAGAGAAATGGACTTAGCGAGATTGGGCTATCGTTTGGCATGGTAACCATCCTCTTCGAAACTTGATCTTGGAAAATGAATGAAGCATAAAGTTTCCTCTTATTACCGTAGTCAAGTTAAATTCAAAAACCCCAATTTGGAGGTCTTGGAATCTTAAAACCGCTGAGACTTATTTTTTGGAATATAATTCTTAGTGTAGTTCTGAGAGGAGCTGATTGGGTGCGAGTAGGCACAGTAGTATAAATAACAGGAAGTACGTTTATAAAGGTTCTTTTCTTGATATCATTACCTACACAAAACAACAGCAGCAAACGTGTCTTTCGATTTTCCTATTAACATGGGGTAAATTAATCTTTGCTTTAGTCTTGCTTCGAAGTATACGTTATGTAAACTATTGCTGGACATTAAAGAATACCTCCGAAGCTAAACATAACTTCTTTTCATTGTTAGAACCATTAGTTGAATCAAATTAAGTCCGTCCGTGCGTCCTTTCATCTATTATGTGTCCATGATTTGGGTTTAAGTTTCGAGTCACTACTTTTGAAGTAATTTAATGAAATACATCGAAATTGTACACTGACATAAGTTGGCTTAAGACCGAATGACGTTGATAATGGATTGAACCATGTCTACAATGGATTTTGAAACAACTATCAGCTGTTGTAAGTTGTTTTTTAAGAGTCCACCTTACTCGAGAGTATTGTGATGTGTTATTTTGTTGTTTTTAAACAACTTACGTTTTCGTGTCATTTGGGTTTGATTAAGTTGATTGTTACGTTTTTGAGACAAATTTATAAAATGATTTTGCAACATTATCCAAAATTCTTGACCTTCACGTGTCTGTTGTTCAACGCTTTGTATAGATTTCTCCATTTGCTGAATCTGTGAAAGAGATCTTAAAATGATTTTAAAAGAAATTTGAGAAGCATTTCTCAATTACCTTGACATCTATAGTCGTCTCGATCTCACCTTTTGGATGACTTATTTCATCAAATTGTTTCATCAATTTCTCCAAACGAATCGTTTTAAGATCAGTTTGATCCTGTATCTTTTTTATTTCGTTATTAATTTCATCGGCATGGAGTTCCAATTGTTTTAAATTCTCTTTCAATTGTTCATTCTCTACACCAAGTCGTGCATTGCTGCCTTTAAAACGATCAATTTCCAATAGAGTATTAGCCAATTGATTTTGCGCTTGAGCCAGAGCCAATTCCATGCTTCGTCTTTTTTCCTGGGCATTACGTATCAATTTCAAGCGATAACCACTTGCCTTGTCATTGATTAATTGATCTTGAGCCAATTTCAAAATTGCCTCCTCCAGTTCGTATTTTTTATTATTCCACTTGTCAATCACCCATTGCAAGCGTCGTATTTTTGTCTCCAACTCTGTACCCTCCCGTTTGGCCTCGTTAAGATCCGCTTCCGTTTTATCCAATAAGTTTGGTATTTCCATCAATTTTGCCTCAAGTCCAAGCAGGATGTCCGATTGCGTTTTACCTGAAATTTCTCATTTCATTTTTTATTATATTCCACAGGAGAATTTATTCAATAAAAAGACAAAAAAAAAAAGACTTACAATCTTTTCGCAATTGCGTCATTTCCTCCGTTAAGTGTTTTTTAAATACTTCAAGCCTTTCGCTTACCAGCAATTCATTTTTAATTTGCTTTTTAATGGCCTGTATACCGGAGACCCTTAACTTGATCGTTTCCTTTTCTTTGCTGCAAACATGTCGGTATTAAATTCCAAAAGGAAAGATTAAATATTCTAATGTTTGAAGGCGTATTTTTCTTCCTTTTTTTTTTTTTTTTTTTGGGAGGGGGGGATAACACAATTCTCATTACACCCAGCCAGAATTAATTTTGCTACATTCAGACCAAATATAATAAAGCAGAGGACGATCTGTATATAGCCTTCAGTTCGCATTAATCCTAATCCGTGCACGATGACCATGCCTTTAAGGTTCATTTGTACTTTCAACTTGAATTTTTTAATTATATTAATATTTAGTTGCGTTTTCAAAATTTTTCACCAACGATACTTTAAATTAACAATTAACACAAAACAATCTATATATATAAATATATATGTGAGTTTCGAGTTAGTCGTGATGTCAAAATTAAGCCTTTATGCTTTTATAATAATTCTGACCATGATGTGCTTCACAGGCGCACAGTCTCACAGCCAGGAAGAAATTACGTTTCCTAGGCAGAAAGGACTCAGTCGAATCGAGATTTTACGATAGAAATGCGTTTACCATTTTAGGACAATAATGTTTGATAATTTCTTTACGCGCTATTAACTAAACAATGATTTATGCAGAAGTTCGCAGCAACATATAAATATATAAACATATCCTTATCTATCTAAGCTTTTGCTTAACTTTTGAAATTCTCTTTTAAATTAACACAAGAAACCTTAGGCTCAGGATTCATTATAAAAACACGCGAACGGATTAGGGTTAAGCTATCACGGAAAAGATCATCATCCATTCGGCTCTCATTGTTAGGATCATTTTTCCTTCAGATGGCTCTGTCAAAAGAAGGAGACGTTTCCTCTTTCTCGCACGTTCAGTTTTGTTACTTGTGATGAAACTCAATTCATTAATTTATGGGTAAATATGTACGCAACAGGTAGATACTGTGGCTTGAAGAAGTGGCGTGAAAACTGAGGAGTTTGGTAGATTAGAGTCAAAGCAAGTGTGATCGGACGACATCATCCTCATCCTGATAAAATCAATCTAGTCAAGATGAAGGCAAAAATTTCAGAGCAAACCAACAAACCTTCAATTTTTAGCCAGCACTCCCCGACAGACATACAAACGGATGGGACATGATAAAATTGAATCTATTGCTCATTTTGAACGGTGGCTTTTATGTGCTTCATAATGACTATTACAACTTTCCACAGGAAAATTCTCAGCGTTGACCATTTCGACTCTATATATATATTTCCCCTGTTACGTATATCATTCCCTTTCAGATGTAAGGAAATGCGCCCGGTGCCGTCCCTGATACCCGCGCGTTATAGTCAAACTTACAAATGCTTTATATCCTCTTCTTCTCCACACTTCTACCTATAAGCCCGTTTACCTGTGTCTGCTTTCGTTGAGGATTTCTGTGGTCTCAACAAAGTCTTGTATTGAATATGTGAACTATTCCGTATATACCGACTAGGATATTCCTTTTTCCTTCTAACCCTTGCTCTTTTACTTACTTCAAACATTCATTTGCCTCATTGAAAATCCGATCCCTTTGGGCAATGGCTACTATAACTTCGGACCAAGCTTGCGTCAGATGTTTGTGTTCATTTTCAAGAATTTCCAAATCGGCGTTTGCGGCACTAACACTCTGTTTAAGGACATTATTAGCTTCCTCCATATCCTTAACGTCATTCTGAACCATTTCAAGTTCTTTTTCGCTTCTTTTCACCTCCAGATCCAAATGATAAAAGAGTAAATCCGATTTGCGCTTTTCTTCGGATAATTGCTTTTGTAACTGAGCATCACGGCTGACGACGGCTTTTGCGTTTTTGACCTCGTCTTCTACATCATCGACCCATTTACGCACGTTAATCTCCAACTCTTGTACATGTTCCAACTCGACCATACGTCTATTGTATAGGGTCTTTTGGGCTTTAGTTAATTCAGCTTTTTCTTCATACTCGGCCTTTAATTTGGCGACGGATTCCTCTTCTTTATGGCGTTGCGTTACATGTTCATCAATTTGTAGAGCAAACTCTTCCAATTGCTCGTTTTGACGTTGAATCTCCTGTTGCAAGTCGTACAATGTGACGCCTTGCTCTTCAAGCAATTGCTCTTTCTCTTTCGTTCTGCTATTGATGTCTGCGATCTCAGTTATCAGTTGTTCTTTTGTGCGTAGCAGGTATTCTTTAAGAGCTTTCTGGAATCGGGCCAGTAACGGATGATCGGGTGGCAAAAGAGCTAACATCGATTCATCAGATTCGGTTGGCTTTACATCCTTAGATGTATCGCCGAGATCACAGACAACGTCCTCGATTTTTGGTGGCTCCATTAACTTGGCTTCATCCTCATCCGTTTCGTAATCTCGGCAAGTGTCCATATCATCATCGCGTAAATCGCACTCGCTGTCACTTTCATTATCGTTAAAGGCAGACATTGTCGTTACGTTGATATTTCGTTGCTTCCTAAAAATTCTCAATATTCTTCGCTTGAAAATAATTAAAAATAAATTCTTTTTTCTTCAAAACAGAACAGCAATGACGTTCTCGTTGTATTGAAAAAATCATAAACTATTTATTGACGTGAAATGTACTTTTATTTCATATATTATTTCGATGGAGACAAATTGTTATTAGCAACAATATTTTATGTTTATATGATATCAATATATTTCTCTGTATATGCGCAAGTTTTCACATAACTAATTGCTTTCAAGAAAAAGGAAAGTCCACGCTTTCTTAACATATATATGAAAGATGTATTTTTCTAATGCTTAGCAGTTACCTTCAAGAAGAAAATAAAAATGCTATGCTAGACCATTAAGATGAGATAAGAGCCGCACCAAAATAACGGTAAATAATAGATTGCAGTACAGCGAAGCCAACGACAAAATACCCTACATCATATCGGTTGAACGATTCTAATATATAGAATTTTCTTTTATCCTTGAAAATATCAAAAATTACACTTTGTTGCATGATAGAGGCGAAAGTTCTTACGGCAAGAAGGCCAAAATAATAGAACTACATCGTCTAGACTTAACTTAATCAATATATATGCGAAATTACTTTTGCAAAATTATAGAATGCTAAAAATTAGATCCTACGAGTCCTAAGAGTCATATAAAAACTTTCTTTCTGCGTCAACCTTATGTAGCCCCCTTTCAGTCAAATATCTCACCGATTTTTGTCGACAAATACTAAAATAGAGAGAATTTCTACATATTCATACAGGGCGTCGTGGTGCGAGTATACAGCAGTGCAAGTTACACGACGAAATACTAGTTTATAGGAGCTTTGAATAAATCGTGTTTTGAGCCAAACAAAAAAAAAAAAAAAAATCGCTTAGCGCCGAAAACGCTACGTTTCTGATCTCATTTGAACTAAAATGCTGCTGACAAGTGCATGTTGCACTATGATATCCAAAGCGCATAATGTGAACTATGCGAAGCATTAACGCATTGAAGCATTGACTTTGAGACTGAATATCTATCAACTGAGAGCAATGTTATTCTGAATCTTAATTGTATCATTGAAATAAATGCTGTCCGCACGAAAATCATACAATTTTCGATTTATTGATTATAAACTGGGTCTCGGCCAGGGTCCACCATTAAATACACCGCACTATTTCGCTAAGTATAGTTGTTCATGTGACGACATTTTAAAACGATGTGTGACATGGAAGGTAGTCGAAAATGCAATCCAATCCACCACCACATTCAATAGCGTTCGTTCTGGGGACAAAAAATGTCGATGTATCGTATTTAGACAAAATATCGCAAAAATTGGGATTTGTAATTTAAACACAAGAAAACAAGACAGAGAGACGCATAGATAAGCTTAAATCGATTGAGAAAGTGATTCGGGGAATAATTTTGAATCGAACGGTATAAGAAAAGATGGGTCTAACTCAAGACCTTCTGGATCGCACACATGCGCAAGCTTATATAAAAATCATTATTACTTCCTGCATTAATTTTTTAATGTATATCGAGAATTTATGGAACAATAAATGAACACAATTATGGTGATATTCGATTGAAAGGTTCATCTGAATATATTTCATATCTTTTTATTCGATAGATAAAATTTTGCAAATTTTTTCAGTACAAATCATTTAAATATACATAGAACAAATTAATTAGTTGTAAAGGCTTACTACGAACAGGTATTGATTACGTCAAAAATAAGCACAATTTCTCTAACGAGAAACTGGCTGCAGTTTTACTTATGCACCTATGCCTCGGATTAGAGATAAAATTTCATTTTCATTTCTTTTAGGATATACTCGAGGTTTAATTAAATTAAAAACTGGAATGGCAGTGTCTTCTTTCTTCTTCTTCTTCTTTTCCTTTACTACAGTTAATATATTAGGCAGTTGAGAGAGACTGTAATTGGTGTCGTACGCTTAAGATTTATCGAAGCGTAACGTTATTGATTTCTTTGCAAAACCCAAAAGAATCTAATAAATATATATATATATATATATATATAATAAACATATATAAATATATGTATACATGTACACATGTATAGATATCACCAAAAATATTTCGCACCGAATAAAGTTAATTAAGTTCTGTGGACTTTTAACAGTCCACAGGCCTTTCGTTGATTCGAAACTCTCTGGCCGTAATTCGTTTGTCTTCTAAAACAAAGTATTTATTTTCATTTACAGGATACCATTCGGTTGCTAATTCTTCGGCTTCGGAATGGCATATAGCTTCGCTGAATGTACTAAAGCTTTGTAGGCTCTTCGTCATTGCAAGGTGTTGTTGTCGAATTCGTTCATCGGGTTGAACGACGTGATTAAAAATATACGTTAGGGGCGTATTTGCCGCCAAAGCGATCGAGGTTTGAGTGTCGTGCGTATTTGCAACATCGTCTGGTCCATCATCGGCGAAGTAATTCATGAAAGCTGAGACGACATAAAAGCAGGCAGCGTTCATTGGAAATGAACGTATCATCGTCGAGTTCATTCCGCGGAAAAAGAAGTGCAAGCCTTCGGATTTGTAACCTTTACGGGCTATATCCATGTACCCGCTATATTTCGGACTTGCAGGATCATCTGCTTGTATACATGTTTTTATAACGTCTATTGGATAGCTGACAAGCCAAGAGGCAATCCCAGCAAGACCACCCGCTGTTAGCGTCCACCATGCGGTCAGCGGTGACTGAAGACTCGTTAAATACTCGAAGGAAGTGAAGTAGCTGGCAAATCCTAAAGCAAAAAGAAAAGGGGGAAAAAATAGAAAAACATTTATTCATATAAATAAATGCGATTACTATCGCTAACCTGGCACATCGCGAAATGCAGTGAAACCTACACCTCTCATGGTACCAATATAACCTTCAGTCCGCACAACATGTATAAGATACTCTAATGGGCACTTAAATTTTTTACCGAGCTGATCCTGTGTTTGCAACTGCATGCGTATCTTGGCTAACTCCATTGGAGCGCAAGCAACACTTTGGAAAAACCCCGCCACACCTCCGGATAAGGCATGCGCTTCCAACGAAGTTGGATCTTGGCACATACGCTGTACATTACCATATATACCGAATACGATGGCATTAACAGCAGCTAATCCAGCAAGTGGGCTAGTCATGCCCTTATAGAGGCCATGGACACCTTCCTCTTTAACAATAGTTTTTAAGCAATGCCATGTGCCGTGATATTTAATATTTTTTGGATTTTGTGTTTGCAAGTGTACTTTAATTGTATCCAAAGGGTGACTGACCAACACACCAGCAGCGCCTGGAAAGAAGTATTTGTGAATAATATTTTCAAATTAGATGGAAAGAGAGAGAGAGAGAGAAAGAGAGAGAGAGAAAGAGAGAGAGAGAGAGAGACAATACAGCATAATAATCACAAATAAATACTAACCTCCAAGGCATCCAGCTATAAAATCGAGCGTCATATTATAATAGTGGTGCTTATCACTAGTATTAGCCACAATAAACCGTGGTTTGGGCAAACTGTTATTAATTTGCACCTGAAATTGAAAACATACAACTGACGTAAATAAGATTCATTTGCGATTTTTAAATGCTAAATGAAGCGAAAAACGAAAAAAAATTTTCCTTAAACAATTCCAACCTCTTAGTCATGAGCCTGCGAAATTTTAGCGATATCTCGTTTCGTTTTTGAAGTGCAAGTGGCGACAGTGTTGCTTCTCCAAAAGTTGCGAATCAAGAATAATTTTATTTTTTAATAATTTTCTCACACATCATTGAATATTAAAACGAAATTCGCAAATTTAATTACCATTCGAAACATCTGTCATTGCGATAATGGTTTGACTATTACCGAGCTTAGGTGTGGATCAATGTTACATTTTATGTTTACTTTGGCTACTTTTTTTCAGACTGACGTTTACTCATTTTGTCATAATGCTTGCAAAGTCCAAAAGGACACTTCAGAGTTCCTTTAAAGTATATATAGTCTTGATCAGCGTGAAATACTGAATCGATTAAACCATTTCGAGCCGTCGACAATAACAAAAGAAGAGAAATGTTACCCCATTTGCTTGTCATAGGCGCTCAAGATTTTGGTCCGGATGGGTATGGGAGATTCGGTCTCGACCAAATATGACTTTCTTACTTATCAAAATATGATTAAATTTTGCATATATTCTGAATTTCAATGCATGATTTTTTGCATAAGTTCGGCACAAATTCAAATGGAAAGGTAAGTGAGAATTACCATCAGAAAGACCTCATATCAAGGGAAAGAGCCAAAAGTCAATCGTATTAATGCCATGGATGGGTAAGCTATATGGGAGAAACGTAGCTCCACGAATACAATGATGGTTTTAAGATATGAAAGAAAGTGTTTTTTGCCCAGTGAAACTGTTACTACCCGGAAGTCTACGTGCAACAAACGATCAATTTGAACGGCGTATTGATTTTGTTTTTATTGTAATCAATCACTCAGGACTAGTCCTCTTCTGGTGTGGCACGGTGACGCTTAGAAAGTAAGCGAAAGCAGTCTAACGGCTTTGTGCTCAATCGGTAAGTGCTTGCCTTTACTCACTATAGCAAAACAGATCATAGTAACCTATTGTACTAAAGATGGGAATCCGTGGACACGGACATGCTAAGGCAATCTGGCTTATTTCAATAACGCGCCGGCACACGTTGCAAACGCTTCCACTGGCATGCTGTTTGTTTGCAACGCTCCAACAGTTATGAAGAAGTAGAAAAATTACTTGGCTTTGTTTGCTCCAAAAGATGAAAGATTCCGTTAAAATGGAATTGACGAAGCGTCAATCGTCAGCGGCAAAAGGCCTTTCATAAAGAGTATAAGTATATATTCTTATACATTCTGCAGTACCTAAGCGAAGAGATAGAAATTGTCGTTTATAGAAAGCACGCCAGTTGGCCGGTCTGGACCATTTTGGTTTTTGTTCTATGAATTGTCAGAAAAAGGGAAAAACCAGTAGCTAGCGATGGACGATAACTTGAATAAAAGTAATTTTTTTATTATATATTCTTATTTTTTCAATAAACGCCTCTTCCTCTTTTTGTGTGGTGTGTTTATGGAGAAAAGTACATTCTCTTGTCAAATTGTTAAATTAAAGTTTATTCGCTCAATTTTCAAGCATATCAACAGCAGACTACGCTACTCTGAATGAATTCAAACTTGCACCTCAATGATAAGAAAACATACTCTTAGGTGATTCTCTGAATGTCTCATAATTGTTAGTTTATGTATTATTATGTTGTTCGGGAATAAGTGCATTAAGAAAAGAATTTTTATATAATTTATGTTAGGCTATAACGTTTTTTGGGTATAAAAATCATCACGTAATTAAATTTGCATGATTATCAGCACACACTTCGATTTTTATAATCATTTCACTTAGCAATTTAATTAATAGAATCAGATTAAATTATTAAATTAAAATATCCTACTAACTTACACTTCACTCTAGTCTATGTTAAGAACAATCTATACTATCTACTTATTTATTATATCCAGCATTGAAATATTTGGTTAAAGTAGCATGAACTTGTAATATCCAGCATAGAAAGTAAAATGCTTTCTTTGTTCTTTTCAAGATTCAAAGGCGGCTTAGCTGTCTGCTGTCTTTGAAAAATCGAGGTAAAAATTTCAACTCGAAATACATCCATGGACACATAAATAATATTAATTTGACCTAAAATGCAAATAGAAATTTTTTGCAATTGTCTAACCGAACGATTATGTTCTTAGTCGACGCCATTGTTTAGATTTTTTCGATTTTTGTTACCCTTACGATGCTATTGTTGATTTATGGTTGTGAAATTTGTCAGAAAAAGAGGGCAACGCATCTATCAGCTTCGACGATATTTGGTATTAAATTGGTTAACTTTTTCAGGGACGCTTTTCCTAACTATCGGTCGTAAATACGTTCAGCGTTCGCCCAAGACCTAAATTTTTGGATTTTCATTGTTGAGAGAGAGATTTTATCAAATTGTTGTTTTTATATTCATATATTAATTATCAAAAGCTTAATAGCTTTACTATAAGCTGTAACCCTTGTGGAGCGCTTTAATGTGTTTTTGAAAACGAAAAATTTCTATTAATTTACCTCAGAAAGGAAAAGATATGTAAAAAAAAAAACTCTTTCGTCTTTCAACTAAACAATATCTTTTAACAAAAGTAAACACATTCTCCTTATATGGGGCTATGACAATGTGCTCTTATTGGACGGCCGCAAATCACAGTTGAATCATTTTGAAATCATTTTGAATTGAATTGCATTCGTAACCAAAAAAGAAAATGTTGTTACTTAAAGTGTGCATCATATTTTTACCAGCACTGTTCAACACTTTAAAGTGCTTTTAAACGTTCCAATACCACGCTCTCTTAGCTAGAAAAATATTTTGCCATTCACGTGCGTATATTTTGCATACCCTACACCACTTCTAATATAAAGGTATATTAAGTTAATATGGGTGTATGCAACATCCAAAAGGACTTGAGATAGACTCAACTTTTATTAATTGATCCTAAGCTTGTCTTTCGCTCCGCAATTTTAGAGATATTTAATCGATATGTGGTACACTAAAACGTTTTGGCCCAACGTGAAAGTGACTCTAATCGAACCAATTTCCCGACCACTTGTCATACAACGCTTTATTTAGAAAAATCGTTGCATAAATCATTGTAGAGTGGTATACAGTAATCGATGGTGGGCCAGGGCTCACTACGGTATTTTTTGGGCTGGTACAGTGGCGTTGCGCTTTAAAGTAACTTATGTACAACCATTACAGATATATAAATTTACAGCATGCACAGCAAGAAAAATATTTTGCAGAAATTTTTTTTTTTAAATGCATTTCGTTACATTTTTAGCGAAATCTTATCGTAAACTTAAACGAAAGCATATACCAAAAGGATTTTGCTTTTCTCGACGCGTTTGTACTGATCGAATAAATCAAAGATTTTATGATATCGGGCATAACCTCGATATTGCATTAAGCTATGCTTGGAGTATTGGAATGGAATTGTAGGATGCTAGACGCACTAAAAGTGAGCACGAACTTCCTTATGTCTGACTTGAAATTAAAAACGTATTAAAATGCAATAACAAATTCGAAAAACACACGTAAGTTGTCCGTATTACGTATTATTTTGAATATTGTTATAAATGTTGTTTAGACGCAAGTAAGGCTTAGTAAATAATTTCTAATAGAAAGACTTTGTAGAAATATTAGACAAAGAATCGCGTCTCAATGCGTATTTGACAATAGCTTCCCAAAATGAAAACGTTTTCGTATACGTAAGTAGTAAATAAATGCAAGCAAGGATGTAAGATGAAGTATACCTACGTTCCAATTAGAATTAATAAATAATCCAAACAAAGATTATCCTGTTGAGTAGATTCCACGGATGATAAACGAATAGATCGCGATATAGATCATGTTGCACATAATGGATAAAAGCGTAAGAAAATATTTATATATCAAATAAAAAAAAAAAAAAAAAAAAGAAAAAAGTGATTTTTTTATGGTTATAAAAATGTTTGTTCGTTTTGAACTAATCGCATCGCTTCGAAAGCCATTCACTTTAATCAATTTATTAAGAAGAAACAATAAATGAGCAAAAAAAAAAAAAAAAAAAAAAAAAAAATACAAGTATATATGTACAGTATATATATATATATATATGTATATTTGCAGCAGGAATCACGTTTTTAATAAAAAAAAATTTTTTAAATTTTTAACAACAACTCTGAAAGCTTCGCACAGATTAACTAAATTATTTGATGGAAATTTCTCTGTTAATCAATAATTATAAAAAGCATTTACATGCTTTCATTTAATCAATACTTATAATCGCTTTTGCATGCATTTATTGTACGTATTGTACATATGAAGAAATGATACGCCATTGAATGGTGCTTTTCGCAATTTATATACTGTTTACGCAGATCAGCAATCAGCCACGGAATGTATGTATAGGAGATAGTGGAATAATGGTAGCTAATGAAGAACATTCCCAGTGCAGTTATAAACAAACAGAGCTAAGCTTGACTAGCATATAAAACGTACGTACAAGCATATATTCCGCGAGCGTAGAGCGCGTAGATTTTTAAATGTAAACAAACGCTTACTCACATAACATATAACCATACATCGAACATCATACGATTATAATCGCTAGCTAGTTGACGATGTTTTGATCGTAGATAAATATAACACAAAACACAATGTTCACCTATATTACACTAACAAATGTTGCGCTTATCATGGAACATTTCAAAAAAGCCATCACAAGCTTAGTTCTAGTATCGTTTCAACTTCTACTAAACTAAAACATTCTGTTTAAACTGAGACGCTTTTTAATCTCAGTTTTTTACCGAATAAGTAAGTACTTGTTAATCAATAACTAAAAAAGGCTACACTACTATAATAACATCAATAAAAACAACGATGTTAAAAGGATCGGGAGGTGAGAAAGATATTTTCAGAACTATTTCTTAAATATCAGTCTCTAGATAAGACATAAGTCCATAGTGTGGGGAAGCATACAAATTGCATATTGTGTTGCCTAGCGTCGACCAGGAGTCAACATTCCCTGATTACTCAACGCGCATTACTTTGCAGTTATTTCATTTCTTCTTATTGAAGCGTGACTTATGTAACGTTCCTGCTTACCTATGGATTAAGCAGCCAGTTGTACTGCAACCCCACAGTCAGGTCACAAGCGGAAAATTGCGTACTACTACAGTTGTGACGGACATTCAGAAAAGTAACGCCAACTTGGGTAAAAGCACAATGATCACAGAAACTCTTTAATGCGATAGGGAGTATTTGGCTACAACCTTAGCTAATGTGAAAATCCAGGATGCTTCCGCAACCCAACAAACAAATTGTCTGGTAAGACTCATTTCTTCATCATAAAATTCCTAACGATCAAAGAGACGATATCAGCAGAGTGAACTACCGTACTTCCAAGGCAGCTAAAACATCTTTAGTTCGCAAGCTCTTTCGTTAGTATAAAGGCAGAGAGGAAAGTGAAATCTTCCCACAACACTTTTTTTACTTACTAATAGTTTTCTAAACTACTCTTTGATTCTTTCGTTTAGTTATAAACACCCTAAGCCAATACGTAAAGGTAAACAACGTCCGGAATACCTAATCTAAGCTGACATCAGATTTGATGCACGTCGAATGCCTTCTGCTTACTATATTTCATATCGTTTAAGCATTTTCAGTTATGTACATAAATATAATGAAAAAAAAAAAAGGTAAGTAAATGCATTCAGAGATGTACGTAGAGCCTACGCCTCGGGTTGTTCCTACTTTCCGATTAGAATTAATAAATAATCCAAAAGGAGATCATGTTGTTCCACGGATGATAGCGTATAAATCGCATTACAGATTATGTTCCACATAAGCTACAACTCATATAAGAGCTTGTTTTCCAGCGAACAAGCTGGATTTACTAAGAAATAATGGAAATCAAAATTTCATAAGAACTTGGTATCATTGGCAAGTAATCTTTTAGGTTAAATTTTCCTTAATCTTTTAGGGTTTTCAGGCGTCTTTAGACTTGCTTTTCAATTCGATGAAAGGAACGAATTTAATTATGTGACAAGTGGCAAGCTTTTCTAAGTCTTTTATCCAAAGAGTGGCTATGCAGGCAAACATTATGAAGTTGAATAGAATTTCAGCTCTTTTTCTATTTTGCAAAACGGTACAACTAACTACAGCTATATAATTGAAGCATTTTTTTATTATTTTTTTTTTATTATAAAACTAATCGCTCAGGAAGATAAGTAAGGCATGACATTGAAACTTAAACGAGTTTAGTAAACTTCGAAGTCTCGAAATTATTTCTGTTGGTTTTTCCGTAAACTGTAGAGATGAACTTAAGCACATTTTAAGTCCACTAAAGCATACATAGCAAATAATCTGAATTATCCGGTAAAAGAAAGGGTAGCGAAATTTATCAAGACTTACTTAAAAGCCTTGTCGCAATGAAATGCTTTGTCGAATTCCTACTTCAGGAAATAGGGATTTCAAATAAATAAAATAAACGCAATTTTCGTAAAACGGCTGTTTGTGGAAATGATTAAACTTGCTCTGGCACTAAGAGACGGAGCAATAAAGCTAAAATGCACTTAAAACATCAAAGAAACGAAAATAACGGCAATAAGTTGTTTCTTAAAAGAATTCAGTAAAATCTTGCGTGTCATCTCTTAACCTCTAGCCATTTTCGAATTCTGCCCCGTAACCTTGCTAGAAGCTAGAGGAAATCATAGCATATTGGGAATTATTTGGCAATCAATCCGGTATTCATTATTTGAACGACATCGGGAAGGATTCGCCAAGACGAGACTGATAGTCCTACTAGTAGGCTAACAAGTTGTTTGGCTTCTCAAAGGATATTTTAAAGAGACATAGGTTAGAGGCGAGTTGGTTAAGCACAAGAGCTTTGACAGTAGCGATAAACATCTTTGATCTTTTTTTAAAAATCGAAACCTGAATCTTCTTCTTAATCCCCTATAGATTTATCTCAATTATGCAATAACATTAATATTAATATTTAAGAGTTAAAAGACAAAGTCGGAACACATACACACACATGAAAACGTTTTATTTGCATCATCGGTTTTCCATTTCTTACATGGAAGGAACGCTCGTATTCCCCTGTTGTCATTTTCAATATGTTGTTTGATTGCACTTAAAATTATTGGTAACGAAATGTTATTTGTCATGTTGTTTGGTCTTCTTTTTACTTCTTATCACGTTAGTATAAATAATTTTATTTCCAAAATATATATATATATATATGATTTTCTTTTTTACACAAAATCGTTTATTTTTTAAAATAATTTTTGCATTTTTTAAATTTTTAAAATGACAACTAAATTTTAAAAGAACTGGAAAACATTTGTACAACTAATACGATAGACAGAGTGACCTATATATGATATAACTTATAGAAAACAAGAACAAATAATATATCGATTTCGGGTTGAGTTGAAAATGCGAAGTAAGTCTGTTACGTTTTCTCGTCTTATGTTGCATTTTCGCCCTTAACCTGTTTCTTGGCAAGCAAAGAAGGAAATCAAAGACTAAATTCGTTTACCTATGCCAAACATTTTATGGCGAAAATGCTCGAGCGAAGTTGATATTTTCCTATGCTTGAAACATTGAGTTTCAATAGATTATATAATAATTATATAATAATTTACTCTTTTACGCTTTCCTCTACCTTCTTGCAGAATATGAATTGCATTTTGAAGGGGAGTCTAATTTTTTCAGATCTTTTTACGTAAGTATTAGTTTTACGTTAAGTTCCGCCAAAAGAGTGGAAGCTTGGTTTATACAGATAATATCATGAGACAAGTATTCACTCAGCAGAAGAAACACCCAGTGAATACAGCGGCTTTGGTATAGTGCTGCGAATGTTGCCTGCCGGCATGTATCATATTGGCTTTCAGAAAAAATTGCTGTAAAATTTGTTGTCATTCGGTTCATTAACAGATTTCAAAGGCTAATAACTCCCGGAGTGATCGACTGCGACTCATATATCGTAAGACTATCCCTTTACCGAAGCACCCATTAGATTTTGCTCTGCCAATATCTAAGCACTGCTCGTGGATGTGAAAGTGACGCTTCAAAGAAAGCTTAATGCCTCAATGCCTAATGGTTCAATAGTTTTTAGACCGTTTAATATATAAGCAATTAGAAGTCTAGTTTAATGGCCACACATTAAAACGAGGTCGATTATGACATATTGCGACTATTTCGTGATTAGTAGGCCCAACTCTTTTTAGCCTGCCCGTTATTTAACTAATTGAACGCCTAGTAGAATTTCTTTCAACAGCCAAGCATTAAACAACGCAGAATAAACTCCAATCGGCAGTGGCTTATTAATTTTAAGCCTAGCTTATTACCATATAATCCGATGCTTTCCAAGCTGCCCAATATTCAAGCAGTGTAGCTCACAAGAGAAATAACCTATCATAAACTCATTCATTCTACGAAGAATGTATTAACTTTTTTTAGTTACCTCAAATCCATTGTTTACATAAAGAAAATAAAAGAGAACTGGGATGAACCGTTCACTGTATTTAAAAATACGTTATTGAATATTAAAAACTACAAATTCGATTATTTAACCTTAATGGCTGCCCAAAAAGAAAGAGAGAAATAAAATAATTGCAATATGTAGAGTGAGTATTAGAAACCGTTCGATTTATTCTATGCTGTCAAAAAAGTATCAGGAATTGTGAAATACGACACATCACTCAACAAGTTTGCGGAATCACATGAACCCATGTAGGATCACTATTTACGAATCCATATAATTGTTAGGTAATAAAATTTCATTCCGATCGCTAGTTTACAAGCCACAGTTATTTTAGTGACGCTACACAGGAAATTCAGATTTCCTCATGGTTTTACGGCTTTAACTTTTCCAAAACCGTCCGACATTTTCATAATGAATCAGCAAAGTTTATATGACTTGCCTCGAAATATGCAACTTTGGGAGCACAGCGTAAGCATATTTTTTTAAGCACCTCTTTGCTTTAACGTATGTTTTTCTGTCAATTAACATGAAGTAATATTTCAGGCTTTAGGAAAATAAAAAATTTGGAGTTTATTCTGTTAAATGAGGAACTCATTACTGTTAAAGCGATTAAACGGATTCTCGAAATAATTGAATCGTTTTTAAGAGCATCTAATTGAACCCAACCCCTTTGATATACTGTTTAGATAAATTCATTAAAGGAGACTTTCTGTTAAACAACTTTCGAAACTTGATCGATATGTAGGCATTTTAATTGACTACCAGTGCCTTGACAATGTTAACACACCGCATTCTTTTAAACATCGTTATAAAAGAGAATACGTATGTGCGCGTAAAGACACGCGTAGAAAAGAAAGTGAGATGACGAACTCAAGCCAAGAAAGTACGTGAGGTTGTGTTAGTGTGGTTGAAATAAATAATCACATATTTTACATAATTATTACTGCATTTATTTAAACGGGAAAGAAATCCAATAATTTACATATACGAATGCAAAAAAAGAATTAATTCATTTCTTTTTATCTTAAATGCAGAGAAGTATATTAAATAAACGTTTCGATAGAGTTTTTTTAAGTAAATAAATAAATAAACGTAAATAAATATATTCTTAAGAAAATAATAGAAAAGAACTTATTTTAAAGATCAGCCGCAATCACATTCTCTAACGCAGATTCGTCACCGTAATCATCATCGCCGTCTCCGTAATCGGTAAGACCACCGAAATCGAACAAATCATTATCGGCATTGGGTGGTACAAAGGCTCCGTTAAAAACGCCCTCCAATCTTTCTTCAACTCCCATCGTAGATGCCAGGCCATAAATGAAACGCATCACCACAAGTCGTATAAAGTCGGCTGTGTTAGTTTCTTTAGTAGCGGCAGAAATGAACGATAACTGTCTATTTTTACTCATTTCCGCTAAGACTGGTAGATGCTGTGCTTTTGAATTTACAACAACAACTTTGCATGTAACAGACATACATAAGACTAACAATAAAATCACAACACTATGCACAACTACTAACTCTTGAGGCATTGTTGTGAAAAGGTTATATATAAGTGTTTCGTTAATAATTTCACAGATAAAATATTGTCTTTAAGCGTAATTACTTTAATAAACACTTAGTTCACTGATCAATTAAACAAAAACATGCGTGCACTGAGACACGTCTAAATTAATTGCCAAAAGAATGGGATTTATGTCCACCATTCACGCGCGATAATCGACCAAATCGTTTCTCTTAAATAAAAGAACTGAATATTAATGCGATTGAAGCATACTAATTAATATGTAAAATAACTTAACGGCTTTTGTTTACCTATCGTGATCATAAGCCAGAGCGTTGCCATAAAGAAACAATTCAGGAAAATACCTGAAATTAGAACAAGGCAGTAATCTGCAGTAAGTAAAACGCGATTCATTTCACCTTTACTTCACTAAACCGAAGATGATCGTAGTAAGTGTTCAAGATTCAGTGAAGTGCAAATATTCTTGATCAGCACAAATGCGGGATTTGTTTTCCTATCCAAATTGTTTAAAAACTTGAACTCAACCTATTTCTCCTTCCGTTACCATTAGCGCAAATCAAAAACCTGTTTAGGTCGGTCTATAAGGTCGTTAAGCATTAAAAAAAAAATCAAAAAATAAGTTCAAACGTTATAGTTGGACCATTAAATACATTGCATTACATAGTAAACAATTTTCTCAAAACGCGGCTTTATATAAGGAGTAGTTGTAGAAATGTAATAAGATCCCTTCGCGGAACAATACATGTCAACCTACTTAATTTCTTTAAAATAAATCGAGATTGCGATTTCTCAGTTGATCTAAGATATCCTTGAATATCTGAGGTTTGTTCAAGAAAAAAGCGCCCTTTTTATTTTTATCGAAAAATATTTATATATTCATCAATATCTATGTTGTCTCCTTTAATCCCTCTTAGATATAATACACTTGTGACATAGCTTTCGCACTTATCGAAGCACTTTTGATACCTGCTTTTTGTATGGCTTTCAGCTCTGTCGGCGAGACGGTCTTTACCTTGTTAATCGTGGCAAAATTCCGTTTTTTCATGGGTGTTTTCAGATTTGGGTATAGGAAAAAGTCGTAAGAGACCAAACTATATATATGTAGGTAGGGCAACCTATATATAATTTCTACTTTATTTCGTTTTCTTTCTTACTATAATCACATACATACATAAATATAAATATATATATATATTTACTGATATTTTCAGATTATTTGCAATTTTGCAGTATCTAAGTACAATTTACAGTAACACGGCAGCACTGCTTTGGATTGAAAAGCACAAAGAGAACGATTTATTTGTTTACTTTGCAAGAAAAACTTCAAAAATAAAGAACGAAGAGAGAAAGTTTTTAAACAGCGGCACGCGCTACTCATTGCATGTAACAGTAGGCATATTTGGTACCTTGTGAACAAAGTAACACTGGTAGTTTGTGTTTAATGTGCTATGCAGTAATATCTTGAAACCCTTGTTTAAGTAACACACAAGAATGATATGTAAATAATGAGAAATTTATAACATAAATCTTTACAGAGATTTGTATGCATTTTCAGGCGAGTTTTTGACGAATTGAAAATCACTACCTCAGATGACTATTAACGCTGATCTCAACGAAATTAAGTTTAATAAATGCTCTCTATTGGTCCGTTCGTGTGTTCGTTAGATGTCATTGTAACCCTCCTTAATGCAAACAATGCGTTAGAAAGGTGACATACAAGGTATGCACTCTACATCAAAGACCACCGACTTGGATAAGAAGTGGGCGTATAATTTGGGCAAAAACATTTTTACTAAAAAGGTACACATTACAGCAGTGATGGGCAACAGCCGGCCCGCGGACACAACGAGGTCGTGATGTCGTCGACTCCAGCCCGCTACACTTACGATTTTAAATAATTCGCTTTGTTTGTATATAGCAATGCTGCAAATGGATTGTACTTGTCCTCACTACCGGCTCAGTTGTGTAGCTATCAATTGTGATACTTGCTTAAATGTATTCTTTGTGTTCATTAGGCCATAGAATGAGCGATTTAAAGAGAATGCAAATTGATGCCGAATGCTGCATTTTTAATAATAGTTGGGCCTTGTTCTGGTCCCCACCGTGATATGAAAATTAAAATTTCGGCCCATTCGAGGTAGAAAGTTGCCCACCCCTGCAAGCTGCAATAAAACCAACGTAACACGGAATAATATTTGCCGACGCTATAAAATTTGTAAATAATGTGTACAATGAACCTCTGTCAGGGATCACCGCAAAATAACACTGTTGGGCTAATTTGAAAAACGATCTCAGTCTAACACAACATTTTGCAATTTTTTTTTTAATGATGAGTGCAACTTTACTTTTGACACGTTCCTCGTTTATTTTAAAAGACATCTGTTGCTTTTTCTTATTATTTATGCATTTGATTACCTTTTTTAATTATTCCACTTGGAACTTGGGAAATACTTGGGATAATTGTTTTAAAGCAAACACTATTCCTTTGTTTGCTTTTATTTACTTTGTTTACATTATTTATTGTAAATATTTAAAAAAAAAAAGGGTTTAAGGGAAGATTCATTCTTTAGTAAGATTTGTTACAAATTGAAACGAGCTGATATTACTTATCTAGGCGCACAATAATGGTCTCTTGAGCATTGATTTTAAAATTGCTAAAATATATTTTTTGATCGGAATTGTTTAACATCACAATTCCACTGTAGTATAAAGCTGTCATGTCCATAGTCACACCCTTTCGACCGAAATTTGAAATTGACACAAACGAATTGCGACGAGGATAAACACGTTCAATAACTAATATATCGTCATGACTACGCCTGATAGCCATATTTTGTAGGATCGCATCTGTTTTACAAATGGCATTTTTATATATGGAGGGGGATCGATTACGTAAAGCTATCATTTTTTTGATATATTGTAAATGATGGAAGTCTACATCTGGCGATTTTGGCAACCAGGGAAGTGTTTCTCGATTGGTGAATTGTAGGCTGTCATTAAACGACCACCGCATTACCGCCAAGTGGTGCAGATGTTTAGTTTCTATGTGCTCGTTAAGTGTGTCATAAGCCGCTTGTAAAGCAATTTCATCGCCATAGAAAATGTTGCATGTGCCAGGTAGCATTAGTTGCATAAGAGTGGCGGCCAGTGTAAAATCGACACTACTTTGATTTCGGGTAAGACGTATCTTATCTACGCCTCCTAGAGACCAATGTATCCATACACCACTTTTTGAGGGCCGCATTTCAGACTGCATTAGCGTATTTAATTTTTTCTCCAGTTGGCTAGTTCCCGCAAAAACATCCAAGTGAACATCGATTAGATCAACATGCATGAGAGCTAATTGCCTTTGGCTGAGTGATAATTTCGAAAGAACTCCAACTTCAATTATAAGAACCTTATCCATACCTAAAAGGTTCTTCCATTCAATTAAATGATAAGGTAAATTTTCTATATCCTCAACATGTTCTAAACCTTTGACGTAAAAGCCGTCTATACCCATCTCAAGCCAATATTGCAAACATTCGGTAATAAGATTCTTAGTGACAACGATTTGACGCTGTGTGGTAATCTCATACTGGTCATCGTCAGCGTTCTCGTTAATCGAATTATTATTAAACAGGCCTCCACTTGATTCGCCCAGTTCTTTTATAAATGGATGCAAAGGTACATCTAAAATAATCGAGATGTTATTGCTATGAAGCATGCGGGTCAATTGACGCATATCATCTAAATCACCCAAGTAAGGTGCGATGATCTTTAGTGATGTAACGTTTTCGAAGTCTTCTGGATAGTGAGGTGAATTAAACACGGAGTTAAGGCGAATAGCTGTTACCCCTAATGCTTTCAAATAATCGATACGCTTCGCTATGCCTCGTAAATCTCCTACGCCATCGTTGTCTGAATCTTGAAAACTGGCTGGGAAGATCTCATAGAATACATTACCGCGATACCAAACCGTTCTGCAGAGTGAAACAAAGAAGAATAATGGCGATCGAGTTAACTTTTAAATTTTTCACTTACTTGGGATTACAGACGTTAGGTAGCGTTACTATCATAGCCACAACGATGGCACACATAGCCAGTAGACTGGACATAAAAACGAAAAATGTACATTTGCGTATCAAAGGCCAATTCCATGACACAAACGAAGGCGTATCTTTTGGTAGAGGAATATTCCCATTAGGCCCGTGACCGTTCGTATCCTGCAAAATGCATTAAGCTTTAGTGTTTGATATATGTGGCGTTGTCCTCTGAATTCTTACCTGAATTACATTATTATTCGGCAAATGCTTATACGAATGCTTATTAAACAGAGTGGTGGAAGCATCAATATCACTAGGTACACTTATACCAATACCCGAGCTGCTACCCGATGACGAGCTAGTTTCAACTTTACCATCTTCGTTACATAGATTCGTCGACATGTTGCTGTCATTATCATTATCAATGCAAGGCGTTAGGGGATGGGAGAAAGTTAACGGTGTTATGGTGCCATTCGTATTCGATGAGAGTAATGGATAGATAGAAGCTTCCTCCTCTGGCATGAACGTGGATACCGATGGCGATTCTATTAAATTTTGCGATAATTCTACTTGGAGTAAAGCTGGATCGGTTGAAATACCCATTGTGTTCATATCAAATTAAACTAAATCTGGACCTTGACCATGAACTTTATTTATACAATTCACCTTTTCTGATCTCTTCAAAATTCACTAGGCCGATAGCAACATATATATCTAATTCTATATTTTCCACACTGCAAGCACATTGAAATGCTGTGTCGTTGAACGCACTGTTTATCTCTCCAAGAAAAGTTGACTACTCTTCTGCGTTTATTTTTATCGTTATGTCAGCAATAATACCCGTTAGTAAGTACGCAGAATAGCATAGATATTTATATATAAGAACGTATACATAAAGTGTAAGTATGAGGTGTGCTATTTTAAACTGTTTTTCATAATTTTTTTATGTTTAAGACATCGAATTGATTTTCAATTAAATAATAATTGCACGCTTTTATATCCAATTTGTATAAATTGGTGTTGATTATATATATATATGTTGATTTTCTGTTCAACAAATTGTTTGTATTTTGTTTCAACACTAATTGCAATGAATCGTTTGACGTCTGCGAGTGAATTGTCACAACTGAAGAACATTTTTAGACCAAATTTCATTCATACACTTGTTCTTGCCTTGCGTATGCGCTCTTTCATTGTATCTACATTTAATAAAAATCCACATAATGTTTATGAATGTGATGAGTGGACGGTGTGAAGCGACGGAAAGACGGCTGGGTGGTAGGACATATGTTCTCATAAATTTTCAAATAATTGTTATCACTATCTGCAATTTATAAATGATTTTTTGTATCGAAAAAGTTTTAATTTTGAGCTGCACAGTAATCCCTATAGCTCGATATTAAAAATTTGAAGAAGACTTCCTTAGTTCTCAATACGAGAGATGGAATGAATATATTCCGGTTCATGTTACTTATCTGACAATATACACAAAAAAAAGAAAGAAATTACAAAGCGTGTACAAAGGCGAGGATGATCGTCTACCAAGCAACTTACAATACTTCGAATGGAATTGAAAACGATAGAGACTTGAGTTATTAACGTGCAATATATACTATGTATAGAAGTAACAATAGTAGTAATAATAAACAAACGATACAGTGTGCCATGACCCACCAATAACCCACTTCAAACCATTTTCGATGGTTCTCATACTTGGGCCGAACCATGTCGGTGTACTAAATTTCATCAAAATACCTTGAAAATTGCGACCTGTGGGTTGACCACAAGAATAAAAGACGGACAGACGGACAGATAAGCTTAGATCTATGCACAACAGAATTGAGAATCAATGGGGTTTGTGTACGTACTCACAAACTTAGTACACGCTTGTCCCATAAGTGGTTCATCGTCTAAAAATATTTAAGAACTTGATAAAATAATAAAAAATTTCCATCACCACATATTAAAACTTAGACTTTTCTGCTTTACAAAGGGTCAATTTTTGTGAAAATCCTTATTAGGATACGATCCAAAAAATAGGTCGAGAAGGTCTAAATTTGGTACATTTAATTTTTTTTATGTTAAATTACTATTACGATATATTTTTCTTCATGAAGAATTGAAAATTATACCTTTTTGTCGTGTGAAGTTCAGTTTTCGTTGCATGGGGAGAGGTTCGAAAATTGCCCTAAACGGTCCAAAGATTCAGTGAGCGACAGTGACGACATCTCAGAATAGGGTGTTATATGGGGGGTGATCGAAACGATGGACCGATCCGACAGCGTTCTTCCTTGAGTCCAAACACGTCACTGCACCAAATTTCATCGAAATATCTCAAAAATTGAGACGTACAGCCTGAACACAAATTTACATGGACAGACATCAGATGGACAAACGGGCAGATAGGCTTAGATCATTTCAGATTATGATTCCCATTCTAACGGTACAATAAAAGGCGGGTCTATCTTAAGCTTTTCTGTATGTTACATACTATACCCTGTACCCCAAGTGGTGTAGGGTTTATTAAAAAAGAAGGAAATATTTCAAGAATTGATATCTGTTCCGACTAAATCTCTTTAAATTTGTGTAGAAACTTTCTCGGTTCCCTTATTCATATAATGACTTTTGAAAGTGAGGCCCTGTATTGAAAGTAATCGAAAAGGGGGTACGATCTGAACCGTTTTCAATAGCGTTAGAAAACAAGAGAGAGAGAGAGAGAGAAAGAGAGAGAGAGAGGAACAGACAAGAGTCACTTTATCTCGAGCTCTTCTGGGTATTGTATACATCCGCAAAAACTTAATATACCCTTGTACTACAAGTGGTTTAGGATATAAAAACGCAAAAATCCAAAAGTACGAATAATTTGTGATTTTTTGATATTCTACATACATCTGGCATAACTGACAAAAAAAGTGGATTTTTGTAAGGGTCCTATAGGATCACTCATAGAATAGTTTGCGAGTAAGGAGCAAAAAGTCCAATTTTTTCCTACTGAAAACATGTGTGTTTGTTGTTGGGTACGTATTATAAACATATCCTTTGGTCTATTTGTGCTCATTTTCAATAAGAATCCACACAGAAGAACTTTCAATGTTTTCGCCAAATTTAAAGCCGGCGTCTTAATAGTTGCTATCTAGTTAATGTTTCCCGCAAACATTTACAAAGACATATAGAAAGACGGACAAGCCTAGAACGATTCATTGGTTCTAATGGTGAAAGTGGGAAACATTTTGACGAAACATCTAGGTATTGCGAATAGAAAGTAAAAAAACGAAAAAGTCGCAAGTATTGGTGCTAACAAATCTGTTAAAGAATATATTGGTCTGCAATTAAGTGCACGAGCGTATGTGACTGCAATCGGGAGAATGACGCGTCCAAGGTTAACAAAAACTTTCGCTCAAGATACATCGCACACTCTTTTACTTACGATTCATAAATGCTGTGCTTTTTCTTCGCTTGAATACTTCCAGTTAATATAGATGAAATTTTCGGTTTCCTCTGGATATAAGTAGCGATCAATTAGCTTGAATTTCAAAAAAGAAATTGCTTATGATGTTAAATGAGCTTTGAAAATACTTTAAACAAAAGAGAAGGAAAAAGCAAGAAAGCTTTATTCCCTCTTCGCTAACCATTGTGAATGGTCAATATTGGTAATTAAAAAATCATAAACGCGTTAAGAAAACAATATTTTTGTAAAGCTTTTTGTATATATAGTTTGTTATTTCTTTTCCAAGGTACAAAATCTTGTCACAATGACCTCATCCCGAAGATCGCGTCGAATTTTGTCGAAGATAATAGAATCAGTTTTAACGAGTTGCAAGTAGATCTTATAAAAGCCATTATTGCAAGAGATCGAAGTAAACGAACATGAAGTTGCTCTGATTGGCCATTTAATAATTAATTAATTTGATTTGAAATTATAGGCAAAATCAAAGATTAAAATAAATTTTTCGGCTAATTTGCATTTGTGAGTTTGTAATCAATTTTTTTTTGTTTTAAATGCTCGAAGAGTTGCACTAAAGATTATCGATAAAAACAAACTCAAAGAATTTTTCTCATAATTCTTTGCAATTTGAAGCGATCTATATAAATTATATTCTTTACCCAAATTTGATCTGTAGTATACTATAATGCTTTGTAATCGTTAACTATAAATATTTATGGTAAGGTTCAAACGTCGATCTCAATTTTCAAAAGGAGATTAACAACGAAAGGATAGGCGGTTAGGAAGAATCATTCAAATCAAATCAGATCCTTTCTTTTAATGTTTGATAAGTAAAAAAAATGTGTTTTTCTTTTCTTCTTTTTTTTTACGAACTAAAAAAGATAATTTAACGAAATTTTTTGTTATTATTATTATTTTTTTTTAATAATTATTGGAACAGTATTGGTTTTTAGAAATGTTTTTAAAGTCTTGAAGTGAATTCGATGAAGAAGGTCTTGTAATGCTTGCAACGCTATAACTAAGGTTACTATCACGTACGAAGATGTATCGGATGCTTTCTGGCTTTACAGTAAAGTCAAAAATTAATTTTACAAAATTAAGAATATATTTTCTTTCTCGGTACTTTTAAAAAAACTTTTACTCAGCAGTCAAACAGTTACTACCATATGCGTTTATGCAAGTGGATATGGCTAAACCAATGGAGATTGCAATGCTGAGTACTATTGCAAATAATACGTTAGGAAGTCTCTGGAGCATACGTTGATATATAAAAGATTGCTATTGTCTATGTAAAAAGGGACTTCAAAAACTCGAATTTTTCAAAATTAACTCATTTGCTTATTTGCTCTTTGGTGTCATCCTCCTCAGATAAATATGAATTGTCAACTTTCAAGCAGTTCTTCTCAGATCGTTGTGACGATCAAAGCTTGTAGCGGGAAATTAAAAGTTACATTTCAACTAATTGTGAGTGAAAGGCAATTGTATATAAAAAAAAAAAAAAAAAAAAACGTAAATAATTTTTGAGTCATAACAACGTTACTTGTTTCTGCAATGAAGCGTGAATTGTTTACAAGTTTAACTGCACCTATTGGTTAAAGTCAAGTTTAATTAGGCAAAAACCAGTTTATAGCATTTGATTAACTGCGATTTTTTATTTTAAATCTATTATTCTGATAACACGATTTAAAGTAACTAAAAAAAATACTTCAAAATTTTAAAGGGGATTTTAGTGAAAGAAATACATGTATATACATAAGAAAAAATCATTTATTGAAACCTAACGAAGCTATCCAAATGTTTATGTTTGTTTTTTGTTGTCCAGTATAGTTGCTTTCTATAAATTTTCAAGCGTCATATTGCTTTGAAATCACAGCGAAGTAAAACGCATCGTTGATATGCCTTTTCGATTCTAAAACCACTTCCAGTCGTCAGTAATTTCTTAATTCATCAATTTTGAATTGTTTAGCATTTGATAAAATGGTGGGAACGAACAAGTGCTGCTAGCAGATCGAGAAATAGAACTGCATCGATTTGAAATTCTTTGTTCCTATTGTTTTGCAGCGGTTCACTTGGAATATTAATTAATTTATTAATTGGATATTCCCGGATTAAGTCTCTTTTGATGCGTGCATTAAGGGAAATTTTTTGCCTTTGAGCGAGCGCTGAATGTGTGCTAAGCAAATTCAAATAATTAATTTGTATAATTTATGGCATTTGTTTAATAGATATTACGGTGCTGTGCTGTATTCTTCTACACGGGTGCACATAAATTATGTGAAAAATGTTTTCACTGGACATTTATAAATTTTTGCTCAGGAGGCAATTTATTATCTTATATTATGATATATGTGCCTTAAAAGTTATAGTATTGAACGTAAGTCAAATGGACACAATTCCGCATTTGTAACGTCCTCACAGTATTACAATAACTGACTTATTGAAAAATATTACAAAAAGTATATTTGACCCAAGCGCAGTGAAATATTTAGTCGCACACCATATTTATGTGAACATTGGTGTTTATTACAAGTCCAAATACGATATTTGCTTTAAACTTATGGCGAAATTGTTGATCAATTATTAACAAGGTCGATGAAGTTCTCTGAAATGTAGAAAGATACCAGATACATTACGTCATACGATATTACTACGAAGCTAAGCTAATTGATCAACTGCACGATTTATACGTGATTACTCCCCTGTTTTAAATAGCTTGTGTACGGCTGAACAGAAAAACTAATTTGATATTTGGGTACCGCAGGAACTAGCTGTAAAAAATTTATCGCATCGCTGCTGAGATAAATCGAGATCCGTTCATCTTAAAAGAGAGAAATGGGTGATAATATGTGAAACAATGTGAAAACAATTAAAAACATTATAGTCGGGCTAAGTCGACCGTTGAATACCCTATACCACATTGTCTAATACAATTCTAATTTTTTTACCATAGAACACAAAAATTGCACCTGGTTTTTATAAACGCTTATCTTTCGTAAAAATTGTGGTGACTAAGAGTTTCAGAAATTGAGGTACATGTTAAAAATTGAGCACAATTAATTATTATATGAAATTGCTATTGTGGATTAGTTTTCATCATAACATATTACAATTTCAACTTTTCTGTCCCAAAAAAGAAAAAGAGCAGCAAAAGAGGGCATAATCTAAGAAAGAGGCCGAGATAAACCAAATTTTGTACACTTAACCTTTTTTTATCTTAATTTTATTATCATAATCTGACTTTCATAATAAAGCATTGAAAAGCCTGACCGTTTTGTCATATGAATTTTAGTTTTCGTCGTTACATGAGAGTGGTTCACAATATGGCCCGAGCCATTTCAAAGCTTCCGCACCAATTTAGAATGGTGAAATATTATTACTTAGGCACTTTTGTTCAGAAATTTTTAAAATGGCGTTCATAGAACTACTTTTCAAAATATAGCGCTATATGGGGAGTGGCCGAAAAAGTGGAAATTTTCAATAGCATTCGCCCTTGAGTCAAAACATGTCAGTGTACCAAATTTCATTGAAATCTTTCAGAAATTGCATCCTATAGGTTGAAGTAAGGAAATAAGAGAAACAGACAAACACAAGCTTCGATCGAATCCAAAATCACTTTTTATATCGATCGGTCTAATAAGAAGTGGCTATATCTGCTGTTCTTCTGAGTATTGTAAGCATTTGCACTAACTTAATATACTCTTGTAGCACAAGTGGTGTAGGATTTAAAAACGTACTATCAAAATAAGGTGAACTACTACGATTTTTATATATACCTTTTCTATTATTTTTTACTTTTTCAATTTATAATTTAACTCTATTTTATGATTATTTTTGGGTTGTTTTTAGTATATTGATTTGTAAGGCTTCTTAATCATCTTTCTTATCATTATGTTTATATTAGTATAGTAAACTGTGTAGTGTAGTGAGAATATTGTTTTAAGAATATATACAAATTATATATGTACACGAACCATACAAATATTACTAAGCTACTAGTATATAAAAAATTAATTAGTATAAATAAGTATAAAATTATAAATATAGAAACCATTGCTTGGCAGTTAAGCTATTAAATTTTTCATGGGCTGGGTAAAGCCCAGAGACTTCCGTCCGTCAAATTTATTAGAATTGCTTGGAAACTTGGTAAGGAAGTAATGACATTTAATCTTATAAACTGCCCTTCCGCATCATCGTAATCACTATCGAGTAGTCTCTACGTTGTATGACTTGGAGAATCCATATTTCTTAGCAAAGCTCAAATAGCCAATAAAACTAGTTCCTAAATGTTCGACCGTGACGTGCGCTACCCGTCTCAGACTAAATGGAAGGAGGAAACAAAATGCTTACAAATGTACGGCGCCACTACCTAATGGAAGGCGAAACAGAAGATATTACGAACTTATAGAAGACTAAAATAAAGTATTGGCTAATAAGTTGTAGGACAAATGAAAGAACAGTAAGAGAGTAAGAATTAGGTAATTAATCTTAAACCCCTAAGATAATCAAGACAATCAATGCTTACTCTACAAGTTCTTTGGAACACATTGCAGGATGTTACAAACGAGAAGGCGAAAAGTATATATTGTTTGGGGGGAGCGAACTTGCCCAAATCTAACGCTATAATAAAAGCTGTAGCCTAGTCATCTTTAATGTAAGCAGCAGATCACTATCTCTGCTTTACTCCACATTCCAGTTTTCTCAATAGTCTGCCAACACTCAGTGCTATATGTAAGAACACGTGCATACGAAAATTGTGAAGGGTTTTCAAAGAGATGTTGTTGTTTTGTCTGAGAGCTTGTTAAGCCATGACATCTCTTTTGTGACACTGTTAATTTTAAAGCTTACGCAGCAGAAAAAATTACCTTGCTGGTGAAGCATAAACAATATAGTTTTTAAGACCTTTGCATAAGTCTAGTTTTGTATCGAAAAATATAAAACGCAGGAATGCGTCGCTTTTCCTAATTAATGCAAAGGAAAATTCTATTTCAGAAGATGGATACTTATGAACCGTTTTAAAACAAAAGAACAATGACTAGGCGATCCTAAGAAAAGCATAGAATTACACTTGTTATGCAAGCAGTGCACTCAGCGGAGTGCAGAGTGCACACTTATTTAAAGATTATGTAGCAAACGGGCTTAATTAGATACCTTAGGCAAATTTTTTTAGTATACTTCAACTAATCTTTATTAGTTTTTGTTAACGTCATTAGCGAGTTGACAAATTTAATATGCCGTTAATAGTTGTTATAAAATATATAGCAAATCAATCATAAGCAAATGTTTACAGTACTACTCTTATGTTTAATGCTGAATTCTCAACGACTTTCAATAACATTTGTGCTGATAACCCGCCCGAACTTTTTATATACTATTAACCAAAATTTCTATTTGCTTTGCTAGTTCTTTGAGTGTAATTTTGCGATTAGTTTTCATTTCGTTTCAGTCTTAGGCAAAGAATGGCAGCGAAATTAATTTTACTCGTGTCCTGTGCATTAGTTGCTCAAGTGCATAGTCAAGTAACACTCGATGAACTAATTAAAGGAATTTTTACTACAAAAAAAACAACAGATGTCGACCCACCACCTACAGTAACTATTCGCACAGCACCTATGCCAAATCCTGATCCAACGCCAGCTCCAACTCCAGCTCCAACTTCAAATCCGGATGGCAATCGAACGGGTCAGTTTGGTAAATACAAATCATGCGGTTTAAATAAGGAATGCGTACCTAGGCATTTGTGCGTAGATGGGACAATTAGTACTACAGGCGAAAATTTCATTGATATACGCATTGATGGTGACGTTTGCATCTACAATGAGGCCTGTTGCGATTTACCAAATAAGGTACGGTATTTTTTGTTTAAAGGGTACATTTCTATCTTTACAAACAAAATGTTTCGTTCACGATAGAGAACAAAGTCAGTTATTCCTGCTCTACCGCCCGAACCCCATGATGGTTGCGGTTGGCGAAATCAAAACGGTGTAGGCTTTAAAATCTCAATTAAACAAGACGAGGCTGAATTCGGTGAATTTCCATGGATGCTAGCCATTTTACGTGTCGAAGAGAATGGCGATAACGATGTGATATTTTTGTATGAATGCGGTGGGTCTCTAATTGCTCCTAACGTCGCTTTAACAGCCGCTCATTGTGTTATCAATCGTGAAGCCCGACAATTAATTGTACGAGCTGGCGAATGGGACACACAGAATACGAATGAAATATTACCACACGTCGATAAACAGGTTAAAGAGAAAATTGTACACGAAAAATATAGTCGTGGTACGCTTTACAATGATGTAGCATTGCTGATATTGGAAGAACCTTACCGTTGGGAAGAAAATATTCGTCCGGTTTGCTTGCCAGAGCCGAACACTAACTTCGATGGTTTGAGATGTTTTGCTACCGGCTGGGGTAAAGACACATTTGGTAGGGAAGGAAAATATCAAGTAATTCTGAAAAAAATTGAATTGCCGGTAGTTCCTCACTCCACCTGTGAGAATCAATTAAGACAGACTCGCCTTGGTCTCTATTTTAACTTGCACAAAACTTTTTTGTGTGCTGGCGGTGAGCTTGGCAAAGACACTTGCAAAGGTGATGGAGGTTCTCCACTGGTTTGTCCAATACCTGGTTTTAAAGATCGTTATTATCAGGCGGGTATCGTAGCTTGGGGCATCGGTTGCAATGATCCGAACGTGCCTGGCGTTTACGATAGCGTTCCCTATGCTCGTCAATGGATTTCGGAGAAGCTTGCAGCAAGGGATGTGAATTTCTCCGATTTTACACCGTAAACCAAGTGGACGTTCTTATGTAAATACTACAAAAAAAATTTACATTTAAAAGAATTAACTTTGCAGTATTTATTCTGCAGAATGACATTGTACGCAATGCTTTAATGTTTTGTCGATCGTTTTACTATTGCTGAGAAAGTTCTATACATTTTTTTTTTTCGAACGGTTTTGTTTAATTCTTATTGTTAAAGTCGATTAAAACCCAAACATTAGTACGTTTTGTCGGCCTGAAAAAGTAGGTAAACATTTGAAAAAAGATTTCCAGAACAATTTGCCAAAAGTCACATAAAAAAAAATCGGGTTAATACTATTCGTGCTAGCTGTCAATTCGCAAAAAGTGTTAAGCATTATAAAATGTCCTTCATGAAAAGTGATATTTTTTAAATTATAATTTTCAGCTTCAAGCACATTTTTGTGTGTGCATCACACAGCTTCTCACGATTCCTGATATCATTAAACATTTTATCACAATTGTGGCTACATATCAATGCAATCCCCCCAAATGAGGCTAATTTTTGTCTTAGTGACTTCGTTAATACAGAAAATTGTTGAGAAGAACGGAAAAGTATTTTATGACGCGTTGTTGTATTCAAAAAACTCGCTATTTGACATTGTTTATGGCGTAGCGTCACCAAATCTTCCTTTTTTCGAGATGACGAGAGAAGAAAGGCAATCGCTACAGATAAATGTTACGCCAATGTCTGTAGCCATCACTTGAGATCACAGCTATGGAAAGGATATGGCTTCAGCAGGATGATGGTACGTGTAGCACAGCTGATGCTACGCTCGGTTTGATTTAACACCGATGGAATTTTTTTCTTTGTGATCACATTAAAGCCTAACTCTATGCTGACAAATTCTATGCTTTGTGAGACTTAGCGGCGAACATTCGCAACGCTAATGTTGAAAAAAGTGACTAACAATTGAAGTCATCGTGTGCGTCAGGTATATTCAACGCCTTGGTGGACTTTTGAACGCTATTTTGTTCAGGATGTAAGAGCAATGTCTTCGCTTCAAAATAAAGCACAATTTGTTTTGATACTTTTAGTTGTTTTTTTTTTCTCTTAAATTTAAAAGGTGTCATACTTACTGAACGACCTCTTATTATAGTCAATTTAAAGTGTCCAGGAGTTTAACGAGTTGGAATGTATTTTTTCCACCTTTATGGCTATATATAAAATTCACGTTGGAGGGACAACTCATATTTTGAAACTGTCCACGTTATTTCAAAAACAAAAACCTGCACAAACAAATCCTGATCGAAACATATGATAAGCAGAAGGCGGCCTGTTTGGTGAAGACGGCTCAGCATATAACGTTTCCTGAACAGACTTCATTACCCGCAGCATCTTCCCCCTAATAAAGTTTTAAGGTTTTTCTTTTGATAGAGCGCTTCGTTTTCTATAGTCGCCTTATTCTAAAAGTCTTGTTAGTTACTGTCCCTTTCTATCTGTGCTTTGGGTCTAGAAAGTTGTAGACGGGCTGACAGCTGTGGTGGGTAGGTATTTTTTGACGAACATTGGACATCTACGAGATACGATAGCGAGGAGGGGATTATCATGTGCTCAAATCGTTTGTGCCAACGCTATAGTAACGAGCCCATTGAATGTTGTACCTTCGCTAAAATACTCGTTTCATCCGCATACCGTCATTCCGGTGTTTTAAAAGTAACAAGGCCACATTAAATAAAAAACACAATTCCTGAGTAAGCCATCATATTATCAAGTTTTTTTTTCCTTTCCTTTTTAATATGACCAATCACGCAGGGAATATCCCCTATTTGTGTAATACGGTAACAGTTAGAAAAAAGTCAGAAAATAAAAAGATTGAAAGGGGGATTGAGGACGTGATTTTAATCGCTGGATTTTGATTGTCATGCGGGACGCTCTTCGTTTCCAATCTCTTCTCGGCCTTGTTCGAACTGCATATACCACTTCTGAACATTTCATTCCGACAAAGTCGGCAAAGGCTTTCTGCAAGCTCCTACACATTTTTGCACAAGACATTTCGTTTCGCAAACAAAGCTTAATGTAACTAAAAAAACCCTTCGTGTCATACAAAAACCAAGCGCAGCTGAAACACTAATGACGTTTATGATGTAAAACTTGGCGACAACGATATTCGATATACTTGATGTTTGATAGCAGTATTAGGTTTTTTATTACTATTTATTATTATTTTTATTATTATTCTTTTCCAATTCATAATTTTACTATGTTTAATACTTATTTTTGCATATTGATTATGTAGGTTTCTTAGTTATCTCAACTAGTCTGTCGTTACGTTTTCATTAGTATACTAAGCTATGTTTATTTTAGGAACATTAAACATAGAAATAAAACCACTACTGGTAAATAAAAATTAAATTAATATACAAAGTAAAAAATATATATATAAATTAGTTGTTTACAGTGATTGTATTAAATTTTTCATGTCTTGGGTAAAACCCAGAATGTTCCGTCTATCAAATTTAAAAATCACACGGAAATTTAATGGGAAAACAATGCCCTTTCATCTTCTAAACTGGTCGTTCGCAATCTAGAGGCAGCGGTGTTTCTATCCTCCTTTATTTTTTGATAATCCACAATTCAAAAAAATCCATATGCCATTGTTATTAATTAAACTCAATTGGCAGGTGAAACGAATTGTTAAAAGTCTATCCTTGACGTGCAATTCTCCATCCTTATATGCCGTTGATAATCTAAAGGATGGGGAAAATGAGATTCTTGTGAACAGCGGAAACTGTATTGAAAGCAGTAGCATAGTAATTTTCAATGCAAGCAGGCATTTTCTGCCTAACTCCATTATCGTATCCATTTCGCACTAGTCTGTCTCTGCTGAACTTGTTAAACTCTTACCGCTCCCTGTGAAAATGTAATATTTAAAGCTTACGCAACAGAATATGTTGTCGTCTACAAAACGTGGTAGTCGTGGGAAGTTTTGAATAAGTCAAGCTCTACACCGAAAAGTATCAAACGCGAAGGAAAATTCTTTGGAGAAAATTATGTGATTGCATTGTTCTATGAACTGTTCCCAAAACCATTGCTTAGAAGGCATAGGAAAAGCATAAGATTAGGCCCATTATTGGCTATGCGCATAACATAGTTTTTGAAGCTTTGATCCAACACAACGAAAGCATCTCCAGTATTAATTGTGCACCCGTTGCACTTAATGGAGTACAGAGTATAAATAAATTCAATACACTTAAATAGCCGCAGCATATGTATCTTACCTAGGGAACCGGTTCAGTTAGACTCCCTAGGTAAATAAATTCTTAAGTATACTTCAATTAATCTCTATTAGGTTTTAATTACGTTATTTGCGAATCGACAAATTTAATATACCGTTAATAATTGTTATAATAGTAAAACAAACTAATCAGTAAGGAAATTTTTATATTGGTGCTCTTACGCTTAACGTTTAGTGAATTTCCCACGGGTTTCAACAAAAGTTCTACCGATAACCCGTTCGAACTTTTTCATATGCTATATAAAGCGTAGTTTCTATATGATTTCTTAGTTCTTTAGATTTAATTTCACGATTATTTTTCATTTTATTCTAGTCTAAGGCAAAGAATGGCAGCAAAATTAATTTTACTCGTAACGTGTGTGTTAATTATTCAAGTGCATGGCCAGGTACCATTCGATAGTCTATTGGATGTAATTGTCACCTCACAAAAACAAACAGACTTCAATGAAAGTACACAAGTACTCATATCCGAATCTACTGCGTCACATAAGGGTTGTGGTTGGCAATATCAAAGTGGTTTAGACCTTTCATCCTCAAATGAGGCTGAATTCGGTGAATTTCCCTGGATGGTAGCTATTCTAAGTGCCGAAGGAATTAACGATAACGATAAGATATATTTGTATGCTTGTGGTGGGTCTTTAGTCGGTTCCAACATTGTGTTAACAGCAGCTAATTGTGTTGTTAATCATGAGGCGCAAAAATTAATGGTACGAGCCGGTGAATGGGATACACAGAGTACGAATGAAATTTTACCGCACGTCGATAAGCAGGTTAAAGAGATAATTGTACACGAAAACTACGATCGTAATACACTCCACAACGATGTAGCATTGCTGATATTGGAAGAATCTTTGCATTGGGAAGAAAATATTCGTCCGATATGCTTGCCAGAGCCAAACATTAACTTCGATGGTTCAAAATGCTTGGCTAGCGGTTGGGGTAAGGATAAACAAGGCAGAGAAGGCAGATATCAAGTTATCCTGAAAAGTATCGCATTGCAGGTAGTTCCCCATTCTACCTGCGAGAATCAATTAAGACAAGCTGGCCTTGGCGTTCATTTTAACTTACACAAGAGCTTCTTATGTGCTGGCGGCGAGATTGGGAAAGACACTTGCAAAGGCGATGCAGGTTCTCCTTTGGTTTGTCCAATACCTGGTGTCGAAGGTCGTTATTATCAGGCGGGTATCGTATCTTGGGGCATTGGTTGCGGTGCACAAAACGTGCCGGGTGTGTACACCAGCATTCCGCAAGCTCGTCAATGGATTTCCGATCAGCTCTTAACAAGAGGTGCGAATTTTTCCGACTTTACCCCATAAATTAAGCAGAAGTTTTTGTAAATAATATGAAAAAATGTATATTAAAAGAAACTCGGAATGCACAGCATATTCTGTAGAAAGAGATTGTACACGTAATTCATTCATGCAGCGCTTGCAACGTTGCCTTTTATAATTTAACTTTTTTTTATTTGTTTATTTATTTACTTACTTATATACATGAAATTCAATTAAGACAAATTAACATTTGAAATCAAATAAATCTCAATAGTAAATCTTATACTAATGGAAGAAATGGGAAACAGGAATAATAAAAACAAAGTAAATTAAAATAATAATTCATCTATAAATAAATAAGAAAGAAAAAGAAAAAGAAAAGCATATACACAGCTAGCACAGTAGTGCACCCACAACGAGAACAGATCAAGGTTGCAGGCGAACCCCTAAACCATTGCAAACATGCATAAGCTTGGCAACCGACAACGTTAACAACGACATTTAGTTGTCGAAATGAAAAAAAAAAAAATGAAAATTTAAGAACGCAAGTTAGTGTAAGTACGACATAAGTAAAACGCGCTTGTTAAACGAAGTTGCTTTAATAGACTTTAAAGAATCCGATAATGAGAATAAGTGATAGATATCACTTAGGTTCCTGCAAACAACTCTGAGAGAGCTAAACAGCTCATAATTGTGTTTACATTGACTAAGTTTAATAAAAATAAAGTGCCTAGAGAAGCGGTTAGGGACATTAAAGCTTGTCTCACCAAGTCCGTCAGTAACTGTTCCCTGTCTCTCTACCTTCACTCGCGCGTATACCCGCTTCACCCTAGTCTTCACCAATATAATCTATAAAAATAAACTGTTAAGTGTGTAATGTGTAAGTTTCTACCGATTATTCAGTAAGAAAAACCATATTTGGTGAATACAGCGAATGAAGCAGTTCATCTTATCCTCTAATTTTTCCTTATATAGCTTGCTTGCAAATTGGCTGGAATATGGTTTTCACTACTTAGCTGCTGCACTAGAAAGCCAAAGGAAGATAAAGGATGACGTTTTTGTTTCTTTTAAAAGACGGCCCCTTCCCGTTATAGTGAGTTCACTATAGAAGTCATGCTAATTACTACCCTTTGCTAAGTGCATTTTTGTCATACAAAATAGTACAAGGCCGGCTTACAGCGCTGTCTTTTTTTTTTCTTTTTCAGTATGACCAATCCATCAAGGCGTGTCTCCTACTTGTGTCACACATGACTAAGTCAGCAAATGTTACACTTTCACTTTACTTCATTGATCCTGAGAACCGCGATTCGTAGCTATTCGCCTACTTATAAGAATGAGCTATGGTGCCGTGGGTTTTCAATAAACATTGACAATCTATAGGGTGTGGTAGTGAGAGAGAGTTTGTAAAATTCTCAAGGAGCTCCAGTTCTTTCTTAACGGCACGGGCTTAGCGGAGGTTTTCGGCAAATTCGTGAGCGCATTAAATATTTGGGATATTTGGGATATTAAATAGGGGTCCCCAGAAGCCATGGTTCATAAACATGCGTCCACTTTCGGCACTTTAGAATTAGTAGGGTAAGGCAACATGTCATCCCATGGCACCATGACATCAAGCGTTTATAAGCAAACGCCTACATTAAACACCATAGAGATCCATCCTATCGCGAACTTTTTTTCTTTAAAGCTTTGCTCAATTCGTTCCCCAGGAATAATTTGCAGCGGAAATATGCAGCGCACCCATTACATTATATGTTATATTTGTTATAATCAAAGCAAATAAAATGTTAATTCTAAAGAATTTCAAAAGCTTTTCACTTTATTTTATTTATTGTTTATTAAATTTATTCAGAAACTTTAAATTGTTTTCCTCTTAAAACTAGTTGGTGTTTTAATTAGTTTTTTTTTTTCTTCTTCCTTTCCTCTATATCATTTTGCAATTATAACTTACGCTTAAAAATTACAATTCCTTTTTTATTAACATTTAATATTGAAAATCTTATTAAATGAATTCAAAATTCCCTTGGAAAAATGTTTATAATAAGTGATCTGGCAAACAATCTTTTTCTTATCATATTCTCTTTATTCTAATTTAACTCACTTTATTATTATTTGTTTTTGTTTTCGTTTTGTACAATAAATTTTTAAAAAATAAGACATAAAATTTAATAAATATTTTAAATACGATTATGGATGACTGACTATGTACCTATTATGCATTTATAGATTAAACATTTACAATACAGTGTTTCCTAAACTATGCATCGTCATGTTAATATCATCGGTTTAATTAATACGGCTGTCAGTTGCAATAGAGCAAGAGCTCATATAGGGTGCTATTAAATTTTAAGTTTTAAATTGAAAGGTTTTCTTTGAGAATTACTCGGAAGCTGTAAGCAGACCAGAGGCGCACAATAATTAATTAATAAAAAGGTTTGATTGTTTATTATTACTTTTTGGTATTTTCTACAGATTTGTTTGAGTTCTTTGTTTATCTTTTTGCATTATTTTTAGGAAAAAGGTGCAGGGAACTAAAAAATATTTGCAAAAATATTTTGGTACTTTTTTCGATTGTATAAAATCTGCACGGAAGTTTTTTCGAAATCTATACGCTTCAGTAATTGTTGGCATTGATTAAAGGTATCTAAGGAGAATACCAAAAGGTACCGGAAGCAATATTTCATAGAAAATATAAAAGTGAAGATTAATAGATAAAAACTATAAGTATAGTTATTGATCACTGTATTATGTATTATGGAAGCACAGTTTATCGCTAGATTAGAAAATTTTCATAATCATTAACAAAAGAATTTTTCATTTCGTTTGTCTCCAAAGCTTTTCATGAGACACTTTTATAAGCATGTTTTTTATATATACATTCTTGGTCAGGGTGGAAAGCCAGGTCAATTGATCATCACATGTTGTTTGAATATTACCATTCTTACATATGTGACTTTTATATTGCAATCCGACAAGGCCGCCCACTAAAGATTCTGATCCATTAGTTTCCTCAATACCAAATATTAGACAATTTTGTCTTATAAGCCAGATCTTTTCATGAAAATTCTTAGACAGTTACCTGGAAGGGTTAAAATAGCGTTCAATATGATTTTACTTTAGTTCAGTCAATTTTTTCTCAAATCAATTTTTTGGAGCAATTTTCATCGCCACATACCGAAATTTTAAATTATTATCACAAACGCGTACAAGTGGGCAAACATGTTCGAAACGGCTTAGACACTCGCAATCGACTTAGAGTTCTACCCTGACTCATAAAATGATTCTGAATTGATTGGTATAATAAAAGGTGCATCCATTTCAAGTCCTTCTCTAGGTGTTTTTTCCATCAAACTTAGTATAATCCGTACGACAAAGACGAGTGGGTTATAAGGAGATTTAGTTTTTTGCTTTTGTTATTCACTCTGAACAAGAATAAGTCGCCATTGCATACTTTTAGACGTTGGAAATATACGAGAAACTTAGTATATTTTCAGGGAAGAATATAAAATGGTTATTCCCTATAAAAAACATTTATGTACGCCTATTATTACAACACTGGTTTTCTACGAAGGAAGGGATTATAAATATATTTGCGTTAATCATTATACACTTTTGCACGATCATCACTTTTCCTGACAGCTTTCGTCTATGTTTTAAGTTAAAATAATTATCTATGTACATGTATATATAATTATTCAATTAATGTTACATTATCTATACTTAAACATTTAAATATTTATGTATATATATATTTATATATATATATATATATATATATATATGTAAATTATTATTATTATTATTATTTTAAAAATACACTTAATATTTTAACTAACTAACTAACAAGGCAATATTTGATTGATATAAAATGTTGCATCATTTCAACTCGTTTTACGCCCACCACCAACACAAGTTAAGTGCACACCTAGTTTACCATTCGAAGGATAACATTAAAACACAAACCCTCTAACGGCTCCATGCCTACATATATGCAGCTGCTTGAATTTTATTTATTGTGTTCACTATTCCTAGAACTCTTACCGAAGCAAATTTAAAGCAAAAAGCAACAAATAACTGCAACACCATTATGGTTTCATTTGTTGTATAGGCTTAAGGCTTCATTCTCTGAGGACCGGAAAAACAAAACCAAAACAACAAATATTAAAACCAATAACTTGTGAATTATGATATAACAGATATTGACACAAAAATTTGGCACCAATTTTTAATAAAACGTTACATATATGGAAATAAGCTTAACGAGCCTGGCGGTATCCCAATTAACATAACACTGTATTTAGATATTAATTAGGTGGACTGCAAGGTATATGCATGAATAGCTGCATAGATGCAAAGTATCCACGATTCCGTTAATTTTTGTGATCGTTTTCAATCTTCTCCCCTTAGCTCGATGCACTATTTTCTCTGGCCCATTTTTTGTGAATAAGTATTTAGTGTTTCCGCACAGCAAAATTTGCAATAGGTGAATATCAACAGATGAATAAGTGGGGAGTCCCCGAAAGTTTCTTAGCCTTTTGGTTGAATGAATAGCCGTGAAAGGAAATAGTTTAAATCGTGGCACCACAATTCAACTATTCTGTCTTTCTTCCCATTCTTCGTTTGTTAATAATAAAATATTTCATATTTTCCTATTAACTTCACTGTACTCTGCAAAATACGCAGTAACTGCTTTCAAACTTGAAAAGGTGGTGAGTATTCATAATTCACCTTAAGGCGAATTTAATTTTCTTATTTTAATAATTAATTCAATTATTTGTTTATTCTTTCTTCTCTTGCAATTTGACATAAGTAGATATTCTTTTCTTTTTTTTTTTTTTTTTTCTTCTTGTTACGTTCGAAGCTATTTATAGAACATATGATTTATATATTTTATGGATTCCCAGTTGCTATCCAAAGTAAAAGGGAATTCTTTTTCGATTAATACAACGAATGATGAATCAAGAAAAAGCAGAAATTTTGCGAAATATTCATTTCGATGAGCGTAATTGAACTTGAACTAACATTAATCAAGCTGCAATCGTATGGCTTGGCCCGAACAATCAGACCACCTACGAAACATCCAATTTTTATTGACCCCTTTGCCGAAGATACGCTATACGAAGAGCGCTTGGAAGAAATAGTTTCAACCCTACGTAGCGAAGTCTAGCTGAATCTAGTAATAGTCCAAGTCCACAAAAAAGCTGACTTCTTTCTAAAGGAAGGTTGTCGATTTTGTCGTTCGGAATTCACTAATGCTAAGCAAGCATATGTATGTTAATACAAAAAAGATGGCGCAAAAAATGCAATAATTAATTGGCGGATGAATAAAACTCCCAACCTTTCTGCCTTAAGCAGAGAAGGAAGTACCACTGCCCCCAAACTATCTTCGTAGTAAGTAATTAAGCATCAACTGCATAAATTCTCAACCAACGCAAATTTCGTATACGGCCATCCCAACGAATGAACGAATGTAAAACTGAGATTAATATAAGCAAGTTTTTTTTTTTTTAGGAAGAACAAGTTCATTCTAGATCAAGTGGGAATGCAATAAAGAAAACACTGACACAAAATATCTTTAGCCGCTTGTGAAATGTCGATTTTTTTCATTTTGGTTTCTCTCTGGCGTTTGTGGTGCTTTCTAATGAACGTAAATGTCAAATGTTTCTTCGAGAGAAAAAAAAAAAAATTCCGAACACGAACGAACCCATTATTATTATGTATGAGAAAATTAAAGGATGTGTTTGTCTACATAGGTATATCAATGAAGGAAATTCCAAGAAAATTTCTAAAACTTTTCAATTGCTTTTGAAAGTTTTCGCTTTGTGTGCCTTGGGTTCTTCCGTCAAACTGTTTTACAATAAAATTATTATCGATAAGAGTTGACTTTAATGGGTTCTTTTATAGTTAGAAGTTAGACAATCACTTTTAGAAACTAAAAGGGCTACCTATTGTCTAAGATCCCTAACTCGATTTTACTTGTTTATGAAAACAGTTGACAAGTTATATTAGAGTGACTGGAATTACAATAAAAAAGAAAAAAGGAAATTGATAAAAAAAGTAGGTAGGCAAATAGACACATACAAGGCGAATCTAGTATTTACGCTGATCAAGAGTGAGTTTTTCTTGTTAATGTGATTAATCAGTCAAGGGTTGTTCGCTTTAGCTCTATCAATATCAGAAGGAAGTCGAGAAAGAGATAGAGGGTGGCCGTGGACTAGTTTATGTCCGCACACTCGGTAAATGGATTGAACAGACTCTATATACCGTAACTGCATTAAGATTTGAACCCGCGAATACCTATTCGTTAGTTGCGCCTCTTATCTAATCCTTGTTCGACAGCCCAAATACACAATTATAAAGTGGTCCACAAAATCATTCAAAACGGGCACAAATGTATTAGTGTGTATTAAATATTTTCAATGTTTTGAAAAATGAGACGTGAATTATTCTTCACAACAAACACAATCATAAATTATTCACGTGCATCGCACAGCAAAGTAACGAATCAAGCTTAGCATCTTTGATTGATTCATCTACGGTAAACCATTTTGCGAAATGGGCTTTGCACCTAAACAGTAAACATTTACACACACATTGGCATTTCGTTGAATATGTGTAATGTATCGAATGCAATATTATTTTTGGATAGAAAGCAAAGCCAGCGAATCATAGTACAGCATAAACATTCCTTTCCCATAAATGTATCGCTTCAAGTAAGGCTTGCTTTTTAAGCAAATTGCAAAAATCTTAATGAATAGTATCAATCTATATGAGATTACACATTTCCAAACGAGAAGAACCCTAGAAAAATATTTTTAATACCCACTGTTATGAAATTTGGTAAGAAAGTATTTATTCGATTATGATCGATCCCTTTATCTTTCTATTGTTTCATTATAAAAACGAGCAAGCAAATAATACTCGGTTGTCATCGATTCTCCTACGCGCTAGCTGCATCTTAGAAAAAGCTTAAAAGAAAAAGCCATTAAAATATCTTAAAATCTCCATCTAAAAGCGTGCTGTGTTAGGAAAGGGATAGAGTTAGGGCTTACTAATTAAGAATATGAATACTCTGTAAGGTTATGTATCGTCGTTATGTAACTAAATAACACTCTACTTCAAATAGTTAGAAACACTATAAACACACGACAACAAGGTTAACGGAACAAGAGTAAACATCTGGGGCATTATTAAGAGAACCTCCTAGAAAGTCATTATTAACTAATAGTCATTGATGACCATTGAGGCAAAACAGCTGACGAGTGCACTTAAGAAGTTCTCGGATACAGTTAATGGCCCAAACTTTAATAAATTGATTAATGTCACGAAAAATGTATGCTCTATACAGTATATCCCAACCATGACGATAATTCCATTTCTTCTTAATATCGTGATGCAAAAGGAACAGCAAAAAATAGTCTATTAGAATAGCCAGTGATGGAAGACGCAGAAGAGAGACCCTTGCTGGACAATACATTACTCTGCATAATCCCATTCCGTACGTAAAAATGCCAGTGCAGCCATAATTATTACATTTAGTGCAAAAGCTCAAGCAGTTCCCTCGACCGAATACTAACGAATTAATACGTTGCGGGGAGCTTACGAAGCAGAGAGCGAGAAAAATTCTCGCAAAAATACCTAGCGAGAGGTATTTACTTTAACTACAACAAATACAACAAGTATTTAGATTTAAAAAGCAGTTAACTATTAATTTGTGTTAATTAGATTTAAATCACTTAACCCTAATCTTACCACGCAATACTCTTGCCTTGAGTCATATTTGTGACTTTGAACATACAGTTGTTTGATTATTTTACATTGCATATGGGGGACTGAGAGTCACATAGCATATAGTGTGTATAGTGTGTTATAGAAAGACACATGGTAAGATTAGAGTTGAAATTAAATCTTTGATTTAATTATTATTGTCGGCAAAAGTTCAAGAGCACTTGAAAAAATTATCTAAATCACTTCGACTTCAAAAGAGACGGCACGAAAAATTTGCGCTTCTAATAAAACTTGCAATTATTTTAACACCTATTATACGCATGATATTTCTGTTAAATATATTTTATGACTTTTTTTTATTATTCCCGTCATAGCGATTCCATATTTAATTTTTTCTTTTTTTTTGTTGTTCTCGTTATATTTTTAGATTTTGATTTTAATTTCAATTTTAATGTAATTACCGTTATTTTAAATATTTCTTCCCTTTTCTTTTATTAACATATTTCTTCATCTAAAGCTAAGCTCTAATTGCGAACATCACAACCATATATGACTTTAAACATTTTACAAACGATCAATAATAATTGTTTGCAAAAAAAAAAAAAAAAAATAAATAAAAAAATAAAGAAATAGAACAACGACAATAATGAATGAATGATAAGGTACTAAAATTCACAAAACCCCAATTTTTTTCAAATATATGTTAATACGCATCTAAAACCGCGCACGCCTTATACATGTTTAATACGAGATGAGAAAGAACGCTTAACAAGCACTTGAACATCCGAAAGCCTTTACGTAATAAAGTCAATAACTATTAGCGGTAAAAAGTTTAAGAGGTAATATATGTATATTCAGTATTATGAGAGATGTGTAAAAATGGATATACTTATCAAATATAACATTGCGTAATCGTTAAGAGTATTTATATGAGAGAATTGCTTAGGGCTTAAAGCCTTTAGTGTCGTTAATAAAAAAAATATTCCTCTTAGACAGCTGGGCTTTCTTACAATATGCTCGCGATGTAATTTTACAAGAGTTAAATGTTCTTGCCGTTTTTATGATAATAAATCTATAGTAGGCCACGGTCTACCATTAAATACCCTATACGAATTTGCTTAATACAAGATATTCATATAAGCACTTTTCGAAATACGCCGTTATATGGTCGAAAAAGTGTTCCGATCCGTACCACCTTCAATAGCGTCCGTCCCTGGGACAAAGTATGTCCGCGTATACCAATTTTTGTCAAAATATTTTAAAAATATGCGGCCTATTGAAAGAAAGAAAGCAAGACAGACAAATCGACAGATGGGCAGACAAGCTTAAATCAATTCGGAAATTGGTCTGGAATCAAACTGTAAAATAAAGGTAGATTTTTCCCGGTTGCCCTCGTATCACAAGTGAACCAGGATAAAAAAAGGAACACAACAGCTCTCATGGTTTATAAAAAAATTGCTTTGTTAAAAACGAAGTCTTAGAATAAATCTCGGATCTAAATCAGTACGAATGAGTCGCGTTAATAAAAATGGAACGAGTGGCGTTTACAACGTACGTTAACATCCCGGATGTACGTAAACCATTTTATTAAGTGAAAGAGGAAAATCTACTCTATCTTCGGCAGTATAGACTTCAAAAGCGTTACAGCGATAGTCCAAATATGTCGATGACTGTCAGGTGCGTGCTATTCCACGAACTGTTTGTAATAAATTTTTTAAAAGAAGAAAAACCAATCGTTGACTTTTAAAAAAAAAGAAAAAAGGAAACGGTACGACGTGCCAAACTACTTACAAAAGAATCGAATTCTTGAAGACTATGCTTTATAGGGGGCCCTCTTACTAAAATGCCACCATTACCTGCTAGAAGAAGAAGATTCAGTTTTCATCAAAACAGGGTGGAAAAGAATGCTATTATTTTCTCGTGTGATTGGATAAACAGAAAGCGAACATGACCTGGATTCACCACGAAAAATATGCCTACACTAACTTAATCTCACTCTGAAGGAAACACAAAAAGTTCTTTTAAAATGTCCATCCGAACTTGTGAAATTTTTGCAATCCTTATCAAAAGCATTATATATACAAAACAAATTTTATACGGATGTATAACCCGTAAGGTCATAAGTTATGGATAAAAATGTTGTTTGTTTAATTTGCTTTCACAATGTTGCTCTTAAATTGCATCTATGTAATATTTTGTTTTGTTTTAGTTTTTCTTCATGTCTTGTGAATGATTAATGATAATTGAACAAATGAATGAATCGATGTCATCGAGAGATGTGTGTATAAATGTGTTAAAAACGTACTTAATTATAAATATTAAAATGCTATAATATTTACAATAAAAACAAAGCTAAGTCATTATAGTTGTAAAAAAACAAAAAACCTTGCCTTGTATTCTTGTGTTGTTGCAAGTAAAGTGCAATTCGTTTCTTTTTTAGTGAAGTATCGTTAATTTAAGTGATCGTTTCATAATGGCGTTGTTTCGTTCACAGTTACTTAATATTTTTATCTAAATAAAAAAATTACATCCAATTCATTTTTCATACCTATATATAAAATACGATTTTACCTAAATAGAAGATGCAAGTGAGACGCGGTTTGATCAAAAATCTGTATAGCTAAAGACTTAAACAATGTATTTAAAAATTGGCTGTCAAATCGAACACTTAGTTTGTATTTGTCGAAACATAGCTACCGTGTGCAGGAAAAAGTCAAATGGTCGGAGAAGACGACACCATTGAGCGTCAATTTATGCTTATTGTTATGGTAGGTTTTCTCCAGAGATAGAAAAGAAATCTATCCAATCAAATGATTTAACAGGACCGGGTCGGCTTTTCCTCATATCGTTTAGTTGCCTGTATACCGGACAACACATTATCGAAACTTTTGGCTTTTTAACTGCGCGTTGACTATTTCTAAAGCAATTCTTTTCCACTGTTCTCAGTCTTCTGAAATCTGAGTCAAATTCACGCGGTTTCTACTCTGTGCCTACTCTATGTATAATTCATACCCGCTTACAAGCAGACACATTTGGCATTTCTAGCCAAACTTAACTTTGAAAAAGATTACCATTGAAGTTTACATAATTGAAAGAAAGAAAACCGAAAATTCTCGTTAGTTTTTGATCAAAACACGTTGTACTGCTTCATTGTGTTCAAAATAATAACAGTGCTCTTATATGCATGCATATGTTAACTGAACAGTCTCCTCATACTATATATATGTTTCTGGATTAAATTCTAATAAACGTAAGAAATGAAGAAGTAAAAGGTTTAGAGGTAGTGAGTAACGATTTGGGGTAAATGTCAAATTGCTTCAAAACGTTGTGAAAGAAGATTTTCTTGCTAATTTTGTTCTTTTAGATTTTACAGATCTGACATCTTCTGCACTGTGCGGGCACTTAGTGTAAACGAATGAATTTTCCGTCACTCTCTCTAGGTTCCAATAAGTCAAACGATAAGGTATTCCTAAATAAATGTTTATTTTTTACTAAACTTTAAAAAATTGTATAATTAATTAAAAGCACGGCATGTCATTACCTATCCTACATCGCTTCACGGTTTTTCATGTAACGACTTTTCAAAACAAGTTGCCATACATGATATGGTCCAAAATGAGGTACGATCCGAATCATTTTCAATAATATTGGAGCTTGGGCCAAAACAGGCTAACAGCCAAACGAAGAGATAGGCAGACTTAGAATCAGAATTGTCTTCTGAGTCGATCGGTATAGTAAAAATGTCTATCTTAAAGTGCTCTGGGTAGTACCTACCTCTGTAGATACTTGATAAAACTTGTACCACAAGGGCTGTAATACATGGAAAAGTTAAATAAAAAAAATATATAAACAAGAAAATTGTATTCGACTATGACCGATACATCCGTCACCCTCGCACTAGAATACATTAAATAAAAGGGAAAAACTAAATCTTCAAATTCTATCACATTGGATGGAGTGGGAGTGGCTGGTTTTATCTATTTTTGTAGAAAACAAATGGAAATTTATATCGTATGAGCAAAATGCACGAAAAGAAAATGTGCACTTAGTCTGTTTTATATTCTAGGCCTGTCCTGTAACCAGTTAGAGACATTTTCAAATTTTTTTTTTTGCAATACTTGAGGCCGATATCTTCTTTTTTGCGCACGGGAGAATGGTAACCCCCGACGTTGCACAGATAGACAAGCAGACGGGCAGGTAGACATATTTAAATTAATTCAAAATTTGATGCCAATTAACGATATATATGTGGGTGTCTGCAGCTTACGCCTGGGTATTGTAAACATTTCGACAAAATGAACACACCCCTATCCTCCGTATTAGGATAACAGTTATTCAATTTTAATATGAGAGAACTACTGCCATTATTTTAAACACACGAATGCAAAATAATTTTGGAAAAGCTTCTTATGTTTAAGGAAGAGTAATGATTTGTGTTTTTGAAATAAATGTACATAACATATATTCGCTAATTTGATATCTTCTATTGTAATTGCCTACCACTTTCATTGCATGTATGTGTGTGTGTGGAATTAATACTTATATGTTTTAGGTATGCATTCATGTGTGCTTTGCAGTTGGTTGTCACTCCGATTGACTTAATTCACTGACGTTACTTAAGATGAGATTGATAATAAAAGTGAGAACGTTATCTACGACTGTATCTACAGATGTTGTATCTACAAGTGTTGTTTGTGGTTATAAATTGATTCATTGTTTATCTAAAGATTTTTTTTGTCTTCTAAATTAATTACCCTATTAATATGTATGTATGTACGAATTTTAATTAGATAATATTTAAATGATACATATGTATGAATACAATTTAAGTGTAAACAACGATGCATGAATGTATTTGCTTTAAATCTCTAATTAGTTGATAGATGCACTTAAAGTATAGTTTGTATAGTTTCGTACATATGCTTAAAAGTTATATACAACGCGTACAAGTTGTAAGTTACTTTGATTTATTTGTTGCTGTTTTTGTTTGCTCTATTATTGCAGTTAATATCACGTAAATGATAAAATGTACATTTGATTTAGGGTCGTATTGTTCGTCAATCAGTTTGTGATTCTGCCATTATTCGGCTGGAACAATGGTTTGATCTAAATTTGGTTTGGTATCATCAGGATCGAGACTGAGGCAATCAGCAAAATAATGTTCCATGGAAGAATAGACATGTTCAAGAACACCGACCAACTCGTGCCCTTCATCGGCGTAAGTCTAGAAAAAAAAGGAAAACAATCCGTAAACCAAAATAAAAATATATTTTTCAACGTTCATTACGCGCTGTTTCTAAATATTGTAAATATTACGCGTACTGCGTCTTTAAAGTTGCGTAAATTTAGTAACACAATTTTTACGAAGCCCAGGATCTTTAAACGTTACCAATCAATGTAGATTAATAACATTTGGAGACTTGCTAGGCATGTTATCTACGGTGATGAGAATTTATCAAAATCAAAAACACGCAAACGGTTCGGTTCTTTCCACTCTGAAAACTTCGATGTTAGAAACAAGCCCTGGTCGTTGCGGAACTAAATACTGATTAAAAACAAATTTTAAATTGTTTTCATAAGACTGGACGCAAAAGCATTCTCAATATGCGTTGAAAGCTGAATTGATCGTTAGCCTGATCGAATGACTGAACTTGTCTTTAATTCAGTTTCTCATATTTCACTAAGTGTACAAAAGAAGTCATTGGCGGCTTTAATTAGTCTGTAACTATTTGTCTAAACGCATTTCTCCATAAGAAACTATCCAGTTTAGGATTCACGCAATAGAAGAATTTGTGCCATTAAAGGGTACGCAGCATAACTTATAAAAGAGACGAGTTCTGCCCGCAATTTTTCTGCCTAATTTCGAGGAATGTATCCCTAAATCTTGTACGTTACACAGTCGAAAGTTAAGCGGCTAATGCAATATAATTAAAAAATCAATTAACATCATTTATACAACTTTCAAGGTCTTTTAAATTTTGCCTTATACTTATGGGCAAACCGATGAACTGATGCAATTGATTTTTGAATTTATAACATTCATCACCGGACAATGATTTTTCTTCGTTTTGCAAAACGGTGGTGTTCTCAGTTTACGAGATTCCGCAGGCGTGCGCTTGCACCGATTTTCATTATCAATATGAGTGCAAGAGCAACACGGGCAACCGGGTATGCGGACCGTAACACATGTAAACGCTTTGCATGGCCTCTCAAGCTTTTTCCCGGCCGTTGCAAATGTTTTAAAAAAACGAATATATCCCTCATCGTTCCGTGATGGGCATAAAAAGAAAATAAATTCCAATCGTACTTGTCACACCACAAGCACTTAAATGGACACCCCGCAAGGATTAAGCAGATGCGTTTTAATCGATTCAAGATAATAAAAAATACATATAAATTTAAGATCGCTGATCCTTTATGTTAAAAATGTTTGAAGAATGTAAGAAAAACATTAAATCTATATCTCCCTTCATACCTGATATCTGTACAGAATATTGGCGTCCGTTAGAGATTTCGCCAATTGCACACCGTGAATATATGGGGCGGTTGAATCAGCTAAGCCGTGTATAAGAAAAAACGAATGCGATTTAATGAGACGTGCCCTTTGCGTAGCATCAGCTTCTACGTAACCTTTGTAATTCTCCGCTGGCAAGCCCAATATGCGTTCTGTAAATGCTGTATCTGGAAAATATTATTAAAAACGGTTTATTACTTTCTTCCTAGGTGATCTTTCTGGGCTATACCCGAATCTTTTGTATCCCGCACCTTCATGTTAAAGCAGAATATGCAAACATTTATTTCTCTTTGTAGTAAAAAACCACACAAAACTCTAAGCCGCTTGTGATACACTGAATAGATCTAAACCTGTCTGTCCTCTGATGCCTGTCCGTGTAAACTTGAGTTCGAGCTACAAGCCGCAATTTTTGAGATATTTTAATGAAATTTGGTACAGTAACGTGGACCGATTTAGTCCATCTCCATGCCAATCTGTATGCAGGAAGTTTAAGACAAAGCATTTGGATCTCTCAAGCTTTCTTCTGAGTTTTGCAAAGTAAAAACTTCATTTGAATGTTAATCCCCTACTACCGTATATAAAAATATGTCATGAACGGTTTTGTTATGAAAGAAGCTTACATTACGGGCGAATGATGAAAAATTAATTTCCAAAGTATTGTCAAAAGCGGAAGAAGGTGCCTTTCCAAACGATTAACTCTACATTATATGTCATAAGTACAGAAGCAGTGCATGAGCACCCTACAAGCCGTGGAGTGAATACAGTGAGAATGGTAGCACATTCTAGTGCGTTGCTATTAGGAGTTTCTACACGAATTTATAATGTAATGCCATTCTATATTTGCGCAAAACTTTTTTTTTTAATGATGGACCCAGCATGCGTTGCGTATAAGCAGCTCAAAATACTCTATACCCATTCAATCAAACTTTTATTCAATTGATCAGACGGATATCGCGGTATTCATTATTACGCAATTCAATTAGAAGCTTTCGAAAGTACACGTAGAAAGCGTTTATGTTTAAACAGAACAGGCGTACTTACATAAGCGAACGCTCTATTAAAATGATGATAATCGTTTGGATAAGTGATAATACGAAATTAGGTAAATGTGTACCGCGCTCTACGCTTAGATAAAGTTTCGCAAGCAAAATGTGTGATGATCTAATTTATTCGATTGAATGGCGTTTCGAGGAGCGAGACATTTCCGAAGATCTTAATGCCGACTGCAGAAATGAGGTTTTGAAAAACGGCGGGAGGCGTCTTTTGTGCTTCCAATAACCAATAATTTTACCTAAGGTAAGGTAAGATGTCTACTTAAAGTATTAACCTAAGATTCAACAGGAATATTTATTAGAAATGACAACCCACTGACAAATCCACCACAATTAAAGAAACAAACTCTACGAATTTTAACGAAAATTGTCCAAGTACCTCGACAACATAATTGCTAATGCCATAGCCATAAAGTAATAAAAAAGCAATCATATTAGTCAATATTTACTGTAGTATAGCCAATCAGCAATGGGCGATATTGCTATGCCGCATTTGAAGACATCTTGTTGCGTCCCCAATACCATCGAAGTTACATAACCGCCATAGCCCCAGCCCCAAATCCCAACACGTGTTTCGTCTAAAAAACTAATTGTATCTAGCAGGTATCTGTGATCAGACAAAAATACAGTTAATACAATTTTATATATAATGCAAACATTATCCTTTCTCTTACTTTAACACTGAAATTTGATCTTGCACCTCTACGCCGCCTAAACGGCGAAATAAAGACTTTTTACTTTGCCCTTTGGCTCCTCTTACATCCAAACGAATGTAGATGACATCGTTTCGTGAAGACATATAGGTGCCCCAATCGATACGAAATTTCTCGGATACCGATTCCGAACCTGGTCTTCCATTTCTGAAAAATTTCAACAAAATTTCAAAATAAAATTATTTGTGCGTAAATGTTTAAAAAAAACTTACACTTCCACTACTACGGGAAAGGCAGCATCCCTAAGCTCTTCTCGCCAACTAGGTGGCAGTAATAATTGCACTTGGGCCCTACTGCCGTGGGGCAGTGGTATTTCGAATGATCTCTGGGTGGGTAAGGCAAGCTTTTGTAAACGTTCGCTAAAGTAGGGACGTGTGTCGAATAATATTTTCACTAAGCTATGGGTTTTGTGTGAATGAACGCCCGATACTGGCAAACCGGGACCTAAGCATTCAAGTATGTAAAATGAGATTCCGGACTGGGTGGCAATGGAAGACGTCGGCATTATAAAGGCATCAAAGTGAGAACAATTCACATAATAGTAACGACTGCTCCACAGAGCTTCACCCAAATCACATGTTATACAAGTTGGCTCCGTTCTTTAAAAAAAAAAAAAAAAAAAAAAGCAAAAAGAAAGTAAAATTTAAATTGATTAATTTTTTATTTTTAAAACCTACTTGCGATTATCTTCGTTCACAGGATCTCTAACAGTATACAAATGCCGTTGACCGGGTTTTTTATCTTTTGTACCCAGATAATATACCAAATGATTAGCGGTATCCCAGCAAAGTATTTTCAATACCTTCAGATATACGCAATATCAGCTACGTACACGTATTTAATGACGATTGGTTTCATCTTACCTCATATCTGCCGTGGGAGATGACCGCGATTCTTTGTTGACTTATTGTTACATGTTTTATATGAGTAAAATGCTCGGTACCCGATTCCTGAACACTGGCTAATAAAAGAAAACTATTACCGTCTGGTGAAAAGACTGGATGTGGCAGTATGTCGAGCCATTCATCTTCCGGGGCGCGCTCCGAATGTATCTATTCATATTAAAATTTTTATTAAATATCTAAAAAACCCTTTTCATATACACTAAAGACTTACCTCAGTACATTCCCAATTTTTGTCACCGAAGCATGTGGTCACTATGCTGTAGTTTTGAGATCTCATCATATACACTACAGACACCTGATAATTGCTATCTGTTACCCAACCGGCGGATGTAAGATAATAATCCCTATAACGATATAAAACGACAAGATGATCGGTTAGTTTACTAAACTTCATTAATTTTCAACAGTGAATAAAAAAATAATAATGACGCACTGGCCGTCCAAAGAAGGCGGTGGTTTCAACAGCAGTTGCTCTCTTTCGCTGAAATTCGTTAAGTTCACAATCCATAGTTGCACCGTAGGGTTAATTGTACCAGGCGTTGGGTAGCGAACATTTTTTGTTTCTGGAAACGAACTGCCAGCAGACATGCCACTACCGGTTATCACAGCACCAGATGCTAACCAAGGATACGTCATCATACCTACATTGGTGTCATTAAATGTGGCATACATGAAATGCGTGCCATCTGCGGATGACCAAATGGCTTCGGGCCTGTCAAATATTTCCTCTACCAACAAGAAAGTAAATGCATTGTTAGCGCCACTTATATCGTGCGACAAATGCAAATATTTTTCACTGACCTTGATAAAGCCAATCAGGTATTCCATTGTATATTAAATTCGCGTAGCCGGTGTACGTTAGACGCACATCTTCTTCATCGGCCGGTGATTGCCTCAAATATATGTCATTATCGGCTACAATGAGAAGTGAAGTCGTGTTGCCCAGCCAAGCAGCGTATTGCAGTCGTGTTCTCTGCACTTTGGGAGAATCCTTCAGTTTTACCGGCATGTGATGATCATTTTCAACATCGTATATTGTATAGAACGCCGTAAATGATCTTTGAAAAATCTTAAAAAAGCCAAGATTACAATGCATACGATATATATATACGATAAATATTGCATAATATATTATAAGGAATTTCAGTGTTCACCTTTTTAACGTTATGCCTGAAAAGTACATATCGCAAATCGTTCGAGCAATGATAACCCTGAACATTTAATTGGCGAAGAGTGTGATTAGTAGCCAAAGTGCTGACTGTGTTGGTAGTTGTGTCCAATACCGACAAGCCGCCATCATCCGATTGAAAAACATATTTCTTGGTGGTAATCCAAGACGGTTCTAATCGCGTCGGTGTCAAATCACCCTGAAGATATTCATCTAATATCATTCGTCTCCCCGACCAATACAACAATTCATCTACGTAACTACAAAATATAGATGCAAAACCATTAGCGAAGATGAGTTTATTGGTATGGTTTCGTGACGGTGTTCGCCCACTTACCCTAAGAGATAAATGGCGGTAATAATGCCGGCAATTACGAAACTTATCACTAACAATGAAAATATGATACTTCTCCAATTGTGACCCTCATCCAAGTCCAAGTCTTCATCTTTTTGTTTTGGATCTTGCACTTGCAGAGTTTCATCCGGTGGTAGACGCCATGATCCGCCGCCACCACCAGCTTTATCTGATGTCACGTTCGCGTGCATTGAGTTGAAAGACTTTTATTTATTTTATTTGTTGTTGTTTTAGTTTTTTCCGTTATTCTTATTATTGTAATTGGCAGGATTTGTCGTTGATGTGTTAGTTACACGATTGCAGGTATCATGTAATTACACCCGCAATTACTACCGCATCAGTTTGTTCAGCATAATAGTATACATTCTCCCTATCATTCAATCGTCGAATACATACGTTCGTGCTATTGATTACACAACGCCAACTTTACGTCAATAAATGACTACGACGACGATGTTCTTATCCGCTTGCTCATTCATTTATTCCATTCGTTGGAGTGGGCAGCAGCGGGACTGATATTTTATGCATTATACAATTGGACATTGCAGAGGAAATCTTTGAATTGCTTTCGCATTGTGTGTCGATGCTTAGCTACCTTGATTTGAAGGCCTATTGTGTTTATGTTGACGATGCCGATGTCGATACTGATGCTGTTGATGATGATTATGATGACTGTGGTAATGATAGCGTTGATGTTGCAACATCACTTAGACAAATGTATCAGCACTTATGGCGATGGCGGTGATTTACATACCGCATTTAAAAAGAATGCGAATAGAGGCTTTATGCACATAGTTTTTATTCCAATTCATCGACGTCATCATCTACGATATTACGCAACAATAATAGTGCCGCATTGGCAGTTCTATTCTATTGAGCAATATATAAAAGATAAAGAGAAATGCAATGAAAGCTTTCATCTTGAAATAAAATGAACCTAATGTAAAGGGAAGGAAATAAATATAATAATAATGATTATAATAATAATAGTAATAATATGAAAATAAAATATTAAAATAATAATAATAATAATAATAATAATAGTTTTAGTAATAATAATAATATTAATAAGAAAGTGATATAATAAGATGATCTTGATCCGTCTGAGTGGCCGAGTAGGCAAGAGTCTCGATTAGCAACTCAATGGTCATGAGTTCAAATCTCAAGTACGGTAGAGTTTTTAATAAAAGCCAAAAGCCTTAGATGCTAGTGAGTGCTTCAAGACTTTAGTCTTAGAATTTATTCTCTGTATATAATAATAATAATAAGATGATCTTTCTCGGAACAACTAAGTTCAATTCCCGTTGCGGTAGAACTACTATTCACTCTTGCTGAGTGCCAATACGTAACAAATGTAATGCAACAATAGTTGGAGGTAAATGTCAGGAGGTTTTTTTTTTTCAATAAATCGCTTTACAACCACATAGTTTTCACAATATTAGCCCCATTAAGCCATGCCTTAGCGTATATGAGAGATGATAGTCGATAGTTGATTAAACAAAATTGTAATATTTATTAATTACCTCGAAAGTAAATGCTTTCTGAGAAAACTCTTTAGCTCTTACAATACTATTTTGGTAAAAGCGACCTCCCTTCACAGGGATGTGAAAAAATGTATTGTGTTTAAAATCAAAAAGATCCTTAAAAAAATGGAAAAAATTTTCTTCATCAAGCGGTAGTGTTGTCCAGATTAGCGCCACTTTCGTTACTACTTTACTTTTTTTGGCGTTCGAGAGAAATCGAGCATCTTGGGCTGCGTTAAACGAGCCAGAACATTGCCTCCCGTCTCTATTGGCTAAGCCGGCTAAGGTCACTAAAGGGCGCAATTGAAGTAAAATTTCGAGAATTGATTAAGAGACAAGGCGCTGTCTTACATCACGACCATGCCAGATCGCAAACAACCTTAATGACGCGTTAAAAATTGAAAAAAACTTAACTGAGAGGCGTTGATCCATCCGGATCTTTCCACGTCCAGCTAATATTTCTTCCTCTCCGCAAAACTCTCTGAGAGCCTTCAATGTACTAAACATGTAGCACAGATTTGTCCGAGTCCGAGTTTTGTTCTCTGCGTAATTCTCCTAATGGTATAAAACTTACTTCGGAAAAGGCTTGGGACCGCAATTTTTCCAGTATATATTTGATTTTATTAAGATCCAAAAGAATGTTTTTGAGTTTCGATCGAAACCATTAAAACATACTTTATCCGATAATATAATAATAACAACAATCATAAGGCAAGCCCTTTGAATTTTCACCCGAATCTTCTCGACAAATGTTGATCGGTAAATAAACTTATATTTGCTTTGTGGTAATTATTGCGTAGGAACCGCATACCAAATCTCAAGCAAGTATTAAAAAATCGCCAAAAAATTTTTTGTTAGTTGCAGCCGGACCATATTAGCTGAAATTTACCAGTTATTGGCAATCGTTTGCTACATAGGCTTTTTCTAAATTTTTGTTTTTTTTGTTTTTTTTTGCGTATTTGAAAACATTCCAGAGATGTTATCGCGCTTGATGGATGACAAGCAAGTAAAGCATGATTTGTCGTAATATGATTTCAAGTGATAACAAAGAGACGAACGTTCTCAACAAATCGCAGAATCAAAAAAAAAGAGCGACAGAAAATTTATTATATAAAATATTCATCTCCTTCAATATTTTATCCTTTTGATGTCAAAATGTTAAGCAACGTTAGACAACAGCTTAAAGAAATCGTTTTTTGGCTAAACGGTGAAAGTTGGCGACAATCAAGTGTATCCTAAAAAAAAAAAAAAAAAACAAAGAAAATGATAATTATGGCTACAGTTGCCCGCTTACCTCCCGCCACCCTTTCCTCCTTTAGCTTAAATCTAAAAAAATGAAGAGCTATTCGTTACTTAAGGACAAACCTTCCTATCACTCCCAGGTAGATCATTTCGGTTTGTTCACGGTAACGCCGCAAGCCCAAATATTTCTTCTTTCTTTCAGCAGCAATAAATGATAAGTTATTTAGAAGAATTTTGCAAATTGATGATTAATGATAAAAAACAAGAAAAAAGGTAATACCGATTAAAAGTCTTTAATGAAACGTCCTTTTGCTTTTCTTTTTGTACTACCTAGTGAAACCGTTTGGTAAGCTCTGCTCTTTATAATGATGCGTAGGCATCAATACAATCCGTTAAAGTTTCGTCTTTAACGAAACGTCCTTTTGCTTTTCTTTTTGTACTACCTAGTGAAACCGTTTGGTAAGCTCTGTTCTTTATAATGACGGATAAGCATCAGTACAAGCCGTTAAAGTTTTGCAAATAACTTGCATGAACTTTAAAAACTCATAAAACCATATCAATTTGTTTTACACAAGGCAGGCAGGTTGAATAGGCGGGCCAATGGTAAATAAGCAAAGCAGTGTCTGTTTGCAATTGCTCCTCGAAATTGAATGTAAACATGTAAATTGGAACGCAAGACACTGGCTTATTGAGGCCAACTGCCGTTGATTGTTGCCCTTTGTTTTTTGTCGAGTCCACATGCATATATGAACAGAATGAAGAATGAACGTTAAAGGGTAAATAATGCACATGGAAGAAATAAATTATTTTTTCCAACTAGATAGTAAATATTTTGACGGTGAATTCTTTGCAAATTAAAAAATGTTATCGTCTACCAGAGAATACCAAAACAATCACTTGGTCATTTATTGATTCAAAGAACTTCTCTCTATGTTTTTATTTTTTTGTGTTTTTTCTTTGTTTTTGGCCTTTTAAGTGCTACTTTTTTGCTTAAAAGCCAGTTATTCACAATCTGCTCGCGACATTGGCGAATTTAACACAGTGTCGTCTACTTGCCAGCCCATTAACGGAGTCAACTAAAGGCTATTATTAATAATTTTTTCCTTTTTTTTTTTTTTTGTTAATGATGGAGTCAAAGGGAGATTTTTCCAGTAATGGTATGATTTGTCAGTTCAACCAGGATTTTCACTGGGTTTCTTTAGCCTTGCTTGGCTTGCTGTTTGATTCCAGCAAAAGCAATGTTTTCTGAAACTTTATTTAACTGATGCGACCAAGAAATATTTCTTTTTTTATGGTAATATGATTTTGTTAAAAAAAAACTTTTATTTCCTCTCGCATACGACAAGTTTGCTTTTTCAAGCAATATTCATTGCTATTTTCCTTCCGAAGCCTTCTCTCTTCTTTCAAATTATTTTTCACTATAAATACATGTTAATTTCATTAAAGCAAACACTGCTCTTCTCAACCCACGAGCTGATCAATTTGCCATCATTTTGCTGACTTGTTTGCCTCTTTGTTGCGTGCTTCACTTGCATATCACGTCTTGATAAATTTTATTACCGCCAGTGTTTAATTTTCTGAATTCTTTGAAAATAAAATTTGCAATCGATTATCTTGACGTTTTTATATCGCACGCAGAGGACTTATTAAATTTAAGAAATGTTTGCGATGTCAAAGAACACTTGCATCGGAGACTTTACAATATATTGTCATATACCGATTAAACTCAGAAGGGAAATTGAGTTTACCAGATCTGTCTATTCGCCATTTCATCGTCTGTTGAAATGACTGAATTGCGAACCGATCATTTGTTATAAACTAAATTTGGATGCCGCAAAGCCGCGTAGATAAGTGTCGCGGCTACCAAAGCGGTGCAAATCTCAGCGTTATGCGGTTAGACCATTTTCGATTGCACCTATAGTGAGTGGTGGTCAATCGATAAATGCATAACATTTAGTTACAAAGCTCCCCCCTGTTCTCCTTCTGATCGTCACTGTGATACCCATGCAGGCGATATGCTTTGAGTGATTGCTCGTATTAGAAAAAAAATAAACTTGTTCTCAAATTTTTATTATCATTTTCGTCAAATACGATTATTAACAAAGATTTAACTTTAGATTTGCCCCTAATTATCATAAAACTGGTAACATTCTTTTTTCTCCTAAATCACATCCGCAATATACTGAAGAACTGTGAATAGAGAATTTTTGGTGAAATTCAAGATTTGTGTATATTTTATTGGGAAAAACAGAGGAGGAGCCAATACCAAGTATGAACAAAAACTGCCCAATTTACATAAAAAATGCTTTATAGCAGAGCAGACGTTCCCCTAGATTTAAAATACTCCTCTGTAAAATTTGTTAACAACTTATTAATTATATTGCGTTTATATAATCCAAGCATTTTCGTAAATACAAAACATGCTT